GACGACTTTACCCGGGTCCTACGAATGAGGTTGTCTAGGCCCATCGTTGTTGGGCCCGATGCCGGTAAGGTCCCGCCCCCTGTCATGGCGGATCCCTATTTTTACCCTCATCATGGAGTGTCCATTGGTGGTGGTGGTGGTGGTCACGGTCAATATGTTAACCAAGGGTACGCGCCTGGAACTGGTGGTGGTCATGATGGGTATGGAATGGCCGTCATTGGTGGTGGTGACGAATTTGTTAACCATGTGTATGGTAATACAATTGATAGTACTATGATGAACTTTGATGCTGGGAGTTCTAGCTATGGTAGTACAGTTAATAGTACTATGATGAACTTTGATGCTGGGAGTTCTAGCTATGGTAGTACAGTTAATAGTACTATGATGAACTTTCATGTTGGGAGTTCTTGCAACAACATTGGTGGTGGTTGTAATGAATATGATGGCCATTGGTATGGAGAAACCGGAATTGGTGGTGGTCACAGTGAATATGCTGGCCAAGGGTATGATAGTACAATCAATCCTATGATGAACCCTAACTTTGTTGGGAGTTATAACAATAACGACTTTGGTGGTGGTCGCGGCATATATGATGACCATAGGTATGGAGTGTCCAACATTGGAGGAAATGCTGACCATGGGTATGGAATGGTTGTTATTAGTGGTGGTCATGGCGAAAGTGTTAACCAAAGGTATGGAGATGGAGTGGCCGGCATCGGTGGTGCTAGTGGCCAATATGCTGACCGTGGCTATGGAGTGGACATTGGTGGTGGTGGTGGAGTCGGTGAAATTGTTGACCAGGGCTATGCTAGTACAATTAATAATACTATGATGAACGACTTTAGTGTTCTTGAGAGTTCTAGTTATAATTATATTGATAATAATGTGCTATTAGAGTATAATGATGTATTTGATGGTCTTCTGGCTCCTAATAGTACTCAAAATGTTGAGTCAATTGATGTGCTTCAAGTGATGAAGTGATGATTTATAAACCTTATATTAAACAATGTAATGAATTTGATTGTTGGGTTTTTAATTAAGTCCAATATATTTATTAGTTTACTTAATTTGATTTATAAGTTTTTTTTTATTTTGTGCATTGGATTACTTGGTAGTTTCAATTATTTGATTTATTGTTGTCCATGAATGTAGAATAAGCCCTATACAGATTAAGATCTTTATGTTTTTTAGTTTTATTTTTTTTGACAACAAGATCTTTATGTAGTGACCCTGCATGAATTTATAAAGAATAATAAATAATAATAATAATAATAATAAAAAAAAGAATTACATGCATCTATTAAAACTTTTTAAAGTCTCTAAAATATTTTCTTCTCTATCCTTTGGTCCGACACTTGTTTTTATCCACCTTTTTTCACAAGACTTTTAAAATTTTATTTTCATGATTTAAATTGGAATGACTTTTAATATTAGTTACTTTATTTTATCTGAACTTTTGTAAAACATTTTAATTTGTACGAATATAACTTAGATTTATTGATTTTAATTTGAAATAATTTTGTCAAAACTTAGTTTATTGGGAGTTCAGATTTCAATTTTTTAATCTGAATTTACATTATCAAAAATTATTTTTTCAAATATATTATAAAATAATTTAATATAAAATAAAATACAATAAATAAATGGTCTTAAAATTTCAAATAAAAAAAAAACAAAGATTGTATAAGTGAAATTTGGCAATCATTTTTTTCTCATCGATAATTTTTTTTTTCCATAAACATAAGATTAGGAGAGTCCTATTTCAATAAAAAGCCGAAAATTTTCTCATTAATTCGATTTTACGCCGTATATTTGCATGTCTAATTGATTTAAGAATATGTCAACATTTTCATTTAGGAACCAATTCAATCTTACATTGACTGAAAATGGCTCTCTTGTTTTTAACACACCAACTGGTTTCCTTCCTCGTGCCTATGATCTGAAAAAGGCCATTACGTGCCTGTACCCAAAGTCGTGCAGTTGATGCGTCGCATACTTCCCTCGAACGCCAATATTACCGAAGGTCTAAAGGAATGGTCCAGGATTGTGCCAAGGAGTTCATCTATTATATCACCAAAGAGCGAGGCTTATGATAAAGTGTAAATTTTGTAGTGATCGCAAGGTGATGACGGATGAGGACGTGATTTCGGCCATGTCTCGGCTTGGGTGATGTTGGGCCCGGGTCATCCACCTTGACGGGTCACACGCACACTCCACCCCACATTAGTATGATATTGTCCGCTTTTGATCTAGCCTGCACGGATTTGTTTTTGGGCACCTTCCCAAAAGGTCTCATACTATTGAAGCGTGCTTCCACTTATAAGGAGCTCTTCACTTCCTCAATCTTTCCATGTGGGACTTGGGGTGAACAACCCCAACAAACCTCCCCTCAGACCAAGGGCCACATAACTCATGGCCTCCCCTCCAACGAAACTATCTTGCACCGCCGCTATCACCACGAGACACGCCGCCTGAGCCTCAATATCGAGAGGACTTTCGACACAAACTTCAATTGCACTTATCGTACTTAGCATATTTTGCTAATCCGTATTTCTTCTTTGTTTTGGTTCGCCCCGTTTACCTTAATGGTAAGCAGTGTTGACTAATTTCAGGTGGAGTTAGAAATTATGCATATGGGAGTCCTAGGAATGTCTTCATCTAGATTAGGAATGTTGGTCCTTGTTTTTAAATATGAGTACTCGTGACAATGGTTACTATTTATGGTTTTTATTAATAAAGAAAGAGTATTGAAGTTTCCGCTGCAAAGTATTGGTTTGGTTAGTAGTTTGAGTAGCCTTGCGTAATCACGCAATACGCCTAAGTCTATCTCTACGGTATAATTATACGTATTATACTGGTATTTCCGTAGAGGGAGATTTGGGGGTGTTACATACTAGTACTAGTGTTATGGAGAAGATTGCAGAAATTATAGGAAAAAAATAGGGAAGGTTAGAAATTTATTGTGGGAATTACAAGAATTAAGAGAGTAATTAGAGGGTTTTATTTTTAAAAAGGGAGAAATTAAAGGAAATTAAAGATTCAGAATAACTTTAATCTTTCCGTTAAAAACAAGGAAGTTTAATTACTGTTGATAGGTGTAGAGGTTGACTGTCATTAAGGGAGAGGGGAAGGAAAGTTTCGTTTACTTAAACTAAAAAAAATAAAAATAAAATAAAATTAAGGCCCTATGCAGCAGGTCTGCTTGCACATGCCCAAAACCAGCCCTAGTTTGAATTCATACATTGATGTTTTGATCTCTAGCTAAAATGCTTAAATAAAATAAAATAAAATAAAATAAAGAGGTTTTCAACCTCATCTTGAGGTTTGCAGCAGGTCTGCTTGCACAGGCCCAAAACCAGCCTTGGTTTGAATTCATACATTGAAGTTTTGATCTCTAGCTAAAATGCTTAAAATAAAATAAAGAGGTTTTCAACCTCATCTAGAACATGTCATGTATATTGGGGTGCATACAATCACTCAAGTGCATGTGTATAACATTTAAATTGCCCGTAGTGGGTCAAACAACAATTTACAGGATAAAATTTAACTTCAAGTTGGTTAGCTAGATAAAGAAATTTAGTTAAATACAGAGTACTTCTTTTGTTCTTAATTTTATGCTATATTTAGAAAAATGCCTTGAAATATAGATATATCTAACACTGAAAAATTATTGAACATAAATTTTGTCAATTTTGATTTTTATTATTAAATTGTTAAAATAAATTACACTTGTAAAATATATACGTAATTAAATTTGAATCAATTTTGACCAATATTAGAAATCAATAAAATTTGCCCCGTAATAAGTTTAAAGGATAGTAGGATAGGGCATACACTAATACTTTAGACACTGTAGTGTCCGACTATCCGTAAAGTCGTGTCAACGACTAAAAACACAAAATCAAGAGTATCTGATTCAATTGTTAATTTGTTACCTACACTCGAGTACTCGTATATATGATGTGAATCAAGAGGCTAATTCTTTTATAGGGTCCAAGACACTTTTAAAAGGTCCAAGTAGCTTCATTATGGGCTGCCCAAACAAAGAAATAAACAAGGAAAGTTCCACTAGATCAATAGGGAAAGAAGGAAGCATGATTTGCAAAGAAGAAGAAATAGAGCAGTTCACTTCCGGTGAGGAGCATGGTGGCAACGCGCCGAGATGGGGCCTATGCGCCGGCTTCTCGGCACCGGATCGAGCCTAGCTACACGCAGGTGTGGCGTGTGTCACCTTGGATGGCGCGTGTGGTGGTGTGGTGGCGGCTATATGTCAAGAATGATTTTTTATACTTAGTTTATTTCTAGAGTTTTGCTAAGATATAAACTTCCTAAGGTTACTAGGAAAGTTTTTAGTTAGTTAATTAGAGTTTGATTAGGATAAGTTTTCCTAATCTAGTTACAAGTAGTAATTCTATTCTAATTAGGATACTTAGGGAACAAAGTTAGGGGTTTGTCCTAATCCTTGTTGGAGTAGAATAAGGTAATATAGAAAATCAGATTAATTTCAATACAAATTGTTTACCTTTGTTTAAACTTTTCGTTGCTAGTTTTCAATTCAAGGAGTTGTTTTAATAATTAGAACGTTCAATTCTTAGTTCTAGGAGTAGTCTAAGTTTTGTTTATCAAAATACTTAGTTCCAGGTTTAGTCTAGGACTAGGTAGTTTGAATGGACATTGAATTCGTTCCATAAGTGGTCATTTTCCAAGTCATATCCGGTTCATTGTTCTTAAAATTGTTCTATTTTCTGAAGGAATTCGGAAGGCTTGTGTTACTTGTGTGATTTTAGATTCTTTATTGGATTAAGGGGTTTAAATCCATATCAATATAATAGACTTACTTCGTAAGAGTTTCATACTCCATTAGATAAATATAGTACATACTTTTTTTTTTTTTTTTTTTTTTTTTGTGTTTTGTCAACTAATCAATTTTGTTATATTAAAAAAAAAATCACAAAAATGAATTTTTATTTTAAAAGAAATCCACTAGTAAATTTAATTTTTATTCATAAAAATTTACCGATAATGTTGTAATGATAAAAAATCAAATTCCACCATTTTTTGATGCTCCGTAAAAAATTTGAAATCCTTGTCCGCGCTTCCATCCTTCACTTTCTCTCTCCTCCACAACAATCGAATTCAGCCCTAAACATTCAAAAATTTCCCCAAATTCATGGAATTTCACTGAATAAACCCTAAAATGTCGACGATTGAGAAGCTGTTTGTGCAAATTTTCGACCGAAAGAGGCAGATTATCGAGAAATTGAACCACCAGAAGCAACTCTATGACCAACATTTGCTTTCCAAGCTCTTAATTCAAGGCATTCCTCCTCCTTCTTGGCTCCTCAATTCCGATAATCAATCTTCAACTTCAGATCTCACTGGTATTTATTTTTTTCCTCGATTTTTGGTGAATTTTGTGGTTTTTTTTTCGTAATTTTGAGGTTTTATGCTCAAAATTTGGGGGTTTATTGTTTGCCGGAAGTGTAGTTATAAATTAGGGCATGAAATTCATTTATTCCATAGCAATTTTAATGAAATTATGTTTATTGTAGGAAATTTTTAGCTTTGGTGTTACATTTGTTGCTATTTGATTAGGTTTTGATTGATTTTGCAATTGGCATCAATTTGTCGCCATTTCTTCAGTTTATTTCAGGACTTTTGGTTGTTAATCTTACTTTGCTAATATGCTTAATTATTTTTTCAGCATTGAACAAGGAAGAGCTTATTTCAGGACTGTTGCTTCCAAGACCAGGACCTTTTGCCTCTTACACCAGTGGTCCTAGTTTTTTATATGATCAGCCAGTTGTAGCAGAAGCAAATAGTGGTATACCAGACGAAACTTGTGCTGGAAAATGTGCCTCTAGCAATGGATTTGATGAAGATAGTGTTGCTCCACTGCATCATGTTGATGGCACTGAAGACGTGGATGGCATTGTTCCTCCTTGTCATGTTGATGGTGCTGAAGATATGGCTGACACTATTCCTCCTTGTCATGTTGATGGCACTGAAGATAGGGCCGGCATTGTTCCTCCGTGTCACATTGATGATATTGAAGATACGGTTGACATTGTTCCTCCATCTCATGTTGATGATGGCATGGACACATTCAGTTATGTCCCTATGTCTCCTGAAGATCAGATTGATACAAGGTTCTCAAATGTCTGTAAACCTGAGCAATCTCTTGCAAGAATACAGAGATCCAGGTCCCGTCAAAAGGCACTGGAGCTTCGGAATAGTGCAAAAGCAAGTACTAAAAGCCGTTTAGGGATGGAGAATGATGTTGGTTCTTTTCACGATGGAAAAATTTGTAGATATGATGAACAATTTGATTTAAAAAGATCTCTTGAATTGGATGGGCCTTCTGCATCACCTATTGAATTTTGCTCCAATGAAGAAGTAGCAATTGGAAATTGCTCAAACAAAGAGGATAGTGTTGATGCTTGTGTTGGATTTTTGGCACAAGCTACAGGATTTGATCCTCTTATTTTCTCCAAGGAAGAAGCAGTAACTGAAAATTCTACACACAAGGAGAAAATTGATGATGCCTTAGACGGTCTTTTTACTCATTCAACAGTTAGTGAGGCAAAGGAGGTAGATTTGGAAGACAATCAGAAGATTGAAGAAAACAGCAACATTTATGGTAATAGGATTACTAGATCCAAAGGCAGTTGCCAACAATTAGGTGGTTCTTTTTCAAATTCAACAGATTATGGGGCAAAGGAGGTAGAAATGGGAGACAATCAGAAGATCGAAGAACACAACATTGTTTATGGTGGTAGGATTACAAGATCCAGAAGCAGTTCCCAACAAACCTTTGATGGAGCTCACCCTCTTAATGTAAAGAGTGTTGATGTTTGCGTTGGTCAAGTAACTAGAACCAAGAGTGGCCTGACACAGCAGGTGGAAACTTCCATTGGAAACAGCAGCAAGCCTTGCAGTGGTAAAATTACAAGCTCTAAAGATGATGAAGCAGAAGAAAGAGAAACAAGGTTTTGGAGAAGCATGTCTAGGGAGGTGTCTGTAAAACCCAAGCAACTTGATTTTGATGAAGTTGAAGAAGGCAATTTAGGCGACATCCCCAGCCATTTGTCAGATTCTGTTAGTCAGGACATATTAGAAGAGAGAGCCAGAGCTAACACGAAGTCTAGCACTTATCCTGGTATATCTTCTTCTAGAGCATGTCCTGAGTCATTAGAGTACGAAGCCCATGGGGTTTTAGGTAGTGAAATTGCTCATCAAGTTAATTCTAAAAGTGACAAAACACCCGGACAGTCCTTGATTTTGCAACATTGTGGGGATGTGTTACATTCTTCTTTTGACACTGATACTGAAGAAGTTGCTCGGCCGAGTCGTGGCAGAACCCCAGTTGGATCATTGAAATCGGTGACTGATTTTGCTCCTTCTGTAGAGATGGTGCAATCAGGGAGCCTTTGTAATATTGCAGCTGTACGAGCTTCCTCCTCAAGCCATGAAAAGCAGGTTGGTGGTTCTAAACTATTTGAGCTTGGAGCTGAAGTAAACATGCTTCCTAACTTCAATTGTAGAGATGACATGGATAATTCTTGGCCATGTTATAAGCGGAGGAAAATCGAATATCAGAACCCCAACAAATCTTCCAGCCCAACTTTGAGGACAAGTTCCTACAAAGCTATCAGTGAAAGTGTATCAAATATATCTGCTTGGGGTGAGAAAGAAAACATTTTTCCTTTGCCTCAGGAACCCTCAATTTCTCATAATTCAGGCGCCGCTTTATCAGATTGTGCTATTCTTATCAAGGTGACTGATCATAGTGTCCCTTCTTTACCGAGCAAGGAACAAGTGTTGACTCCTCAGGTGGGGTGTGGAAAGGTACTGCTTCACCCATGCTATCTATTGTTAACCTTCTAATATGATATAGTACTTCATCACAATATGTTTAACATGTAGCATGTTCCATGCATTATTTATTTTGTTAACCCAGATTCTGGTTGTATTTAATACACCCACCCCAGTTATACATTTCTCATAAGTATGTACACTTATAAAGTAGATAGTTATTGTATTGATTTTTAAATTTAACAAATACTATTGCACTGGTATTCTATAGTGATGCATTGATATTTCAAGCGTTAAATAAGATGAAAAAGTTCAGCTACTTAAGAGAGATATACTATAGAATGGAGTATGCTGTAAATTACCTCTATCACTACAACAGAGTTGACATTTTGTCTAACGTTATTTTACCTTGCTATGAGATTAATCTCTTAATGTTTACCTGGCAGGATAAAGCTAGTTTAGGGAGAATTGATTCGTCCTCCGCACATGAACACCAAAAACTTTCAAAATCTGATGTTTCAAATGTGAATCAAAGTATTATTGCAGAGCCATCAGATTTGACTTGGGATGGAAAAGTGGAAACAAATGCATCAACTGCTGCAACTTGCCGTGGAAGGGTGTCTGGTGGTTTGGTGAATCATCAAGATCTGGTTGATAGTGACACTGTAGTGAAGTTGATGGATACGAAAATGGCAGTGGATCATAGAAATTCTCATCACAAAGTGCATGAATTTAAGTTATCTATTGGTTCTCCACTAATGGAGTGTATGAAAGTGGCTGAAGTGGATCAAACTATACCAGGGTTTCTGAAAGTGGCTGAAGTCGATCAAACTATACCAGAGTTTGATCGTTTTGTTATAGGTGAGAATACAGTTGACGCACAAAGTTACAGAGATAAATTTACCCATGAAGAAGCTCCCATTCTGGATAACAAAGTGGATAGGAACAGCTTGTCTGAGATAATTTGCAAATCTGCAACTTTTGGCACCCCTGTATCTCCCTTTACTAGTGGATGCAAAATGTACTTAGCACCAGGTATATACTCTTCAGTACCTAACGGGCTGCTGGAGAACATTGACCTACCAAGTAATCTGCTGCCCAGTGGAAGTGCTTTTCTTGGGAAGTCTCATTCCGATCTCTTTTCTTTTCCTGGTAGACAATATGGATGGGAAATCAAGAAACCTTTTCTGTCACCTGTTGGGAAGGGCTTTGAAGGTGCTACGTCAAAATCTGCTAGTTCAGATAAGCTAGGTAGCAGTAATCTGGAGCTTACTTGCTTCCCCATTCAGGAGGATCCTGAAAGTGGTGAGGAAGAAGTGAATGATGCTGTTAACACTGGTGTGGAAAAGAACTCATCAACTATGAAAAATAGCACCAACATTGAACCATCTTTTGATATTACTTTGCAGTCTATTAGTTCCCTGGCTCCAGATCATGCGGATGAGAGAGATTGTTTAGACTCTGTGAGCACTGATGTCAAGAGAACTGATTCAAGTACAGGAAGTGGTGTGTACAAGGAGTCATCTTGTGATATAGCTTTGCAGAATGAAAGCTTTCTGGCTCCAGATGATGCAGACAAGAGATGTAGTCAAGGATCTGGAAGCACAGAAATCGGCACTTTTGAAACACATAATGACAGCAAGAAAAGTAGCATGGGTCAGAAAAGAAGCATGCAGACAAGGTTTGGGAAGGAGAACAATGGTTTTTCAGTTGGTGCTTACAGCAGCAAGAAGCACTCAAAACCACACAGTAGCAGGTTCAGCAAATCAAAATTATCTGGAAAATTGAGTTTAAGAAGCAGAGGACAAAGTTTGTCAGAGAAGGAACAGAAGCGCACTAATATTGTCTCTAACATAAAATCCTTTGTGCCACTTGTTCAACAAAAACTAGCAGCTGCTGTTCTACCTGGTAATACATTTACGCTTTATTTTTTAAGTGCTTTTATAGGAGCTCAATGTATGGTACTTGGTGTACTTCTTATCCTTGTTGCATACCCACTGGGAATTAGATATTATTAGCAAGTTCACATGATAGTTCATGGTATCTATCCCTGTCCGTCTTCATTTCATCGTCCTTATCCTTGTTTTTAAATGGCTTAGAAGTTGGAACTTCTTGTCCATATTTTAGTGCCAAAGTATTTACCTCATTATCCTTCTGAAAGTATTTACTAGAGAGGCGATTGGTTCTGGTCTTTTATTATACATCTGATTGTGCAATTAGGGTGTTTGGTGCTATTATGAAGCATTTTGTTATGCTTAATTCATTTATATGCTATAGGGATCTAAATTTTAAAATGTGTATCGAACTGTTAAACATTCTGACATAGGCTATTTGCTATTTTCAAAGCTCATACATGGATATCTTTGTATTGATGTGCAGAAAAGAGAGATGTAAAAGTTAAGGCTCTCCAAGCTGCTGAAGCTGCCAAACGTGCTGCTGAAATAAGAGAAAATGAACGCAATCAGAAGAAAGAGGCAATGAAGCTTGAACGAGCACGAGTGGAGCAAAAAAATATGAAGGAAATGGAACTGAAAAGAAAACTCAAAGAGGAACAAAGAAAGAAAAGGGAGGCTGAAAATGCAGCTAAGAAAAGACAGAGAGAAGAAGAAGAAAAGAAAGAAAAGGAAAGGAAAAAACAGCGTATTGAAGAAGCACGGTTACAGCACAAGCAAGCAGAGGATAAACTTCAAGCTTGGAATGAGGATTCAAGATGTGCACCAGAGGTTTGGCCTTGTCCTTGTATAGTCTCAACCATTATTCGTCTATCATTGTTGGCTTAAATATTGTGATCATTATAGGAAGGAAGAGCTCATCAGAGAAAAGACTTTAATGAGAAAACAGAAAAACAACTTGACAAAGGATATGAAAGAGAAGATTCAGAGAAGGCAGTGAATAATTTGGTCGTTGGGAGTGATAGAGGAGAAACTGATGATGGACTTTCAACCTTAATTGATCACAAGATGTCAACGGGATCTTCTGCCGTTGGAAAGGTTAAATCATTTTTCTGTTGCACTATGAACTGTTTTAATTGGTTTCTTTTTTTTTTTTTGTTTTTTTTTTGTTTTTTTTTGTTGTTTTTTTTTTTTTTTTTTTAATGTAGAAAGGGTGGGGGGCAGGGGGGATGCATAGTGCATACAGCATTAGGTTCCAAGTAGCATAATCTGGGCTTATATGTATAGATATATTTGGCTCATCTACCTTTCAGACGCCTTGGTTTGTGGTGAAATCTCCCTTTTTATTAGCTTTGATGGTCTTTGCAGGTAAGTGCCGTTGACGTGGCTGAAAGTTCAACACCTAATGTTGACAATGATAAACCAACACATAGAACCAGTGCGCCACAGTCATATGATATATCACCATACCAGTGCTCAGATGATGAAGAGGATGAAGTGGATAGAATACAAAACAAGAAATTTGTGCCTACATGGGCCAGGTTTGCATCTTAATTTAGTTCCTTGAAATTGGTTCTCTACATTGTAAGCTTTTTAATTCCTCTTTCTTAATGGTAGAGGTAATATCAATGTATGGGGAGTTATCTGGTTAATCTGCTGTAGGTTGGGTTTTGGTTTGTTGCTATGGTTTTTGTTACATTTCACACATCTCCTATCATGTTTTCATGATATGATCAGTTGTCAAATCAGCTTACATTCTGAATCTTGATCTGTTGCTTGTTATCTTCAGTAAAAGCTGCGTTTCATTGGCTGTATCATCTTTGCAACACGTAGATCCAGATCTGATTTTTCCTCCCGGATGTTTTTGTAGCTTGGAAGAAGGTAAAGTTCTTTATATGCCTAATTAGTGATATACTTAATTAAATTGAACTATTTCACATACCAAATAAGTTCTATTTTCCTCTCCCAGTTCTTATGCCCAGAAGATTACCACAGAAATAGAAGGGAGAACAGAGTTGGCAGAGATTTGCTTTTGGTTTGCGAGCAGGTAAATCCCCCTTTTCTGCTCAGGCCTTCTGTCCCTGGTAATATTCTTGATCAATTAGCCTTATTCAAATATGAATTATAACTCTAGACCGTAGAGGTCTTTGTTAACATTAGCCACAACTTAAATGAGTAGCAAATTAGCAATACCTGAATCTCTGGTACTTGGCCCAATGTAGTTTTATTTTTACCCCCTTTTCACTGCAAAATTTTTATTAAAGTTTGGGAGTACATTCATAATCTAGTCAATTTTTAGATGTTTGATATGGGCATCATCTTTACTCATCGCTGTTATCTTGTGACAACAACAATCTGCCGTATTGCCTTTCTGCTATAGAAATCTGGTAGTAGGCTTTTATTATTCCTCTCAGTTATACTTAACCACTTGTGTGGTTCAGCAGATTTTTGAAGGGGCAATGTACACCACTACCTCCATTCGTCAGCTGAAAGAAGACTTCTCACACTCATAAATGAATTAAGAGACTCTTGGATTATAGCTGTATATATGTCTGATATTTTACACTGGTAATGTTTTTTTAACAACCCTTAGTTATCTTAGTAGCTTAATTCTAAGCTAGGAATGATTGCCAGATTCCACTGGCGTATGTAATATTATAGATTTGAAGAGTTGAAGGAGCTTTCAAATTTCAGAGGAAGCCATTAGCTCTAGCAACTAATGCTCAGATATTGATTAAAGTCTTAGGCGTTTTCAAACTTTCACCAGTCTGATTAGCAACTCGTGATATTCTTGCTGGATTAGAATAGAGAATATTGCCAGTCATCCAAGATTGTTTGGATGGAGGGATAAGGATAGAGTATCGCCTTTTTATGTAGGAACTAATCTCTCCTTGTGTTATTTATTTGTAAATCGATTTGTTTTTTTTAAAATTTTTCTAACAGCATAAATTTGCAGTAGAGGCATGTAATTTCATGGTTACTCGAAGTAATATTATGTATCAAGGTTAGCTACCTGTAATTGTTGATTTAGTGTCGGACATTTTTAATCTATCTATGTCCTCTGCACTTGGGATTTGCCTGGATTTTTCCTTAAGTACAAGGGTTTAAAGAGCAAGTTTCTAGATTCTCAGGGGGAAAAAAAAAAAAAAAAAAAAGGTATATTTGTGGATTTGAAGTTTTCACATTGCAACGGCTAGTGAATTGTATCTGTGTAGTGTGTATGAAAAATGGTGGGCCTTGAGTTTGGACTTTAACCTGTGTGGAGTGTGGGTCACATGACCCATTTACCTTTGTGCCCTTGTCAGATTGATTTTTTTTTTTTTTTGTTTATTCATTTGTTTGTTTATTAATTTATCTGACAGTTAGAAATTTGAATTGTGGACTACTTAATGTATTCACTTCCCAATTCCGCATTGCCAATCTTTTACATTAAGCTCGGATTCCAATGGCATCTCTGTGTATTTGATACTCTAGGTCTTACTTACAGTGAAATCAGTGATCATTGGATCAATTTGGTAGAATAATATATTTTGATTGATATGCTAAATGTTCTATTTGAGGCTAAAAAGTTAAAACTTTAGACTTGACAAGCTTTTAAATAATCTGATATAATAAATGTTACGATATGAATTACTCATACTGTATTGATAAAGTTTCTTATTACTAGAAAAATATTTGGTAGAAATCTCTTTAAGGTTTTGTTGTGATCACTTTAAGTTTACTAATTTCAGATCTTATATGTTTAGATATACGATAAGTATAGTGTTTCAAAAAAAAAAAAATACGATAAGTATAGAAAAAATAAATTTTGATAAGAGTTTATAAAAGTTAGTACAAATTATAATTAAAATAAGTTCATGTATGTTTTAGATAATACGGAGTATAACTCCTCTACACATTGTAGATTTGTAAACCGCTAATAAAATCTTATTGGATCTTTACATGCTATATAAAAAGGGACATAAATACGCTCTTTGATAAGTTTATGCATTATATGTCACCATAAAATAATTTTGTGTTACATGAAAAATTGAAAATGAGGATATAGTTAGAACTTAAACTTAATTAAACATAATAAAAGCCAAAATTTAGTCAAAACTTAATATTTTCTTATTATGTTGTTTTATCCTCGTATTGAATTTCATAAAGTTATTTTATCCTCATATTGAATTTCATTGTATAAAACTTATACCGAAACTTATTACACCAAACTTATTCATTGGTTTCAAAAAAATAAATAAATAAATAAATAAATAAATTGAATTTCATTGTATTAGGGTGTGTTCTATGCACCTGATTTTCACTGATCTGAACTTATTAGATCTTATTAAAACTTATTAAGGGTGTATTCTATTCACCTGATTTTTACTTATCTGAACTTATCTTATCTTATCAGAACTTATCTAAACTTACTTGAACTTATCTAAACTTACTTGAACTCATCAGAACTTGTAATATGTACTTGGGTAACCCTTATCAGAACTTATTTTTCTTGAACTGAATTTATCTGAACTTATATAAGTGAAAATAACGTGAACAAAACAGATCCTAAAACTTATTTTAGTTGTAGTTTGTACTTGAATAAGTATTATTAAAACTTATTAAACTTAAACTGAATTTAACCGAACTTATTACACCTGAAACAAGTGAAAATAACGTGAATAAAACAAACCCTAAAACTTATTACAAAAACTTAATACCAAACACCTAACACCAAATTTGTACTTTATATTGAGTAGTACTCCGTAGTAAAGTGGCTGATATCATTAACATGGCAGCTCCTCCCATTAATTAATTTGGTCAAACCAAAACATTTTCAATCATTAATGTCAAATTTCAGAATTTCCAAAATTTCATGCAACATTACTTGGACCCACCCACCTCCTTATGACATCACATATCAGTAACACTAGTGCTAAACTGCTAATAATCATATTAAAACGTCATTTTCACCTATTTTAACAAAGATTTAACCTAAAAAGTTCTTAAATAACCGTTATACAATCCACCTACAAATATCAACCCTTTTTTTTTTTTTTTAATTTTGTCCAAAAATAAAAATAAAAACTATAAAAAAATTTTGTAACCGACAACCCACGCGCCCATTTTCCAACGGTTTAAACCCCATTTTCTCCCTCCTTATTTCCCACTCTCTTTCTCTCTCTTAAAAATACAACTACTCTGTTTTCCCCTGTTTTTCAATTTCTTTGAAATGCTAAAATTCTCCAAGAAATCCAGCTTTTTTTCACAAAATTCAACCAAATTCTTCTGTTTCTTGACAAAATTCCAAATACCCACTTCAAATTTCACACCAATTAACCATGAATTCATCTTCAAGAAACTCAATTTTTCGCCTCGGCTTCGCAGCAATCATTTTCTTCCTCCTTATAATCTCAACCTCTGCTTCTTCAATTAGCTTCCATTTCACATCGTTTAACCCCAGAAATTTCACTTTATTGGGTGATTCATATCTGAAAGATGGAGTTGTTGGTCTTACAAGAGATGCTACAGTTCCAACTACAAGTTCCGGATCAATCATTTACAATAACCCAATTCAATTCTTTGATTCTGAAGCTAATATTACCGCTTCTTTTTCTGTAACATTCTCTCTTTCAATCAGTAATGTTAATCCTACTTCATCTTCTGGTGATGGATTAGCCTTTTTTCTGTCTCCTGATAATCAGACTCTTGGGAGTCCTGGTGGGTATTTGGGTCTTGTGAACTCCTCTGAGTTAACCAAGAATCGTTTTATCGGGTTTGAGTTCGATATGAAACTTGATCCTCATTTCAATGATCCGAATGATAATCATGTGGGTTTGGATATTAATAGCTTACAATCAATCAAAACTGCCAATTTGCTGTCAAAAGGGATTGATCTTAAAAGTGGGGATTTGATTAATGTGTGGATTGATTACAAGAATGAGAGAAAGTTGGTGAAAATTTACATGGGTTATTCGAATACCAAGCCCACAAACCCGGTTTTAGAAGTCGAAATCGATCTTTCGGAGTATTTGAAGGAGTTTGTGTATTTGGGGTTTTCAGGTTCTAGTGAAGGAAGTACTGAAGTTCATCTGATTGAAAGTTTTGGTTTACAGACTTTTGGATTTTTGCCTGTCAGACCTCATTTCAGGACTCATAATGTGTCTGACAGTACTGTGACAATCTCTCCTGTTCCGAGGCTAAAATCGAGCTCAAAGAATCGTCGAAAGAGGATTGGATTAGGCCTTTTGATTGCTGGTCCGGTTTTCTGCTGTGTTGTTTTGGTTGTTCTTGGTTTTGTTTTTGCCAAGAAATGGGAGAAAATCAGGAAACAGAAGAGTTTTAAGGCTGAAATGGTTACTGGTCCTAGAGAGTTTAGCTATAGAGAGCTGAAGTTTGCTACAAAGGGGTTTCATTCGAGTAGGATTCTAGGAAACGGCGCGTTTGGGACTGTGTACAAGGCTTATTTCCTGTCCTCAGGAGTTATTGCAGCAGTGAAGAGATCAAAGCATAATCATGAAAATAAGGCTGAGTTTCTTGCTGAGTTATCGATTATTGCTTGTTTGAGGCATAAAAACTTGGTTCAATTACAAGGTTGGTGTGCAGAAAAAGGTGAATTGTTACTTGTTTATGATTATATGCCTAATGGAAGCCTTGACAAAGTGCTGTATCCCGAGAAAAAAATCGACAATAACCTGCTTCCATGGCCTCAAAGATACAATGTTGTGGTGGGTTTAGCCTCAGTTCTGACATACTTGCACCAAGAGTGTGAGCAGCAGGTTATACATAGAGATATCAAGACTAGTAATGTGTTGTTAGATGGGAATTTCAACCCGAAGCTGGGTGATTTCGGGTTAGCTAGGCTTATGGATCATGATAAAAGCCCGGTTTCAACTCTAACAGCAGGAACAATGGGGTACTTGGCTCCTGAGTATCTGCAGTATGGAAAAGCTACTGAAAAGACTGATGTTTTTAGCTATGGTATTGTGGTGCTTGAAGTGGCTTGTGGAAGGCAGCCAATAGAACGAGTAACGGGTGATGAGAATGTGGTTAATTTAGTGGATTGGGTGTGGGGGTTGCATTCTCAAGGAAGGCTCCTTGAAGCTGCTGATCCGAGGTTGAAAGGGGAGTTCGATGAGGCACAGATGAAGAAGCTTCTGCTTGTTGGGTTGAGCTGTGCGAATCCTGATTGCTTAGAGAGGCCTAACATGAGGAGGGTGCTTCAGATTCTTAACAATGAGGCCGGTCCTGTACTCGTTCCAAAATCGAAGCCCACATTGATCTTCTCAAGCAGCCTTCCCCTCAGTATAGAAGATATTGTTTCTGATTATGAAGTTGAGAGCAAAGCGTCAGAAGATCTGTTTCAGGATACAGTTCAGTCTAGTCAGGATTTTAAAGAGATTTGTTGAACAATATATACTGCTTCTAGTTTCATTCTTTCATTTGTTTGTTTTCTTTTACTTTTTTCATTCTTTCTGCACAGTGTGACATATTCCGTAAGTCTTGCAATCAATTATTACCAGTATTATTTTTGAGTTCAAGGTTTTAGTTGAACTATGTTGCACATCTCCTAGCTTAGGCAAATAGGCAGTATGAACTCTCACTTGGTACATTAGTACATTACACAACAAATGTAGTTGCTGTAACTCAATTAAATGAATACGCAAAAATTCCTTCTATGGCATTCTTTCTCTCTCTCTCTCTTTTTTTTTTTTCCATACATATATTATGCACAACAATGAAAACAACTTACATGATTGCGCACTTGTGCTCAGACTTGGCTGCTTATGCTGTGATGCATCTGATGCTCGAAACTGCTTGGTTTGATCAGTTTATCCACCTGGTTTCCTCTCTTGCAATTTAAAGTACTACTATTGAAAAATATATGACCCTATGAAATCTAAGTACAATGCATTACACTTGATAACTTTTCATTAGATTAGAAAAAATGATTCGTTCCCCTGAAATCAGCATCTCTGCATAATTTAGTTTTCTGAAGTAAATACTACTCGTACTTCTTTCCGGAGTAAAAGCATTGATCATAGAATTTACCATTTTATTGCCATTTATAGCTTTATAGATATGTATATGATCAATCCCAGTGGTGCATACCATTTTCCTATGACTCCTACTCTTACTTCATTAGTCTAAATAACGATATAAAGATCTGCTTCTTTCTTGTGAAATTGTATCAGAATTCAGAATGATGAACAAAGATTATAGCAGTAGATTTTTATTATAAATTTAATTGTTTTAATTTTTACCTCTAATCAAACTGTGGACTACTATCAAATAGGGACGGAGAGAGTATGAGATAAGAAGAACGACTACGTTCACTTGTATAAGACAAATATGATGTTGACAGAAGAAGAGAAAGCACACTCCCAACACTGGTAAAGGTTTTTCTTTAGCAAATGATGGGTTGTGCTCTCTCTCTTCTGTCAACACTTCCATCAAGCAAAATTTACCAAATGGACATGAATAGCCTTGTTCCTCGAGTCATTGCGACGATTAGAATAAACTACAAACAAGGCAGCAAAATGTGCATTAGAATTATACTTATACAAAAACACACAGTAGGATAGAAAATTTAGTCAAATAATTTTAAAATGGAAGAAAGTAATGGGATAAAGATTATCTATTGGATACATGGAAGTCGGATACATGGAAATTTCAATTTAGGCCAAAATATGCAAAATTATAGGAAAACAACACTTGCAAATGTATCCACACTGAAAACTTGTAGTCGTGTTACTCGTGTCCATGTAACATATAACATGCTAGAAGACATTTAAAGTTGCTTATGGCTAATTGATCTTAACTACAACCAAGAACAAAAAAACATTACCAAAATCGCGTAAGAAAGGATGAACTAACCTTCGTTCTCTACTGTTAGGCTTCCAATATCGATCACCACGTTGAAATTTAGAAGACTTTTGAAGTATCCTATGGCTAAATGTTATTCAACATGTATAAATGAGTCCGAAGTTTAGTACATACAATTAACAAACATACATACATCTACTTATATAGTTATATACTGTGCTTACAGGATATGCTGAAATCAACAATATCTACTGTAATTTTCTACCAAATTGATGGCTTACAACACATTGATACCAATCAAAATCGACAAAGATTCGAGTATATATACTAGTATTTGAATAATCAGAGAAAAATATTTATGATAACGATCATATATCTTTGTGATTACATATACAATTACATAGGAAGGAGGAGAAAGATTTTCTATTTTACAAAGGTTTTTGTAAGTCAACTGTATCAAGATATTATAAGTCTATATTCATTAAAGTCAAGGGAACATTGTTATCATGTAAAAAGAGATGGGAATTGTGTAGCCCATCATCTTGCTAAGATCGTTCCTTGTGGTGTCGAACAAGTACGGGTAGAGCACTATCCTAGGGAGATATCCACGTATGTACTCTCGGACACTTTGTCCCTTGATTAATGAATTTGTTCGGCAGCTTTCCTCAAAACAAAAAAAATAAAAAATAAAAAAGGCCTAGTCAAAGTCTAGGATATATTGTTTGTACATACCAGTTATATTACATGGATTCTCAGTGGTCCGTTCTTTATACTCATATTGTATGATTCTTTAGGGTACTCGTTAGCAAGATCCCTGTTATAAAATGTTCTTTAATTTCTTACATCACATCGAGTATTCAAACATCATACAATATGTTTATTACGACACAATATGTTCTCCTTAGGTATTGCGGTACAAATACCTAAGTCAAATGCAAAACTTGAATGTGTTCCTTAATTTTTATACAAGTATCTGAGTGATTTTTGCTAAAAAATAATAAGGTAACTATTGTTCATAATATACATTCGGGTTATCCTAATATTTATGTTCAATAAAGCATGCATATATTCATTTAATTTAATCAATTAACATTAAGTAACAAATTTCACTTTTTTGTATTAAAAAATTAATGAATATATCTATTCAAAAAAAAAAAAAAATTATAATAATTCCGCACCCAAAAAAAAAAATTCATAATTCCTGAAAGTTCTATTATGTTTTCCTATTGAAGTTAAAATTTCTAGTGAAAAAAATAAAATTATTTCTCAAGTTTTATCTTGAGAGAAAATAATTTATTTATTAAAAAAAAAAGAGAAAATAATTAATTTATTTACTTTAAATTTTAAAAATAAAAAAAATTGCATTTTGACTGAAATCACGTTCAAACCACTATTTAATTAATGAGCTAAAAACTTCCCTCAATCTTTCCCCACTTTTCCCTCCACTTCCCCTTACTTTGACCAACACTTAAAGTAACTACCTTAACTGCCACTTTCCCTCTTCTATATAAACTGCAAAACTCTAAGTACTTACACTTACATTTGCTTCATTCTTTGCGCTTTCTTTACTTTCTCTGTATAAACTTACTCTGATTTCATCAACAAGAAAAGAAAATGACCGCGTTTTCAGCAAACAAAGCTTCCAACTTTTCTCTGATTTTGCCGTCCTCTTTGTCTATTTGGCTGTCTTCCATGTTTCCTGCTTTCAGCTTGAAGTAGGAGGTGACAGCGGATGGGTTAAGCCTGATGGAAGCGAGTTCGAGACTTACAATGAGTGGGCAGAACAACACAGGTTTCACATTGGAGATACTATCAGTATGTTTTCTTGCATATGAATGTTATAAAACAATCTTGCTTATCTGATTTTTGTATGTTAGGCTTGTTTAATTGTTGGTTTTGGTAATTTTAGTGCTTATTATCTGACATTGTACTGTAACTGTAAGTCAGTTTCTGACAATCTGATTGTTTGTTTTTACTGATAGGATTCAAGTATAAAAATGACTCAGTGCTCCTGGTTGAAAGAGTTGACTATGAGAATTGTGATGTGAGCAACCCAATCTTGAAATTCGATGATGGGGATACTGTCTTTGAGTTTGATCATTCGGGTTTTGTATACTTTATCAGTGGGGAACCAGATCACTGTCTAGCAGGTCAGAAGATGATCATCCGCGTCATGGTGCAAGCTGCTGCTCATCAGCCCACTGCCGCTGCCCCTGCACCCTCGGCTGAGGGACCAACTGGGGGTCGTGATGGCGGAGACGGGTTCATTACTGACTCGTGGTGTCCTACCCCTACCAATGCCAGTGACATTCTGTCTGTCACATCTTATTTTCTGACGCTGTTCATGGGTGTCATGATCGTGCTTTATCTGTTCATGGATTAAGGAAGTTCTTTGATGTTAGGAATGTTCTTTTTATTGCTTTAGAGTTTAGACCTTTAGGGCAGAGTTCTATTAATCTATTTTAGTTGATTCATGTTGTTTTCCTCTGCTGTTTGAGGAATATTTGTTTTAATTTAGTACCATTAGACTTTGATTATGATTTTAATATTAATATGAATTAATTAATTAATTAATTGTAGTGCATGTCTGCATCCTTTTTGCATTTTTTCTGAAACTTCAGCTGTTCTATACTTCTGCGTACTTTTCCTGCAACAAGTGATGGTTTTTATGATGGACAAATTTAGCCACAAAGTCCATCTGAAAAATACCAAATTACATGAATAATTCGCTGAATTTTAAATTTCAACAGACTAAAAAGTGAAAGCCAAGTGTAATAGACACATCAATATAGAACCATCAAAATTTCCCTATATTATTTCCAAGATGTCTTACACTGAAATGATACAGGGCATCAAGTATGAATTTTAGAAATCTAATCAATTTGCTAAGATTCAAATGGTTACACTAAATGGCCTATGAATTACAAGAACTTGTGACTTTCAACTCTCTGTTGGCTTCAGAATCAGGAGAGTACAAAATCTTGTCAAATATATTCTGATCAGATTTGCACTTCTGAACATCTATCTTCGATTTGGTTGCTTTGCAAATCTCTGGTGACGGACTTGACCTTTCAGTTTTCTCAATAATTTTTTCTGGTTCTAGGTTCTGGATATCCGTTTCAATTTCTATTAATTTGGTCTTCCAATTAATTCCAATAGCCTCTGCCTGCTCTGCAAACAAGACCTTTGAAATTGGGGAACTGCAGATATCCTTGTAAACTTCATATCCAGCAGCACAGGTTTTTCCACCTTCCAACAACTTTGATAAAGGATGTAGGACAGAGATGGAATCATCACTTGTTTCTAAACTTTCCTTTAAGGCGAGGAAGCTAGCAGCCAAGTCTGCGGTACTAAATTGAACAAATACTGCAGTTTCATCCAAGTTATAGATGCAAGCAACTGAGTGTATACCAAACACTTTACAGATGCAATTTTTTATCTTGCCAGCCCTGAGTTTTGGGTGGAATCCCCAGATCAATACGATGCTAGGATGCATAATGTTGAGAAACCTCCTTTTAACAGAATTGATAACGGGAATTTCATTCACATCACCAGTGCTTAGATTGATTACATCTCCTGAACTCCAACTGAGACAAAGCTGATTGACATATTTTTGAAGATTCTCACTGTTTAATAACTTCTCAGAAGAAAAATCAACACCCAGATGACTGCAAGCTTGAGCAAAGATACACCCGGTCATGAATGCATCATAACCAGCTTCATGCCTGGCCCCAGAGTTCCAATTTGAGGACCTGGAAAAAGACTTCGGTATAAATTGGTTTCACATGCAAAAAGTAAAGTGGAAAGTAGCTATCAGCAACAATGTGAATAATTGCAACTGACACTGTCACACTGGTCCAAACAATCAATAATCAAGACAGACATGTTGAAAGACTCAAAAGAAGCATTTTATGGAAGATTAGATACAAGGCAGTTCAGGTGACAAACCTCATGTCATCCACTTGAACCTCCACCTTCACACAAGGCTGTATGCCCAAATAAGAGGATTTTCCGGAGGCTATCTTAGGGCACATCAGAGAAAATGAGGAGGCCAATGATGTGCTGGCTTTATTCATACATTTTTGAAGGCTTGCGTCCGCATTCAACAGTACTTTTGTGTCAACAATTTGAGGAAAAGAATTGTGGATGTTTAACACAAACTCTTCAACGGTTGATGGAAGAGGACCAAAGAATTTATGGTACACGTGAGCCATATCTGCCACAATTACAATACACCATATCTCAGATGACAAGAAATGACACTAGTAAGAACTTTAAGTGCAAACATTATAATATGGTGTAGGACTAATGCTCCCACCTCTCACAAAGGCACAATTAAAGTGGGGATGGTTAACAATTTTTTTTAAATGAGAGGTGGGCTGTGGGGGTGTTGGTCCCAGACTGCCTGAGCATGTAAGCAAGAAAAATATACCTAATAAGCAATTGTGACCTACAATTAGCTTATTTTCAGCACAGAGGAGGTCAGTGACATGCCGGAATCCTGCAGCTGCTTTTACTTTTCGCCTTGCATGTTGGTGAGAGTCATCCTTTATCTCCTCCTGCAAAAGACGGAAAAATTATAAATGTGGCAAGCAGAAAAGGCTGCACAAAGCTAGTTATTGTCTGCCAAATACTAAATCTAGCTCACCTCAATAAACAAAGGAGATATTGTTTAGTAAGACGGCTAAGACCTAATCATGCCAAGCAGATTCAAAAAGAAACAAACAATCCTAGTACAATGTCTGCAACAACCAACACCAACCCCGCATGTATCCCATCATGACAAGCTATACTGACCTACTAATTAAGATGGGCCAAGGGAAAGTAATTAATGTAGTAATTATCACAGTGTAATTGACATTTTCTCACCATAAGTTTAATCTTGTCATCGTCGGACTCTACATAAACAACAAGCTTCTGCAAGATGGAACTTTCATCATAAGCACGAACGAAAACAAGATTCTTAAAGTGCTTCCTTATGACCTGCAATTGCAGTGCTAAATTAGTGGAATTCCAAAGTATAACAAAATAAATACCCAAAAAAAAGAAAGAAAAAAAGCTGCATGTAAGACAATGCAAGCTCATTTACATAATAATCCAATAGAAACAAAGTCTTCAAGAGAAGATCATCAGGATTCAATGTGCTAACTGTTTACAGGAAGACCTAATAAAAGTACTCAACAAGAAACCAGGCATACTAGCTATGGCTAAGGCATTAAGTTCTATGAAATGGACAATAGATGTCATCACACAAGTTACTATTGTATTAGCATCCCGAAGTTTAAAATCTGGTGCAACTTGATCAATATCAGTAAACTAACACTGCTGCAGACAAGATATTCAACCTGAAAATTGAAATAAAAAGAAATGATGCATGAAAAAAATGTGATTCAAAGGATTACCAATTCCATCAACTTCAGCTGATGAGAGGTGAAACCGTTCAATTTAAGAGCAGGACGCATATTAAAAAATATGGTTTCAAATCGTTGTTTAGATTTTACAGCACTTGGAAGCTCAGCATTTGCATTTCTGTTGAGTAGCAACATATCATGCCAATCACTGAGCCGGTTTTTCATCCGTTCTGAGAATAGAACATCAGCTATATTGCTCAAAGGTATATCTCTAGCTTCATTAGCATTTTGCCATTTCCCGTTATATATTGAATTCAAGCGACTCAAGGCCTCGTCTTCCTGTCCTCTGGATAAATAAGACACTCCTGAGATTATGCAACGTGTAAATTTACCACAAAAAGTTGACATCATTGTGACTATCACAAATGATAAATGACAAATGTTCTAACACTGTTCATGCCATCTATAATTTTCTATGAATATAAGTCTGAATGATAAAACTGGCATGCTTGCATCCACCCAAAACTGGCATGAACACATACGTAAGAATCGAAAGAGTAATGAATCATGTATCTTACCTTCATGTATACATGTATTGAAGTCAAACTGATATTTTGCCAAAAAGTCAATCGAACTCGTCTGGCACAAAAATTCATATGACGGGCCATCAGTGGGAAGCTCTTGACGTGGAAATATGTAAAAATTATGCCTGCCAATGAGACGATATGACATTATTAGATGGAGTAATCCTTCATAAGCCTTTCCAAGAATTGAGATGAACTTATTACTTTCGTCAACCAATAACATTTGGACTAAATTCTGATGCACTTGATTGCCCATGTTCCAATTCACTTTGATTTATATAGGTCCAGCAATTTCATTCAAAGGCACTAAAATTAACACCTATCTACCAAACAGAGATATCAAATATAGGTAAATTAAAGCATGACAAGCATCCTTAAAACATTGCAAGATTTGAGCACAAAGAGCAGGAACAATAACCGCAGTTAGGACAATTACCATCTCAAGACCAGAATTAACTTGATATTCAACAGCCATACTAGCTATTACCTTGCAAACGATGAACACCATACTCTAGCAGACGGACGAACTCGACTTGGGGACGGGAGGGGGTCCAGATTTCCCTCCATCCATAATAGCTATCACTCTTATCACTTATCAGGTTGTTACAAGCTTCCAATTTACCATTATTAACTAGGATACCACATAATTTCCAATTTGTTATCCTCACACTCTTCCTATCATTTCATCATTCAATTTAAGGAGGAGCATCCTAAAAAATTCAATCATAAACCATTACCATTCGAGAAAAAGCAACATCTTTTTCCAAACATCCGAAAAATTATGCAGAGTTAGCATGACCATAACCTATACCAAGGCGACACATTCCACAAAACGAAAACTTCTGCTAAAATACACTACTTCATTACATCCTCCATTGCAGCACAACACTAAAAAAAGAAGTCAGCATTTTTTGAGTTCCTCTTCAACTAAAATTCAAAGATTATCATCAATCCTAACACTATAACTTCTTCATTCAATCAGCTCAGCTAAAATCACTACTAAATTCAAAATTTATGCACAGATTAATAACATTCCCAAATTAAAATTTCAAAAAACATTATAAAATAACAAATTCAATAGAAAATGAACAAGATAGAGAGATTACTAACGGATGAGCAACGAAAGAGCCCTTGAGGGAATCCCAGCGAAAGGGGCAAACACCAAACTGAACAACAGCAAATTTCTCAGCAGAATCCTTAATTTTAAGGTACCGAACATCGTGCCGATCGAACTCGAACGTTTCGCGCCAAGGAGAACTCGTAACTCCGGTCATCTCCAAATCAATGGCGACGAAATCAGCAGCTTTGACATGGGTAGTAAGGTCGACTAGGGTTTCTTCAAAATTGGATTTTGTTACATTTTTCAATGAGAAATTTGTTGTTGAAATTGAAGAAGAAGAAGAAGTTAGGGTTCGAATTAGGGCGGAGGAGAGAGAAATTGGGGAAACTCTGCAGAGCTTCTTCATTTCTTTTCAGCTCACTGCATCGCTTCTTGTTTGTTTTGAGAAGTTTATACGAAGTAGAAAGAATATTTCCCCTTAATGCAAAATCTATTATTTCGTGTTAATTGTAAACCTTTGACTTATGTTTGACAAATGACAATGTACGATTGTTAAATGTATAACTACAATTTATGAGTAGACAAAATTTACTTTGAAATTAATTCAATGATGTTTCACATGATTGCATTTGTACTTGTCCGGCTTCGGTCCGATAGGAGATGCTTTTTCCTTACCTATTAAAAAAAAAATCGCATATACTATATTGAATTAATGTAAATGCGGGATATTGTATTGTATGAAATGATTTTGTTAAAGGTTTAGATGATATTTTGGTTTTTTTAAAGTGTATTGGATTAAGATAATTGTTGGATGGTTTTATGTATAGAAACTAGAAAGTAGCGTTTGGACAATATTCAAAATATTGTAAACTTGTATTGGTTTCAATGGAGAATTTTTGAGAGAAGTTTAACATTTAACACCAAAGTACCAGTCATCCTCTTCAACTTCAAGAACGATTCAACCTTGAGCTCATGGCTTCATTTACGATTCAATTTTGAGCTCGCGATGTCATTTAAGCATCAAGGTCATCTATTTTGCAGCATGTAGGATCTTCGCACAATCACATGTACATGTATGCTTTAAGATGAAACACTACCCTTGGTGACTAGATTCAAATAGATTTATAGGCCATCCTCAAGGTGAACTTCCATTAAATAGTCAGACGAAATAACATCAACAATTAATTTAGACTTCTAATCGATGCATAAACTTATTTGATACAAGCATGGTCATAGAGCGAATGCAAATTTACAAAGCATGCCAAGCTCCTCTGAATGATAATGGTTTGGCATGGAATGCCATGAAAGTGTGAAATAAGGGGAAGCCAGATTATAATGGGTGAAGCCAGGAAAGCGGTGCACCTGTCGCCATATCTCCAATACTTCATAGTTCATGCACTATATAAGATTATAAGTAGTTTGTAGTGGGAAGGGGAGTTTTTTTACCATCATGGTCAGAAGTCATTTGTCAGAATTCAGAAATTCCAACATAACAGCAGAAAGCTTCATAAATTGGGATGAATAATTATGCCACATGATTGAATGTTGAGTGTTTCTAATGCATAATCAACCATTCGTGTTAAATACACTATGACTTTGACATATTAGGTGTTATCAAAACCATAATCAACCAGAAGAGTGGTGCAGCTAAATGGGAGCCCGATCTGACTAACAGTACGCCCCCTACCCCCTCCCCTCTATTTGTCTCTCTCCTCCAATCGTCTGCAATTCCATGCTGCCAAATTAGCACCTATTTTCCCCATTGGTGGTTGTTCAGCAAGGTCTTAGATCGTTGACACGAGACACCCAATAAGTTGCTTTAGATGTTCAATATTCCTGTCTCTTTGGCCTGGCCTTCAAAACAGCATCAGCAGCCTGCTAAATCTTCAGTCCTTATATCAGGATGTGCTGCTTGTTTAACTCGTTCAGTAGGACAAGTATTTTGACATTATCCTGTATCAAAAAGGGCAATGCAGTTGGCACACCAGCCAACTAATCAGTTACAAACTCTTTATCATGTTATCTACTGCTCAAAATTAACAGTTAAAAGAGAAAAGGTTGTATTAGATGCAAAAGAATAACTTTCAAATTAGCTGATGGAAGATAAATAGCAAGAGACCACTTAGAAATAATATGAATTACATTTAAGGTTTTTGAAAGTTGAAAGTGGCATGCCTTCAAGACTACCTCATCAGCTGGTTTTCTTAGTTCTTTTGTTTCTTGTCAGTCTCTGGAGCTGCCACAACAGATGGCTTCTCACATGTTTACTGTGATTGAATTAGACGTGCAGCAAAAGCTCCATCCATCGAATGCTTTACTGGACATGAGCAAAAGAATCCTTGTTCAGTTGAAAAATCAGGTGGAACATAACTGTGAACAGGGTCTATTTGGAATTCCTGTCAACCAGCAAACAACAAATTAACATAGAGAAGGAGAAAAGAATTATCCCGCCAACAATTACATGAAATGGAAGATGCTAATTTACAGGTAATAAGAACAAAAACTCCTACCGGATGTCTGATAAGAAATGCAAAAACCCTGTCTTCATTTTCTTCAGGATCTATGGAGCAGGTACTGTACACAAGCACACCGCCTGGTTTGACCAGCCTGTGGAAGTTTAATAGACCACAAAAGGAAATAAAATTAGTCTTATGGGTCAACAACCAGGAAAAGAGACTTTTATTAGAAAATAGTCAAGTATATGCAACTTTCAAAGGCAGGGTAAATTTTGATCTCACTTGCAGGCAGCATCCAACAGCTCGTCCTGCAATGACTTTAGCTCTTCCATATCCTCCAGCTTTCTATTCCAGCGCAAATCCGGTCTCTTCATAAAAGAAAAGAAAAGAAAAGTTAGATTAACACTTCGACATCTCAAACAGAGAAATAAATTTTTTAAAGATTTGAATGGAAAAAAAGCAGTACCACTTACTTTGGAAAGTACACCGAGGCCAGAACATGGAGCATCTAGCAAAACTTTATTGAATTTTAATTTGTTGCTGTCCTGATGCAAATAGAAAACATTGCTATAGCAAACAAGAGGGAGAAAGCAAAGCTAGTATCACTGTATCACATATTACAGTGACTTACTGCAAAGGAGCGAAGATCAGCATGGATGCAATTTATCACACCATCAACTGATTGCAGCTTGGCTGTTTCTTCAAGAATTCTTAGACGCCCTTTATTTATGTCAATTGCTGATATCATACCTGAAAAGCTTGACATTTAGAATCTAGAACCAGCATCATCAATAGTTAAACTGTTGCTAAGGAAAAACGTCTACTTGTTCATGATATACCTCGGCCATTCAAGCGAGATGCCATGAAGAGTGTCTTTCCCCCAGGAGCAGCACAACAATCAATGATGCAATCATCCGGCTGTGGGTCCAGAACAGAAACAGCTAGACCTGCACCAAAGTAAAGATGTATTATAGTATTACACTGTCATTAACGATTGTGTGAGATGATAAGGTCATAAATTTTTCTGACATTTTATCTTCGTTTATATTCTTTTACATTAGTAGAGAAAAGGATGGGATTATCTATCGATATGAGAACAATGGCATCAGATAAGATGGTCTTGATCCAAGGAAAAAAAAATACAAGTATGAAGAGATAAGATGTGACAGTAAGAACTGAACAGTGAATATTTCCAGTGTCAGCATATCAAATTACTACTAATAAGATCTAGAAGGCATTATTTATGAAGCAATAAAAAATAATGGACTTGAAATATGCTGACCTGCACTCTCATCCTGAACTGAGCATAAACCTTCTTTTAGGAACCCATTTTGTATCACAGTCTGGGATATGAGAAACAAATCAGAATATAAATTGGTACTAAGAAATCACATTTCATAAAAAAAAATTAAGTTATTATGACAAGACAGCACCTGCATGCCTCTTCTGACGCGCACAAAATCATCCAAGTGCAAGGAAGGTTCATGTGGTACCTAAAGACAAAGTATTATGATGTGAATAGATTTGAATTTGGATGTCCAGTATATAAGAGGGAAGAGTCATTAACCTTCAGCAAATTAAGCTTCATAACAAGGTCTTCTCGAGTTAATCCTTTCGCAATATTGGCCCTTGTACCAAGAGAACAGATGAAGAAACAAGAGAAAAACAGGATTAGTAACACGACCTGGGTAGGAAAAACGTTGAGGAATTCAGGACTCGGAGGATTATAAAAATGTCAACCGCAAGCTGAAACTTGGATCAGTGTTATTCCATGTCATCAATTTGATTGCTGCTTCTTGTCCAAGGTACTTGGTCCACCGTCTTACCATCCACTGGTGAGGGAGGAGGGGTTATGAGGAAAAAGGAAACTAGTCAGCATTACCACTTGTTGTAATACCCTGAAAGCATAATACCGCCTCCAGGTCAACATATACAGCTATCACACTCACAACTAGATTCATGATGCTTATTTTTATGTGTGTGTTTTGGGGGGGGGGGGGGGGGTGGGGGGGGAGCAGGGGTTGCATAACGAAAGACTGCCATGAATATTGTCCCATATTCTCATGTATACGAGCATATATATATTCAGCTGCTAGTTTAATATATTCATTACGAACTCACCACTGGATGGGAATGAGTAGTAGCAAGGGCACGTGCTTGTGCGCGGTCATTACCATCCAACTTAGGTACAGGAAGGGAATCCTTATCCTGTAAAGAGAAAGGACTTAACGTTTAAAATTATATCAAGGATGAACAACTTAATTAAAAACATCCACTCCCACAAAAAGAATGGTGGCTTTTTAGTGGTTTGCCAACACAATCTCATTGATTTGTAAAATTGATTTGATATCAAGAAAGCTTTGAACCTTAAGAGAAACTAGTTTTCGGAGGATCCCATTCACCATGTTTCCTGCGCCTGGTCTAAGAGCAAACTTGGCAAGATTCACATTCTGCAATAGAACCAGTGGTAAGAGCATGTGTCTGAACCTAAAGAACAAAAAAATATAAGCCTCTAATTTCTTAAAAAACCATTGTTTTCAGAATATAAAATAATGCAACCCTCTTCAGTTGCATAAAATAGTACAAGTGTGCTTAAGTCACTGCAAATATAGCCACTGGGAATCACCATTCACTTTGCTTAGTAATAACATCATCAAGTTACCACAAATATAGCATTATTTACATGTAAATGCAAGCTAGAAGGAAACAACAACAAAGAGAGTTATTGCAAATCACTCTTATAAAATCATGACTACTCCATATTAACTCCATAACAAGGTACAAATTATATCTATGAGACATGTCTCCTGTAGCAAAGATGAGTAAGAGCTGACCTCGTCAACAACAGCATATGGAGGCATTTCCCGTTTAAGAATCTCATAAAATCCAATCCTTAGGATCTAGAAAAAAGAAAAAAAAAAAAAATTAATATACGTCACATGGCATTCTACAATGAATATATAATAATCACTTTTTTATGGTCAAATCTATCCAACCACTACAGTTTAACAGCTACACCTTAATAAAACCAGATAGCAGCTTTTGAGACAATAAGGCACTTGGATATATACTTACCAAATTTAAAATCTTTAGCTCAAAAATGATACTTGCATCACAGATTTCCAGAACAAAAAAAAAAAAAAAAAAGTTAATCCTTAGAATAAGCATTTTTGAGTAATATACCTGTAGCAGCAGAGGTTCCATGCTCCTAAAAGAGCCTTCGTCATGACACAACGAAAGAATCAGATAGTCCAGATATTTTCTCCAGCGAATTGCACCACCAACAATGTCAGTAACCTTAGATAACAAGATGTACATTTAGCAGCAACATTTCACTTCTATAGAACAATACAAAAAGCTTTATGCACAGGCTTTAGTTCTTAGGTTTATCAATCTGGCTTGAGGAACAAAAAGAGCGAGTAGCTTATCTGAAATTCAGACGGAGTATACAAACCTAGGTTGGGAAGGGTTGATGTTGGAGCATCTTCACAAAAGGGACTTGATTGAGTTTAAAAACCAGTCATGGTTCATAACTGGTATATAAGTTGGGGTGCAAAAAAGAGCAAGTAGGAGCACTTCAACTTTATTTAGAATAAGCATCTACAAATCTTGGATGGAAAGTTTGTTAGTTCATGTTCACTAAAAGAACTCATTTGAGTTCTAGAACCATTATTTCAGCGCCATATCATCAAATAAGTTCTTGGTGGATTTTCGTACGAATATCACACTATTAAGAGGGACTCATTATGAGTCCAAACACTCCCAACAAAAGATCCTATACATTCTTTACTCGCTACCAAATAATAAACATCACGAAGACACAAATATTTTTCAGATGAAAGATCACACTTTCCCACCATATTCCTTGTGGAGGGGTGTCCACCAATGGAGGAGGCATCCATGAAGGTGCCTCCAAGCAATGAGAGTAACTGAGATATTATATTTATATATTTTCTCTTGTTTGCTAAATTGCATCAAACCCAAGTCACAAAAGAGCAAAAAGAAAGAAGAAGCATCTATATTCAGGATAAGTATGCATTTAAAATTTAGCAATGGCCTTAGAGGGTATAAAGTAGCTTTAAGACTCAATTTCGGCCATTAATGATATAGCAAAAGATAGGATATGGACTATGATGTTTAGGAAGATGGAGAATGGAGTAGAATACCAATCTGAGATCTCTTTCTTCCAGGTCTCTGGTGCGAAATCCAAGAGTCCTTTCAACATATTCCATTTCATTGTTCCCTGAACCCTTGCCTCTCTCATTTAGAAGATCAGCGAAAGCACCACCAAACTCAATCCGCATCAACCTCACAGCAGCCACTGAATTTACACACGAAACCAAACCAAAAGTTAAAAATCCAAACAATCTTCCCTATGACCAACATCACTTTTATCACCTATTGTGTTCAATATATGAGCATTAGGATAGTTAGGAACGACATCAACACCAATTACCTTGGCACAAAAATGCCTTTCAATATAAACACTAGAATTCCATTAATTTCAACCTCAATAATTTATAATAGTAAGTCGGAAATTTAAACAAATCAGAAGACAGTCCAGAAGAACTTTCATTTAAGTGTAGTATCGCAAAGACGGGCAAACCTAGTTAAACAAAAGGTTCAGCCTTCAGCCCAAGCTTAATGAGAGTACAAGCTATGATTTAAGCTTAGAATCCCAACAGATTGCAAGATAATACAAGGGTAAATTAAAAGTAACCAGGTATATATTGAAATAAAAAAGATTTCAACACTCCAAAAATTGAATTATGATTGCCATAATACTGAAACACACTTCAAACCTTCTTATGGACTAAATCAAACCACAAATGAATCATAAACTTTTCCACCCCACATTATATAAATGCAGAATAATCGAAATTATGTCAACTAAAACACCACCAAAAAAAAAGGTAACAGCAAATTTTGAAAGATGAATTAGATTAATAAATTAATATACCAGCTCTATGGGGTGAAACCTGCAAATTCAGCTTCTGGGTTTTCATTGGAGAATCAAGAACACCTGAAAACAACCAATAAAATAAATAAAAAGAAGAAATGCCCACTTCTTTAATTAAGATTAAATTGTTAAAAATTAAGGAAAACGGAACTTAAATATTTGAAATTGACCTGTCTTTTTAAATTTTGGTTTAGAAGAAGAAGAAAAAGGAGGAGTATTCTGATGGTGAGCATGGCTGATAATTGCAGGAAATGAATGTGGGGAAGTAATGAATGAGCTTCTTGTGAAATTGAGTTTAGTGGGATTGAAACAAAGATCAGTTTCAGAGAAGAGAGACAAGGGATGAAAGTTGGTGATGGTTGCCGCCATTGTTGGCTGTTAATTAAAGCTTTTTTTTTACAAAAAATTTAGTCTAGTAGAGCAGATAAGCTACAACAAGAAAACGAAAGGGTGCACTGATTTTTTTTCTTTGTCAAATAAAAGGGAGACCCCTATTGCAAATTGATGCACCCGAGTGACCAATTTAGAGGTGTCAGGGTTGGCTCGAAATCGACTTGAAAAAAATAAAAACAAACAAACAAATTTAAATTTCGATTTATTTGGTCATAATAATTTAACAAAAGTTAAATTAAAAATAGACTTGACTTGACTTTATTGACCATGGCCCAATTATAATACACATAGAGTCATGATGCACTTGTACGGAGTATATGTTACGAAGTATTATTTGTCATGTTCTTTCATTTTAACTTTTATGGATTTTAAGAGGTTCGTGTTATTTTATTTTAGCCTTTTTCTATATCAAAATTGCATAATATACTATGTGTATCTTATATTTTTATGAACTTTTTTTTTTTTTTTGAAAACATATTCTTATGAACTTCAAAACCCTAGGGTGACAATGTTTTTAGAGACTAGTGTGTGAGAGTGCATACCAAAATAAATTTGGCAAAGAATCTAATCAACGATCCTAACCAACTAAGCTAAAATTACTTATAAGTTTCTCAACAAGATCGAAATAAAATTAATAATCAATCCATAAACTTGCATACGTACGTCAAAAATCACACAATTATATGTAGTATGTTACGAAGTATGAACTTAAAAATTCTAGGGGTAAATAATGTCATTATCAACCCTTAAGCTTGGTATATTTGAAATTTTGGTATATTATGAGTATCATTTTATAGAGGGACTATAAAAACAGAAAAAGAGTTTTTTTATTTATTTTATTTTGTTTTATTTTATTTTGTGTCAAGAGAGTCACGAGGGCGAGTGATAATAATCGATCCCAGGATCACTTGGAATAAGGAGGGAAACTCTAACCACTTGAGTTATCCCTCACTCTCATAAGAAGAGAGTTTGTGTGATGAAGTGTGTACAAATTGTATTAAATTTCGGGAGCAAATCTCCTTAACAACTCTATCCAACTGACCTATAGTTAAAAATTAAAAGTTTCTCGGTATGTTAGAACTAATAATTTTAATTACATAAATGAAATCATCAACCCCTAGGAGAGTGGGAGATAGTTCAAGTGGTTAGTGCTTCCTTTCCAATTTCAGGAGATCCTGAGATCAATTCTCATCACCCGCCCTTGTGGTTCTCTAAACAAAAAAAAAAAAAATCAATCCTTAGCCCCGTATATTATACTCTAAACACAAAAAAATAATAATTAAATAAAAATAAATAAATAAACAGGTAAATATCTTATCCATCCGAAAATCCTATAAGTGACATTATTTTTTAGACGGACTGTATAAAAGGGAAGAGAGTGAGTGAGTGAGTGTGTGCTGCTGTAATAAATTAAAAGCGCCCGCTTTTAAGTTTACAAGTTTACATAACATACACTAAGCTAATTGAGCTTAAAAAATGGTAGACCAAGAAGAGAATTACAGAATGACGTTTGATGATGAAGGGCGTTTAGTGTCTGAGGATGGTTCAGTTCTTCCGGCCGATACTCCGATTTGGGTTCCCGATAAAATTCCTGTGAAATTTATAATGGTTGAAGACGATAATTCAAGTGAAGAACCTACATTCAAACAAGTCTATGGAAAATATTTGTATGATCCTGTTCGTGGGAATTCAGCTTATTGTCTATTTAGAAATTGTCTGAGGTTGTTTTACTGGAATCACATTCAGAGGTTTAGTTCTTTGGATTCTTTGCTTGGGAAAAATCTTGTCTTTCTTCAGGTATTATAATTTACACTGCATTTTTATTTTATTTTTCAGTTTTTTTTGCAGAAAATTTCATGGATTAGTGTTTAAATATTTTATTTAATTACTTTATTATGGGGTTGTGATTTTGTTGAATGATGCTGATATCCCATGTTTTATTTTTGTAAGTAATTTTAAATGGGGTTGTGTTTTTGTTGTGATTCATGTGGAAATCTGTAAGAAAAAATTCTTAGTTTTTGTTAAGTATAACGTAGAAAAAAATTAAGTCTTTTTTTTTTATCAAAATCTATGACTTATGGTGTGAATTTTGTCTATATTTGTATGATTTATGCTTAATATTATTAGTGTGGGTATAATTTATCAGGGAAAATGTTCGCTTTTGATTGATGCTGATAATAATATTTTAGTAGGGTGTGGAAGAGTGTCTACTGTTTGGACATAAAGGAAACCTTTATTACTCAGGTAATTCCTTAAAAATTGATCGAAGTGTCAAAGTGCATGTCCATATCTATGATAATAGAGTGTCGAGGGTCTAACGCGAACACATGACCACGGGTTCTTGAATTGAAGCTTCTAGCCTTCTAGGGGCATAGGTGAAGAACCCTTCCTCGAATGTGGCTTCACCTCTAGGACTATGTCGTGGTTCGATTTTTGTTGATTATTTGATGTGTGTCTTTTGGTTTCAAGAAATGTAATTCTTTTAGCTTGCTATAGATCAAGAAATATAATCCTAGGATTGTTGGTTGTTTGCACTTTATTACTTGAGAGCACAATCAATGTTAATTTTTATCTTCTTCATTTAATTATCTTTTGACATGCTTCTTGTAAAACTAAAGCAATGTAATAGAAACTTTTATCTTCACAATTTTAATATTTATCTTCTCAATGCTTCATCAGTTATTGGTTGAAGGTTTACTTTGTCCAATTCTTACTAATTCTGTTTTTTTTTAATTATTTTTTTAGCTTGTCTTGGTTGATCCAAACAGAGAAATTCAGGAAAAGATGTATCAAGGCCCTTCCAGACAGAATCCAAAGGATCCTAAGGTGAATGTTGCTGAACAATCCAGACACAAGTTTAAAGGTTTTGCAATGAAACTATATATTTGTTTCTGCACACAGACTTGTCTAGTTTAGCATTAATTTTCTTATGTACTTGTAAATTGCAGAGCTTATTCCATGTTTGCTGCAAGATACCACACGTTGGGTGTTCTCTCGCTCCTTGGTGAGTTATCATGTCATACATACTTCAGGATACTTTAACTTTCTCCACATAATGCCTTCTTATTAGGCTCGGTTTGTTTTGATGGAAAACACTTTTCATGGAAAATCATTTTCTAAAGAAAAAAAGATTGTGAAAAATGTTTTTCTTTGCTTGTTTGTAAAGGATAACTGTACTTATGAAGAAATAGAAAGAAAGGAAAGTAAAAGGGAGGGGAAGTATGGAGGAGAGAAAATAGAGAAGTGGAGAGTAAAAATGAAAGTGTGACATACGTTTTCCTACCTAAATTGTAAATTTTTTCCTATGGAAATTTGTTTTCCACTCTAACAAAACAAACAAAGGAAAATAGAGAGATAAACCAAAACTTACGGAGCCTTAGTCTCCGATGGTTTTTTTTTTTATGCTGCGAACTTGCCTTTTCCTTGCTAGTCATTCTTAGAGCTGACTATTTTTGGGGTAAGATATTGCTATTGTATCAATCTTGGCATTCTTAGAGCTGATGATTTTGAACATTGCCAATGTGAAAATAAAGGTACATTGAAATATGGACTGGTTATATTATTACCTTTAACTGTTCTAGGAAGCGTAGCAAAAAAGTTATTGTAGGAAATCCTCCATGAAAAGTTGAAACTAAATAGGCTATTTATATCTTAACCAAGTTTGAAATCTTATAAAGCTATAACTTCCTTTGAAGGTGATCAAAGACTTCAACAAGGCCTTGTGCAATGAAGCACTTCTGAAGCTTCTCTCCCATGATCCTGTTGGCGGCCTTAAAAAGATAACCTTTGACCTCCCACTCGGTACTCCTGACAGCAAGGTACTGTTAAGTTTAGTAATGATAATATGAGACACAATGCAGGGTATTGTTAGTGTTGATAACTTGATGATGTGTATGCATCGACGTATGTAAAGATGAAGGTATATTGAATATGGAAACTTCAAGGAATCATATCAAAAAAATTACGATTGTAGGATATTTTCAGCTCTTAGTACATATATACATCATATTTAAGTTCTATTGTAACTTATCTTCAAAAGGCTTATATATAATTCATGATGCTGTGATTTCCGATTAAGGTGGGTAAACAAAGAAGCTACCTGATGGCTAAAGCAGTGGAAGAGTACAAAGATACACCCATGCCACTTGGAATTTGTTGTACTGAGGTACATACTCTTAAGTTAATTACTTCGTATTACTATGGTATGGGATGTATTGTATGAAATTATGGAACTAATAAATAATGCTTTGTTTTTTTTTTTGGTTCATATGAGCCACTAGGGCGGGGATGAGAATCGATCCCAGAATCACCTGAAACCGGGAGGGAAGCTCTTACCAACTGAGCTACCCCTCACTCTCAATAAATAATGCTTTGTAATAGTGAATCAGGTAGTTTAAAGTTTGAACGTATCAGTGGTATATGATTCAGGTCTTCCTGTTTGTTGGTGGAGATTTTGCTCTCGGAAATGATGGGGGCTTGAACAGCTGAAAGGCAACTCAGAAATTCTTGCGTTATCTCTATACAGAAGACGGCATACAGAAAGTACATGTAAATTTCTTAGCCACTAATACATTTATAGTCCTGGTCTTGTTGATAATTAGTCCAAAACTCGTTTGTAATTACAATAATAATTCCCTTCTGTTATGATGCAGGGGTTTGATGAGATGGCTTTTGGTTGCTCCAAAGTGAGCCCTGAGAAGATAACAATGCTTAAAGACATGCATTTGACTTCTTGAGAAGTTATGGTGTTCTGAATTCTGATCTTATCTGCTTATGAGACTTGTTCTTTAGCTCTGCTTCGAGCTGTTAATGAAACTTGTAGGAAACTTTGTCAATAACCTAGACGCGTTTAATGTGAAGAGTACTAAATACGTTGTTGTTTCGAGCTGAGTTAAGTTACCTAAAGCTCAAATATGGCTTGGATCGATATTGCAAGAAAATGCATTGGGTAGTTACTGACTTATACTTTTCGGGTGCTGAATTTCTCTTCTTGCATTGCTTATTGCTAGAGATTATGACATTATTGTGTTTACGCGGAAAATATACACATATATTTTCTGATATCGATCATATCTCATTCTAATAGTTTGTATAAAGTAAATCCTTTCTACAATTTCAAAGTAAATTAGTAAAAATTATGCAAATGCACAAAATTTTAAGAGAAAATATAGTTATATATTTATATATAAGCATAATAAATACTGTAAACTATCAAAGTTCAAGTATCCAACTTACAGCTCTTCTGATCTTGTACCTTACTTCCAAGTCGAACATGAACATCTCGATTTTTTTGCTTGTTTCCGATCTTGTCATCAATTAACAATCAGTGCAAAGGGACAAGCGATTCGACCCAAGGTTGTACAGGCAGCATCAGTGGATCATTTGGTAGTAAGCCAGACATGCTAATCTTCCTTATTGTTTCACTTTCTAAATCACAACAAATCAAAAATCTCTTTAGATTTTGTGAATAACCACTACTTACTAAAATGATGTTATCATTATTATTGCTTCCATCTTTTAAGCAAGCAAAATTCAAGTATCTCCAATCTCCTAAATCATTGATAATATTCAATGATCCACATTGGGTATGAAAGATACGAGTCCATGAATAATGCTCGTGCTCGCTTAATATCCATATGTTCAAATAGAACGTCACTAGACACAATTGTCCTTTCAAAGTCGACAATTTTAGTCTAGTTGTTGAAATTCCTTCGGGGAGAGGCATCGTGTAATACCTTTGAGTAAAGAGATCGAAACATTTTATGTGTTCACTTTCGTATTTGAGCCAATAAAAGGAGTTGTTTGCGAAAATGGTACTTGTTCCTAGTACACTCCAATCCCACTCCCAAGGCGGGTTTTCGATTATCTCCCAAACATTAGTTTTTAATCGATACACCAACGATTTTCGATCTAGTCTTCGTGTCTCATCACTATTCCATAACTCCGTAAACTTTAAAACCTTATAATCGTTGGATTTACGGTATAACCAAGTGCTACCATCTTAACAATCTCGATATACTTAGTTTTGTAGGCGAAGTTAACTACCTCAACAACCTCGCTATACTTGGTTTTCAAGTCGAAATTAAATTGTGGTAACTTTTTATGTACATTGGTGACAGGATTATAAAGCTAAGTGAAAGGAATTTTTCAAATGGATGATTTGGAAGTGCATACAAGAAGCAAAGTAAGCCATTGCACGAGGCGACTAATCCGACTATCTTAGCGTTACGTGCAATGTCTTTAGGGTACGGAAGTTGGGTCACGAGACAGTTTGTACGTGTGGTAAACGTCTATAGAGTAGATATAAGTAGTCTCTTTTTGAATGGATTCGAGGATGAGGGTATTAGTATCGGATATTGTTTTGAGATGAGATCGTCGACTAAAACGGAGTTGAATGAAATGTGGATCGTCGATTAACTCGTACCATGACTTTGAAACACACTTGAATCGTACAAGGAATTTAACGGGTAACCATGAGAGTATCTTGGAGATTAGCTCCAAAGAAATATAATTATGATATCTAGTCTTACTCTGATTCATCATACTTGCAACTAATTTTTGAACTTTCAATTCCTTCACAAATTTTTTTAAAGGAATCTAATTGATAGAAATAAAAACTAAGTTTGATAGAAATACATATAGGGAAGATTATGTTAAATACGGGCTTGAGTCGGATTATCCCAAAACCGTGGGCCGAGCTCTGATATCATGTAGAAAATAGGAAAGTTTGATATAATTTCCAATGAGATATCTAGTGCATATAAATAGGCGAATACTTAGGTTAGCTAAAGTCCTAGAGCATATAAATAAGCTAAAAGATATACTTTGACTCAGTTAATGATAGGCTAAGGCTAACAGACTATTAACAATAATAAGATAGAAACAAGATGCTGCTCGAACACTCTGCCTACTCGAAGCCTCTTGTTGCATAGGAATCTCATCGAACATCCCCAATGCCCCTGCTGTGGTTCTGCGAGTGAAACAGCCGTACATGCTGTGATTTTGTGTCCTAGTACGCATCGATTGTGGTTGAAAAGTGGCTGCCAGGAAGCTCTTAATCTTGCTACATCTGATTCTTTTGGAGATATTTTGCTTTGTTGGGCAAAAAACCTTTCGGAAGATGTTTATCAGAAAAGCTTATTCCTCTCTTGGTTTATTTGGTTTCGTCGCAATAAATGGGTCTTTGAAAATGTGTGGGACTTGGATGAGGCTCTCCTTCTCAGACATAGCAGACTGGTGGCTGACTACGGTGAGTATACCGAGAAGATTTATGGGAGTATATCTTCTCCCAGTGAGCCTGCTGGTAGACCAGTGTGGGTGCCTCCCCCTCCTGGTATAGTGAAGATAAATGTCGATGCGGCAATTTCTGAAGAAGGCTGGGTGGGGTTGGGTGCCATTGCCCGTGATTATAGGGGTCAGGTCCTGTTCTCGGCAGTCAGCAGGGTTAGAGCTCGTTGGGAGCCGTTGGTTGCAGAATGCAAGGCACCTATGTTCGGTATAAAGAAGGCCATGGAGCAAGGCTTAGGTGATGTTATACTTGAGGCAGATTCTTTATTGCTCGTCTCCAAGCTTAAGAAGAAGTCCTTCTCCTTTGCTGCTGTTGATGGTATTTTAGAAGATATAATCTCTGTTAGCTCGGGTTTTTCTTCCATTTTTTGGTCTCATGTAAAGCGTGATGGGAATTTTGTTACCCACCACCTAGCTAGGTTAGTGTCGTATGGTCGTGAACAGCTTTGGGAATATCTCGTGCCAGATGAGATTTCCCCATATACTGTTGAATAATCTTTCTATAAATTAATGCACTAACCGTTTTCTTAAAAAAAAAAAAAATAGAAACAAGAGATGATTACAACTAATCTAGGTAAAGGAAGGTATGTAGCATGTATAAATTAATATTAATATTAATATGACCAATTTTCAAAATTAAATTGATTGCATGAGTAGACGTCCTAGCCATGAGGACACATTAAATTGGTTTGGATTAAAATAAATATTATTCTTCACAAGTGTATAAAGGTCCAAGAATTATTTTTCCAATTATGTGTCGTATGCAAAAATAACCAAATTAACTGTTTAAAGGCAAAGTAGATTTTTTTCAACCACTCAAATGATCTCCTGGGGTGTTATGAGGTCTTTGGAAAAACAACAACATTTGTGTGTTTTTCCTTGGTTTGAAAAGGTCCAAAATCAACCAATTTTGAAATTTGTATCCACTGTTTTTGGGCAATTCGGTAAAAGAATAAATATTTGAAATGAATTCATGGGGTGTTCCACAAGGTTATATATATAAGTTGGTTTGGAACCAAAAAAAAAAAAAAAAAAAATCATATTCTAGGTCTATAAAAGCCCGAGAATAAGTACTTTTCAAATATGTGTCGTATAACAAAAATTACAAAAAAGTCAAATTGACCGTTTAAAGGAAAATTATTTGGTTCTAGCTACCTAAATGGCCTCACGGGGTGTTATGAGGTCTATGGGAGCTACCCATGCATGTTTCCTTTTCGGGTTCGAAATAAAGTCCAAAATTGGCCAATTTTGAAGGTTATAATCCATTATTTTTGGTCAATTTCCTTAATTTTATTTTTAAATTAACCTGAATGCATGGGGTGTCTCACAAAGTCATATAAGTTGGTTTGTAAGTTGTAACAAATGAGATCCTATTTATAGGTCTATAAAGATATGTTGCATATACCAAAACAGCTAAATTGATCGTTTAAAAGCAAAATATATGTATCTAACCTCTCAAATTACCTCCCGGTGTTTTATGAGGTTTGTAAGAGCAACCATGACACATTTTGTTTCTAGGTCTAAGAAAAGTTTAAAATCAGTTAATTTTACCTCTCGTTCAAAACTAATCATTATGTTCCAATATTTTATAAGTAAAATAAAATTATTTAAGTTCACTAACAATATAATTAATTAAATATTAATTTACTAGAGGCCTGACTCGAACTTGACCACGATGGAAGATCTCTCCAATTATTTTAATATTATCCAAAAACCCTAAAAAATCGATGTGACATTCATTTTTGGAAAGGATCTTCTAAATACAGCAACATAACCATGTAATAAAGAGGCGGCACATTCATTACTCACTAGTCATCCATATTCTCTGTTGAATCATCGAAAATGGCGGGTCTTGGTAAGAAGAAGCTTCAAAGGAAGGCAAAACAAGCTGAAAAGCGAGCAGCAAAGAAGGAAAGCAATCAAGGAGAAGAAGAACAACCTTCATCTTCTTCCTCAAATCCTGGAAATAGTATCAGTAATGTTCAACTTCTGCCACCTGATGGATGGTTTTCACAGCTGAAGAATGATGTTCTTGATTGTGGGCCCATTGGAAATGTAGTGGATGGTCTCTTAAGAAATACTGTTCGTATGACTGTTGAATTACGAGCTTCTAGATTTGGTTCTCTTCCCTTACTTCTTGGCAAGAATCTCGTTTATATTCAGGTCCATCTTTTTTTTTTTTTTTTTTTTTTCTTTTAATCATGTTTATGTATATATATTTTTGTCTTGATTATATTGTATTAGATGTGGGTATAAAAATATTGAAGTTTTGAATCATACTGAGTATATTTCAGTGATTTATGTTGGGGTTTTAGCTGATGTTGCTCTGGATTTTAGTGTTAATGCTCTGCTTTATTTACTATATATATAGAAGAATGTTGAAATATTTTATAAGATTGATACTACGTATTATTAAAATATTGGAGTTTTATCTTATATACTTATTAATTGTTAAGTGAGGTTTGATTTTGATATAGTGGTTTATCTTGAGGTTTTACAAGATTTATTTTTTTTTGGTGTTCTGCTTGTGGGGTTGTAGAAAATAGGTTTTGGGAAGTTGGTTAGGTAAATATTGAAGTTTTATGTGTCAAAAAAAATAAAATTATATATTGAAGTTTTGAATGATTTATCTTCTTAAAATAGGGTTGAAGTTTGCTAAAAAAAGGGTTTTTGCCCTTTTAAGGAGGTTGGTTTATATTATGTAGAGATATTATAAACTATTTGAAGTGGGTTTTGTTTTGGTATAATTTTGATTAATATGGTTTTGTTCAAGCATGTTGGTTTATTTAGTCAAAATTGTAGTTGTATAGGGTCAATCCAATAGGCAGGTCTTTGTAAAGACTGTCAAATAAATTGCATACTTAGTTTTCCATTACATTGTTGCTAGAAAGTTGGAGATTAATAAATTAAAAACAAATCATCTTGCTGCTTTGGTAACTTCTGTATGTTTCTATAATTGTGCGTCTTGGTTGATATTTCATAAATTCGGAGCAAATACTGCATAATGTGCTCTACTCAAAACCAATGTTGGTATACATGGTGTCTGAGGATTATCAAGTCATTTACACTGGTTGTGACGCTAGTGAATAACTTAATATCATGCCAAAACAGAAGCTGCATCTTGGTGATATATTAAAATCTATGTGCTTTAAGTTCAGTGGACATGCAAATCAATTCTGCTTGGATGAATTTAGCTATGTGAATTTCATGCAATTCAGCTTCTTTGAATGCATTAGTATATCAACATGGTTATAAGTGCATTAGTATACATAATTGTTGATTTGAGTTGCTGCTTTAGTCTTATATCATAACTTCCTCCAAGTCAAAGAAGGAATTATAGGATATAAATTGTTGCATTGAGTTACTCTTTGGCTTTCTTTGTGGTTCTGGTACTTTAGCAGCTTGATTCTCATATCACGAATGCATATTTAGATGTTTAATATGATAACTTTCTAGTTTAATAATCCTCTAAGAGAGAAGGCAAAAACAAATTCGAGTAACTTTGTTTTACTTTTCTTGTAGCTTGTGGTGATAGATACTGATAGAAGCATTCAAGGGAAGCTGTATACAACAGGAGCAGAAGTAGAACCTTATGCAGTAAATGTCACTGCACATTCCAGAAAGTTGTTCAAAGGTTTTGTAGCAAGACTCATATAGTTTGCTGGCATTGCTATCTATTTGATTTTGTGTTTATGTCTTATTTATTGGTCACAGATGCTGTTCCATACTTGCTGAAGGATACTGACCAATGGTTGTTCTCCCGTTCTTTGGTAAGGCATCGAATAATTTACTTAATGGTTCTGCCTGGAATATCGTTCTCATCAACACTGCTACACTATGTTTTCCCTATCCTTATAGAGTGATAGATCTTAATGAATTTTATAAGTAAAACTTTGAATCATAGCATGTAAACACCCCCATCTCCACGCAAAACCCGCAGTGATCTGCATATCATCTCTTGGTTATCACATAGTTCCTAATAGTGTTGCATAGATAGATGCCATCCTTAACTCAACTGAACTTATTTTGTTAGTACTTTGTGTTAGGAGTTAAGAAAATTCATTCTTTCCTTATAGAATCCTTTTAGAAGTATAGATCTTAAGCAGTTCATTTATAACTTTGAATCATAGCATAGACCCCCTCCTCCCAAAATAACCTTAGAGACTCGCACATCATCTCCTAGTTATCACATTGTGACTTGTAGTGTTGCATAGATAGATGCGACCCTTGCCTCAGTCGAACTTAATTGGTTAATACTTTTGTGCTAGGATGCTAATTCATTCTTGTTCACCCCCTTTCATCACGTCTGAGTTACATGTTTGCTTTAATAACTTGGTCTTCCTGACTGGTATAGTTGTATGTGTATATTAATGCTGTTTGGATCTAGACTCCGAATTAATAATTTTTTGTTCCAGATCACTGATAAGTGATAACAACTAGGTTTTTTTTTTTTTTTTTTTTTTTTTTGAAGAAAAGTGATAACTAGTTATATTTAATAACTATTTGTAAAATAACACCTTATTTGTCCCTTTCAGGTTTTCAAAGGATATAATGGTGTGATTGAAAAAGCAGTCCAGTTCCCATCTTATGATCCTACTGATGACCTACTAGAACTACCCAAGAATCTATCCGGTATTCGTTGTGCAGAGGTACTCTTCGTAAATTTCTTATGTTTCTATGAGCTGATTAAATTTTATTAGACCAGTAGGTTTTCAGATGTTTTTGTTTGCTGTCATTGCTATGAATGCTATCGTATCTGCACAGGCTATATGTCTCTGTACTCTCTAGCTTTCTCTGTTTGACTGTTGTGTGTGTAGTGTATGTAGCTGCTAAATTGCTTATCTCAATTATAAATCCATACTTCTGTAGTATGAATGAAGTTCCTTGATCTTTCTACAACCTACATCCTTACCTGTCTTATAACATCCTTAATCCTCCATTTCATTAGTTTAGTGAAAGGTTCTGAGATGTCTCATTGATTTTTCTATTTACTTTGGTATTCTGTGATACATAAACTGTGAATTTCGTAGTTTAAGTCTTTACTACTTACACTGATCTTATGCAACTATCATATTAATATGAAGAAAAGATGACTATGGTGTTGTAAAATTTGAGGAAATATTGGTATGCAACAGAATGAAAGAAAAGCTAATGGTATCATTGGGATGACATCAAACTATCATAGATTCATAGGGTGGAATTTTAAACTAGCTATATACATTTTGTGCAGAGCTTGTAAGATTAGGTGGTATATCGCTATTGATGACACACTAAGGAGGTTCCGGGTGGTATACCAGCTTTAAGGTCATTGTACTATGTGGTTTCGGGTTTAAGGAATGAGTGTATTGCCAGTATATGGTTGGCAATGGTATCCGTATCAATGGAGCAGTTATTATTTTCTTATGCCACAAAGCCTATAATCAAAATGAGCTATTCTATCCAAGTATCATAGTTAGCTCCGTGGAATATCTATGTTGTTTTTCAAATTGGTGCTTAGATTTTTATTTGTCGGGGTGGGTTCTGTTCCTAGTGCAGTCTTGGTATTCTATAGACTATTATCGCTAATGTGCAACTATATCAAATTCCTGCAAGCATCTTCTATAGCTTTCGTGTTAATGTTCTTAACTGTTTCATCTTAGTGTCACTCTTCCATGTAGCTTGAATTGATAAAATTATATGTTAGATATAGCAAGTGAGGCTAATTTAATGAGCAACAGATATAGCAAGTGAGGCTAATTTAATGAGCAACTTCATACTCTCTACTGAGTTTATTAACACTGTTGTAGCAGTTGTTGAATTATAATGAGCTGATACAGTTTCAGTCTCGGCTTTTAGGACAATAAGACTGTATATACAAGGAGTGAACTAGTTTTTTTTAAGGACAATATCTAAAATGGCTCAACCTCTCTACCCTCATAAAATTTAATCTACCTAGTGTTAATGTGTTAGCACGAGTTGTAAACGTTTGTTGAAATTTCAAGCACACATCGCAGACATCTAGATCCTATTGTAAATTACTCAATCCTATGTACACAATTCAAACTTCACAGTTTTTTTTTTTTTATTTCTCTCCAAACTACACGTTTTTTCTGACCCCTACTGTAGAATCGCTTGAGAATTGTTTTTCTTATGAGTTACTCTGTTAATGTTGGTCTGTCATGATTTTTAAAGACCCTCCTATTAAGATATTGAGTAGCTCTTGTTAGTTGCCTTGGATCTACTCTCCTTTGGAATGCAATCTATGCACAACATTGTTGGTTCTTTTCCTAGAATCATTGCAAGATTATAACTTTTTGCTTTGTTTTGTTTGCATTGGTTTGTTTTAAGGGTCTTAGCATAACCGACCTGATGGCGACCTCTATAGATCATTGTGGCTTTCGTCGTTACCCAACATGAAAACTACTTCTGTTTTCCAGGTCTTCTTGTTCGTTGCTGGGGATTTCGATGTGAAAGAGGATGGCTTGTGCTCCCGTGATGCTGTGAAAGAACTTCTGCATGAACTGAATTCGAAAGAGGGCATCTCCAAACTACTTGTACGTTTCCAATATATGTGGATACATAATATTACACCCTAAAACTAGTGTGACATATATTATTTGTATTCATATATTCCTGATGTTCTTGTTTCTATTTCTGTTTCTGTTTCTGCTTCTGCAGGCCTTTGATGTGGTGGCTGCAAGTGTCGTCATCTCTAAAGAGAAGTTGGAGGAACTGAAGGATGTGCATCTGAATTCGATTGCTTGAAATATCCGTAGCTGAATTCTAAAACAAACTTAGCTTTGTTTGCTAATCTTCAGATGTGATGTATATAACTAATGTTTAAGCAACTCGTTAACTGTCGTGACTAGCTGGCCTGGGCTTGGTACTTGATACTTGGAACTTTGGTAGCTGATGCAAAAAATGTGCTGGGATGTTTAATGTCAGCTTGATGTCTATTTACGGCGAACTATATAATTTGATGCTTTATACACGTACAAGCACAGGAATGCACCATACGCGCACGTGCACACACACACTACATGCCTGCACAGGGTCTGTTTCTATTCTCTAAGCTAATAGCATGTTCAACATGACTAACATACACTCACTCAGTCCTCAAGTCATCAGTCATCACTAGCCTATTGAATTTGAAGCTTACGATTATGAATCTCATGTTCCTCTTTATGTAAGGAAGCACCAATTAACAAACTTAACTTGTACGTCGTGAAATCATACAGTCATACACCAGTATGAAGCATCTAATGTGATTCCAATGTATGAGAATCGAGAAGTGTGTCTTGTTTGTGCAATTTAGGCTTGATGCGCTCTTAGCCAATAATAAAGGGGTACAAGGTTACAACATTGTATTGAATGTTAGGGGAAGACCGGAAGATTATACTTCCATACTTTTGGTTATAAACACTACTTCATATATTTATGGGATGGTGATAGGAAATCTTAAAACACAAGAAATAAAAAAAAAAAAAAATGTTAACTGCTATAATAAACTATGCAAATAACATGGCAATAGTGTATATGAACACAATAATTTAGCATGATTTATATTCGAACTAGACCTAACCCAATGACACCAGTACGGCATTACTCATGATTACTGATTAGAAATCTGTCTAGTATCACCTTTTTTTTTTTTAGGACCAATATCACCTTATTTCAGATAGAAAGAATACTACCTTAGCTTACATCTAAGATGACATTATTTTTTGAAATTTTGGCAAATTAAATGATTCTAGCTACTTAAATGGCTTCATGGGGTGTTATGAGGTCTATGGGAACAACCCATACATGTTTCCTTTCCGGGTTCGAAAAAAGTCCAAAATGAGCTAAGTTTGAAGGTTATAATCCATCGTTTTTGGACAATTTTCGTAAAAAAAATTTAAAATTAATTTGAATGTATGGAGTGTCCCATAAAGTCATATAAATTGGTTTGTAACTTGTAACGAATGAAATCCTATTCATAGGTGGTCGATAAAGATATGAGAATGAGCAATTTCCATTTATGATGCGTGTACCAAAATAGCTAATTGATTGTTTAAAAGCAAAAGATATGGTTCTAACCTCTCAAATGCATGACCTCCCTTTGTATTACTCGTATGAGGTTTGTAAGAGAGACCATGGCACTTTTTTTCCTGCATATACAGAACAATGGGTCTTCTCTCGCTCTTTTGTGAGTTTTTGAGAATAAAAGAGAATCACTTTTATGACAGTAAATCTCTATTACTCACTGTGAGAAACGTGTTTGTTTCTCACAGTGACAGTATCGTAAATAAAATGTATGATCTTGTTTGCAAAAAATTTGTGTTATTTTTTTTGGGACTTTTGAAATCTTATATTCTGTTAGACACATTACAGCAGACAGACTACTTGTTTGTATAATTGGTGTGGTTATATATGTTAGGATTGAAATGATGGTGCGTAGATGAATAATGCACCTTCGACTTTGCTTAACTTGGTTATGTCCTATGATCAGAATCTGAATTGAAGTTGTGATTCCTGTGAAGGTGCTCATTGATCAAGGAGTACAACGGTACAATCCATGAAGAAGCATTGGAGTTTCCTGGATATGATCCTTCGGGTGGCCTTGATAAACTTCACATTGACATGCCATATGACGACATTCGTTGTACTGAAATACTGTGGAACCTTCAGTGGATGGTAGTCTCCATGAATTTTTGCATCATCTGTTTGGATCACTTGAAGAGCCTCAAATTGTATTCATAAGTTCGATGGCTCAAGAAATCCCCTAGCAGTCTTATTTTTTGTTGTAGTTGATGATATATTTTGAGGGCGCCCCCATTAATCACTGTAACAATGGTTTTTGGTTTCTTGAATTACTTACCCAGCATTGAACTTTGAAGAAAGGGGCTTGAGTAAAATACATGTAAATAGCTCATACTCTTACGTATCCTACCTATCCATTCTAGTACAGAATTTGTCCTTGATTACAGTAACTTTTTCTTCTTCTCATTTTAATGGAGGAAAATATAGTGATAAAAAGGACTTACTGACTTTTGTTTCTTATTGATTTTTGTGGGCAACTGATTTTGTTTCTTAATGATTTATGTGGGCAACAACCTTCCTCCATTGTTGTTCAAGGAAGAAGCTGGGTAGAAGTTAACGCCATCCTTATCTTGGCGTTAACATGCTGGAGAAGAAATAATATAAAAATAGATAGTGCGCAAATCGAGGCAATTTATTACTACTCTGCCATTTGATAAACGTTTCTTTGCTTGTTTGTAGAGAAGGACATCAACAAATAACTTAACAACAAGAATTACATTTCTTTTAATTTAAGTTTTCTTCTTAGCTTTCGTAGTTTTCATTGGCTAAGTGATCAAGCAATAGTGTAGTTTATCACATAGCATGTATTGAAAATCGTTCGTCTTTTCCAATTGTATGACCATGGAGGTAATCTTTCCTTCAACTTGTACAATTGTAGACCTGACTCTATCATTTTATTAATGGAATACATTTGTATATTTTATCATATGTTTATCAACTCGTTTCTTTGAGCAATCTAACTCGTTTTACTTCTTTTGAAAAAACTTCCTTATTTATTTGTTTTACGTTAGAAAGGTTATCAATCTTTAAAACCAGTAACTCGAGAGGCAGCCTCCTAATACTCTAAAACAAGATAGTATTAACTTGTTGATAAAGAGCAATATTAACCTCAACAATACCATTACATGCGGTTCTTAAATTACCATCTCAGTACACTCGTAGGGGTCAGACTCATCGTCAAAGATACTATCATCGGCAAACAAAACATCTCGAATTGGATAAGATATAGAGGACTTTTTTTTGGAACAGGGGAACTCGTGTTTTTCAGCATTATAGGAAAAAAAAAAGCCGATTTATTAAACACAAAAAAACTGTAATTAAACTTGAGACAGTGCTAAATCAAGGTGAAAAACAAGTTTTCAACAAAGAAAATCCATATCCTAATTTTTCGAACGCGAGAGAGTGATCAGTGTATGAGAAATTCAAAGATCTACACAAATTTACTGGAAAAAAACTCAAATTAATTGAGGGGTTTAATATAGGGGACAATTGTGTGGAAGCAAATCGAATTTTTGAGCAAAAAATTAAATCGTGTTGCAAGAATCAAAGAGATGAAGAGAGGATGAAGATGAGTTTAGAGAGAGAAAGTTAGATGAAGAATCCAGAATTATGAGGAATTGTGAGGAGAAAGAAGATTATGTCGGTTGGGGCAATTAAAGCCTAAAGGAATATCTCAATCTTCCAAAAAAATCAATGGACACCTCACCTTGTTTTAGGAACAATTAAGGGATTAAATATGGGGAATGAAGTTATTTTGGTCAAAAATTATATCCTAAAATAGAAAGATTCTGAAATAGGATTTGTACTTTAGTTTACCCACAAAGGAATACATACATTATATTACAAGACGGAGGGAATAGTATGAAATGGATGTGAGCGGAAGTAGTAAAGTAGGTTAGTGTTAGTTATGTATAGACTAATGTATAACAATATTAAAATATAATAAAAGTACATAAAAGAGAGAGAGGAAAAAAAAAAAAAAGCGATGTAAACCCCACCATCACGTGAAAAGAGAGAAAATAGTTATGGGACCACACTCTAACTATACCACTAAAAGCTTAATACCATTAGAATTTTATTTCAATATTACTAAGAGTGTATTTAATACCAATACAAGCATGTATAGGATCACTGAATATACAATGGTATTATTTGACCACTCGATGAGGACCACACTTTTATTGCACCATTGGAAGCTTATTAACTAGTAAGTACTACTGATAGTGCATTTAGTACCACTACAAATATATATAGTGCCACTGAATTTGCAATGGCATTATGTGACCTTCCATTGATACTACTCTAAATTCATGACATACTACATAGAATTCTACGTGAATTTACTAATATGTCATCGGTTATGCATCTGGCCATGCATAGCCGTTATCTCTTTAGAATGCCTCGTGGATGTGATACCATTAAATTGTTTGATTGGATACATTTTTACTGTTCATGTTAGCCAATTAGAAATACTTTTGGGATTAAGGAAACATTTTCTCCATAGTTCAATAAACATAAGTTCAGTTTTATACAAATAATTTCATTTTAGCAAAAATTAATTTTAGTTCATTACAAAAAAGTTTTAATCACTAAAAATTCAACAATTTTAAAGAACAAATATAATAGAAAATTAATATTAAAAAAAAATTAATTAGTTAAAAAAATTTAGTTTGTAAACTAATTCCACTTCAGTAAAAATAATTTCAATTTAACATAAATAATGTGAAGAGAGGAGGGCCTTAGTCTTGCACAATTACGCTCTTAATAACCACTCTCAGAAACAGTGAAGTCTTTCCATTGTCAAGTTCAAAAGAGGGATATGTTTCCGTTGCTTTTGGCAGGTGAGTCTTTGCTGGGGCACAAGATCAGATGAATCCAATTAAGCAGATCAGTTTGGGGCGTAAACGCATTATCCTTGTCGATTAGAAGTGTTAGTATTGAATGTATATACTTGAGACAAATTATTCTTCTTACAAATCATGACAGTTCTCAACAAGAGCCTATAGTCAGATAGAAGGGTCCGACTTCTAGTTGATTTACACTGGAAATGGAATGAAAACCAACATAACAATATCCCATTTACAGTAAAGTTTTAGAGTACACTCAACAAAATTTACGAAGCTTGAAAAACAAAGTATTGCAACTAGAGAATCATTACAAGAAACTGATCACAATCAAGGTGACTCGCATCTTTCAGCCTCGTCAAATAGCAGATAACTCTAAGAAAGTCTTTCCACAAATGGATCTAGTAAAGTCTGGCCATTGATTACCTTTGTCGTGGCAACGATTATATCATATGCCATCAGTTCCTGAAAATTAAAAATTGCAATCAGAGGTTTCACCAAGGAAAATCAATAAAGGACGGTGTCACTGAAGGTGCAGAATAAAGAGGAAAAATAAATCACAGGCACACAAGTGCACACTGATACTGTGATAGATAAAAAATTACGAACGGGTAAACCCTTAGAGTTGGATAGCAATCTTAGTAATAGAAATATGATAAAAATCATGATCTTTCAAATTTTTAAAATTTTCAAAGTCCTAACAGCTTGGTAATCCACCTTTGCCTTCATTGAAGGCAGTAATAAGTTGACAAGAAAGAAAAGAGTACTGTTAATTTCATCACCCACAGTCAAAGTAGTGCAGATACAACAAATTAAGGTTCGCATGTCTACTCTAGATGCTAACTTAAGATTAACAGTTCAAATTTAGTCTAGTAATCACAAGATTAAATCAAACCTGAGAACTGAGAAAGCGAAGTGCAGATATCTCAGCAAATGTCACCCCACCAACAAAAACCACAAGTACTACAGAGCGTCTTCCAGATGCCGCTCTGAAACATAGGAAAGCCCCACAAAGGCAGGAGATGTCAGTATATAAAGCAGCTTTTTTGGACTGGAAATAGTAGATACAAATGCGACGATATGCAGAATATCACTACTCCGGATGCTTATTTTTAGAAACTTAAAACTTCAAAGTTTCTGAATAGAATATAATCTAAAAAGATCTTTAAATCTTTAGTGTCAATAAAGCAAGGTCAAATTAAGAATAGCACATTGTTATTTTAACCATATTCGATATTGAAATAAACAGACAAAAAGGGAATAACTCATATAAGGTTTTGTAACACGTAATGAGTGCATACTTGTCAACATTAGCTGATCCTCCTGACAGTGACTCCACTGATGAGCCCCTAGATAATGCCCCCTAAAGATAACATGCCATCAATTAAGATCATAGCAGTAAGAAGAAAAAAAACAGTTGCACTAAATCTATAAACATACGAAGATAAGCAAAGCTCACTCTTTTTGTTTCCAAGTGTGGTCCAGGTAGCAACTTCAATATTTCTTCAATGGAACGCCTACATAATCAATTAAAAAATCAGAACCATGATACTGAAAAAAAAAAAAAAAAAAATCCTTAGAAATATACCAGCAAAACTGTGTATTTCATCCTCCTGAACAGATGAATAATAGCATATGATGGGAACTAAAGAGTTTATAAACATAAGAGAAATTTTTTTATGAATATATCATGGCTATAGACTGAATTTAGGGATAATAATGCAAAAAAAAAAAAAAATCAAGGAGTATAAATGATTATTAGCTGGAAATTACAGCCAAATGGTAATTTTACTTTCTCTCTCTACAATTCACAATACAGAGTATATACGTATTAAATATTTATTTGTGAGATAATAATGTTGGATATAGGTATTAGCCAAAATTTTAAGGACTAATACTCCACGCACATCTTCTTATGGACTCTTTAATTCCTAAAAACAGATCCACCACTACTAAAAGACAGTTGAACTGTAGGAACAGAGACAGCAGGCACATGGAGTAAGGTGATTAAATACTCAACCTACATTAATAATAGAAGTGTTTGACTGCAGCTCATACAACATGACATCAATCTACATTCACTAGTTCGTATCTATAGACAACCAACAGTGATGCATTAATTTATTTATTTATTTATTTAATTTTTTTTTTTTTTTGACGGGGTGATGCATTAATTTAACAGCCTATTAAGTATGATAAGTGCCAGTGCAGTTTCTTTATAAACCGATTAATGACCTTGAAAGTCTGTGGCAAACCTTTTGATATGGGTATTTATACTTTCCGTGCCATATTTTTCAGCTCTGGTATGCCAAAGTCAAGAGGCAATACTGCAAGAATGAGTTGATTCATAATATTCAACAAACACACAGATATCACCTAAGAAAGTGATAATCAAGCAAAAAATCAAACTCTAGTAGCAATTATGCATGGTAAATTGGTAAGAACACAACCACTTTGAGGTATAATTTTAAAAAAAATTTATTTATTTTTTATTTTTTATCTTTTTATTTATCTATTTTTTATTTTCTATTACAACACTTTGAAGTGTAGTTGGTGCCCAGATAATTGGAAGTAAAAAATGTAAGGCCAAGCCTAAAAGAACCACCGCAGAAAAGATATAGTAGATATGAGTCTAAACTAATATCTCAGAGATGAATTTCCTTACCATCCAGATCTAATTGCTTGCTGGATCAGACGTATACTAAGTGGTGCATATCCAGAGAAGACATAAGAAATATCGTTGGGGCTGTCATAAACCACACCACAGAAGTCAGCAACAGAGATGATATACAGAGTATTCAATTAACACATAAAATAAAATCAGCATCAGAATCAGAGCAGGCATACAAAGATATGCTAAAAAGCACATTCACAACCAACAACATTATACACCAGGTCATAAATGGAGGCAGTGTTTCAGACTATTTTTGGCTCCAAAAGAAGTTAACAAAAATTAATTTACCATAAAGCAACAAAGAAATTAAGGAATAACATCTAACCAGATTGCAATACACTTTAAAAATAGCTTACACCTTACAGGAAACAACTCCATGCAGCTATTTATGGCCTACATACTTTAATCATTTCAGTGAGAAAGATACTTATACTAATTTTAAAATAAAAAAAATAAAAAAAGAAAAAAAAAAAAGATGAAGATAAGGGTGACAATCACGACATGTCAGCTTCTTAATATTGTAAATTTTGAAAAACATATACATCACATCACACTTTTCATAGAACTCAATAAGGTTTTGAAAAGATGAACTCCAAAAACCATCTAATACAAGAATTATACATAAGGGCAAGGCAATCTATGAAGTTCCGTCAATAAGAAAAATTCAATCAGGGTGTCAAAATTTCACATAGCTATTCAATAAAACAGATATTCATCAACTTATTCTTAAACCTTACTGTTAAGATAAAATAATGAGAATCAATGTTGATAATCTCACTAAAGAAAATGAATCAATGTTGATAACAATACCAATGTACGCTGCTTTGGCGTAGCACGTGTTCTTGATATAACTTCACTTATTAGGACCTAGCAATTAAGAAAATAGCTTAGATAGGTAGAAGAGGGCTTACATTACTATCTGGGGGCTTTATTAGCTCTTTACTTGTGTTTATCCAGCATACTCTCTCATCAGGGTCCCTGATTGCTCATCCAGCATGCTAGATATTACTAAACAATTATCTTTGGTTGGAGACTTGGAGATAGTGGAGGAATAGGTAGAACTTGGTGGATTGAATCTAAAACTGTATACTTCAGAATACATTCAAGTTTCTGGAATACTGTACCTAGAATAAACCAGGTGAGAACATGGTTTTGGCATTTTGATGAACCTTACTCCCTTCAGTAAAATACTATAATAGGGACTTGTGAATCATGCCTTAACACTAACTCTTGGAAATTTATCTAATAGGTAGTTTCCTCTTACAAATCTTGCAAGGCTACCGTAATCTTGCATCACTATGGACACCAGTCTTTACTCTATCACCTTCCTTTACGGAGCACTATCTCAATTAAGAAAAAAAATTCACTGCCCGCTTGAAGAACATGGGCTAACTTTAACTCTTTGGTGGATGGAATTGGCCGGAACTTATCCAAAACCTTAGCACCAATAATGAAGGGCCAAATCTAGGTATCGCATGTTTACAATCATGAGGAAAAGGTTAGTGGTCACCTCTCTTTCTCTTCTGTTGTTGTAGTTGGAAGGTGGGAAGAAGATAACGGAGGTTGGTGATGATTCAAATCTAACCATCCCTGATAGTTAGGAGTGTGAACTGTTGGTGGGGGCCACAGTTGTCAATCTTGTCATGAAGGAGAGCCAGTAACAGTATTGCAAGACTAGTGGCGTGGTGTAAGTGGTGGGCTGATGGTTATTCTCTCTCTCAGCACAATCATTGTGTTTTTCGGAAGTGACTGAGTGGTCGTGGTGGTAAACCATATACAGTTCGGTGGTGGCTAAGCAGTGGTGAGCTTGGAGAAAAAGGAGAAAGAAAGGTGATGGAAGAAGTTGGAGTGGTGTTGGGTAAGGAAATAGTGTGGTATAGGTCTATAGGATAGGCTGGTAGGTAGGGTGTTTAGCCTAACCATGGTTAGCATATTAATGAAAACTAACCCATTTGAGCCTCGTTAAGGTCATTTATGGGAAACTTTTTTAAATTAGGATTATTTTGTATAATAAAAAGGACCGCCATTTCGGGGGCTATCATTCGGAATTTCCCATTTTTTAATAATATGTTCAAAAGTTTTACTCATATGTTCTAAATTTTTACTCATATATATGTTCTAAATTTTTATTCACATATTCTAAATAATAAATCAAATGTTAAAGTTTTACTCATATGTTCTAAATCATAAATTAGGTTTTCTAAAAAAAAATTCCACAATTTCTAAATCTTTAATCATGTTATTACTCTTACGTTTTAAAATTTAAAAAGATGTTCTAATTTTTACTTGCGTGCTTTAAAATTTAAATCATATTTTCTAGATTTAAAATTATCATATGTTCTAACTTTTTTACTAGTACGTTCTAAATTTTACTCACATGTTCTAAATTTAAAATTTGTACTCATTTCTCATATAAGTATGATGTTCTCACATAGGAACCTATTCTCATAAGATCTCTCCACTGTATAAATACTAGCGTCAAATAAGAATTGAAATATTTACATCATTAGGTTTAAACCTATGTTAATCGGACACAGCAAAAATCGTGAAGTGTCTGTGTCGACACAACACGACACGGACATGGACATGGGATACGTGTCCGAGCCTTCACTGGGCACTCGGACGCTTCCATTAAGAATGGAGAGGAAAAAAGAGGAGAAACATGAAAGAAAAACATATCTTGTTCAAAGACCACCATTAATATAGAGAAGATTGAGAGAAGAAGATTGCCATTTATTAGGAGAAATTACCGAGGAAAGAATTAAAATTAAAAAAAATAGGGGTGGACATAATGAAAAATTTAAAGCTTTGTAATATATAATTTATTTATATAAATTTAAGTGACATATTGACATGTCCCCGTACCCGTGTCCAAATATCGGACAGAGTCCCATGTCCTTAAAATTTGGAACTTGCCGGATTGGACACTTGGACATGTGTCCATGTCCGACACCTATTCCCGAGTCCATGTAACATAGGTTTAAACAATAACCTAAATAGCCAAATTTCATGATTTAAGAATAAAGATAGTCCGATATGTTGAAAATTTTAAACAAAAGTAATAAAACAAGTAAACCAACCAAATGTATGAATTCTAAGTTATACTTAATTACTATGCATGTGGGTACTTTTGCTTTAAAGTGGCGAAAGATAAAGAGTAGGGGTTTTATTAAATATAATTGGACTCCACAAAATGGGATTCTATATGTTAAAAAAAATGAATAAAATGTTACCATAAAAGGAATAAAGTAAAGGTGAGTACAACTTAGAAAACCTGATGAAAACGGGAAGTGAGTAGAATTTTTTTACCCTTATTGTACTATTGCAATATAAGCCAAGAGGGTAATATGGTCTTTTAAGGGGGACACCTACCAAGCAATGCTTAGCTCGCTTAATTAGGTTCTTACATCATATTCTTGAGGTTTGGGGTTCAAGTCTTTCCTAGTGAGGGTGCTTGGGGCCAAGAATTCCATTACATTTCCCCCATTCCCAAGTAACCAATCCGCAAATACTGGACCAAGAAAAACCATGGGGGTAGAAGTCTAGTCAAAAGGGGTGGTTGTGGGTGTAAGGGAAATCAGGGAAAGGGGTGATTGGGAATAAGGATTAAGGATTAAGGAAAAGGTGAACCCAATCAAATCTATTCATCAAAAGTAGGGAAATGGAAATTGTGAACTAAACACGTAAACCATAAATTCCTTTCCCTTTTTACCTTCCCCAAATTATGATGCTTAACTAGAGAACCATAATACTGTTTGGTATCATGCTCCAAATACTGGGGAAATTCCCAGATTGGCATTTTCTTAAGTTCAACGTACATATGCTTTCTATATGTCTTGGTAACTGTTGGAAGAATGAAGGTCTTTGTTAAAGTGTTTGGATTACACAATTTAACTAAATTTGAACCAAGACAAACCGTTGGTTTATAAAATATTGAACATTTTCGAAACCAGTAAAAAAAAACACAAAAATATATAAAAAAAAAAAAAAAAAAAAAAAAAAAACCAAAAAAAATAAACAGGAAATGATGACAGATGTCAGAGTGCATACTTGGCTGTATATATCCTCAACTACAAGACGCATAGCTCGTTTTACAGTCAACCAGTTGCTTCTCATTTCCTGTCAGGATCAACAAGACAACAAGCATTAAATAACTACCAATAAACAACACAATAATTATGATTGACAAGTCAATATTGCTTATATTTACTATAACAGATGAACATAACCTGTTTTCTAAAAAACCCAGCCTTTTCCAGATTATTCAGTGTGGCCATGTGCTCAAATCCATAGCTATGAAGTATTTCTCTCCTTCATCAAACAAATGTACCATACAACACTCAGAACACAGTATTTTGAAAAAAAAAAATTGTTGCTATGATATGTAAAACAGAAAACATATTTATAAAATAAAAATTAAGATAAAAAAACAAATTGAAAATTAGACATCAGGTATAGTCTGTACAGATACCTCAGATAGTCAAATTGTCTCTTGGGCAATCCTGAATTTGTAACAGAAAACAAGATGAGAAGTCGGAGGACACTGGCAAGAGGTTCCTGCTTGTGAATCATTTCTTCAATAAACTCGAAAGATCTGCATTTTACATAAGCAATGGACGTGCCATTACGTGACTAGCAGAACCTTACACATAAAACCCTTGGCCAAACACATAATGCATCTACACAAAGCGGTGGAGCTAATGTGAAACCCACCACACATTCATCTGGCCAGGCAGCTAGCATGCACTCAAACTGTGAAGATACTAAATTCACAAACAGGTACATTTTTCCAGCATCTAGACATCCACTATTAATACGGAATACACTATGAAACTCCGCTTATTATGATATTTAAACTTACTTTTGAGTAATGCCGATACACGAGAATTCAAACTAGACCATTCTGTGACATAAAACCTACTTTGCAACAAAATTTAAGCTTGCCATTTTGCAAAATGCTGTTGTGTAATGTGGCTTTGACATCAATCAAAGACCGCTAGTTTACTGTATGGATACAATAGGATTCACAATTAAGATAAATTCTTTTCACATTGTCAACTACCAATGCTTAGAACCACTTATTTCTATTAAAAAATAACAAGATAAGTGCTAAACAGTAGAATATAGTTTATGCTATACTGTAAAAGATGTTTTTTTCCCCTACAATCTGTAATTACAATAATGAAGTGGATCTTTTACAAGTCACGTCACTGGCCACAAAATTTGTCAAACAACCATGAGATGCGACTTCCATGACACTGCGACCATGATTTTTTTTCACATGGGTATACACCTCATTTTTACTATTAAACAGACATGATCGTCAGCTTTAAATCCCCAAACAGCACATTGTATACAGTAAAAGAGACATGCTTTACCATTTCTACGTCCTAGAAATTGGTATTTAAGTCTACTTTCACCAATGATCAGATCTTCTCTCTCAAAACATAATCTCTAAAGAACTAAATTACTCTACCAAAGCCCCACTCATTTGTTCTTGATTTAGCAAAAGAAGTAATCAAATTATTTTTCCATGCTTATTTAACTATATGTCTGTATCAGCAGAAAATAACAGTAACATACATGTCATAGCTCTCAGATTCCACAATAGTATGTTCCATGTCAAGACGCCCAAGAAATGATGGCTTGGATGTCAATGTGGACAAATGTTGAGCAAGATTTATGTGCCTCTAGACCACAAAGAAAGGCAAGTTAAACTCTTGAACTCAATTGCTAACAACCAATCAAAAAGTTTGGAAACTATACACAAGATATCACTTACAGTCATCTCTGGCAAGGAGTTAAGCTTCTTGACGAAGTCCTTCAGTTCGGATACTGTTTGGTTCTGAAATTATTTTTTGACAAATGCAATTGGGTTCAAAATCGATATCTAAGTGCGTTGTATTACAGTAGAAGTTAATTTCTACAATTTCTTATTTTTCAGTAGCAGACTATCATATTACCAGCCTAACTATTTCCCATACATGTGCAAGATGCTTAGTAACATGTACAGATGTACTAAGGTTCATTCTAGAACCTTGAATCACTCTCCTTGAAGCAAGAGGGAAGACATACTCCCACTCTTAGAGGCCTTCACACAAAATTACTTTTGAGAGATTCAAATATCACTTTATAACTAAAATTACGTCAGAGGCTTGCCAGTTAAGCAGGCAAAACCTGCAGAACAAGGGATTCATTTTCAAAAAACACATAAATTGCAGAGAAAACTTATTCAGCTAACACTTACCCAGCTTCAAAGTAGTACAGAACAACTATGAATATATAAAAGAGATACTCCTTCCTTTTTGTTCCACCCACATTTCGTTTTGGGGTAATTTTTTTTCCTTACCCCATGATTATCCACTTTATTCACACACACATGCACACACTTCCTAATATAAACCCATTTTCCTAGGGTGCGAATCTACAATGATTACAACAAAAAGGAACAAAACAAGTATATAAAGTATCAAAAACAGAGCTACAATACATATGGAAAACCATCTCAAAATTTCATACACAATTAAATTACCTGGCATCAACTTTGTACAAGTAGATATACGCCTTAGGACTTAGCATACTCATAAATGAAGGAATCCATGCTTTGTGAGTCACATCCAACCAAAAGTTAAGAGATATACAATTGCAAGAGGTTTCAGCATGTAACATACTATTCCACTGAATTGAAAACTACAAAGCATGTACAACAGTAGATAACTTACAGTGGTTGTTATATCAGTATAGTCTTGTTTCATGGATGTTGCTTTTTGACGTAAGACCTGCAATTTTGTGTTAAAATATCCGAGAAGATCAACAGGGAATTAAAAAAAAAATAAAAGAAATTGACCAATTAGCCAAATACAAGTAATTGGAGATTGGAGCAATTGGCAACCTGGACAACTACTTCAAAATTGAGGTCCCGAGTCTCCTTAAAAAGCTTGTCACTGAAAAACAAAAAAAAATGGTGAGATAGCTGGAATAGGTTTACTTAAAGATGGGATATCTGTGAAAACACCTCTCATCTAACATATACAAAAAAATTTTTTTGAAATAGTTTCAGTATATTAAATGGGATGACAAGAGCTTATTTATCAAGCAAGAGTATTTTTGCCTTAAAGTATATTGTTTTGGCACAATTCATAAAATTCCAAGTGCCAAAACAATATACTTTAAGGCCAAAACACCGAATAATACCTAGCACTTCAGAAGGTTTTTTTCCTCCTACATACCACAACCCCTATATGCGTACCCACTTCGAAAGTCAAAACAAGAGCTCATAAATAGTTCTCTAATAACCACACTAGCATATAATCACATCAAATGCTTTTAGAATGACAATTAAATTTTCTCAGTTTTTCTATTCTAACATTCCACTTTGAAAGTTTGAATTTCACATTTGAACAACTTTGAGCTTCAATATTTGTAATTATCTACCAGTCATAAAATGTTGAAATTTTAAATTAATATGAGACATCAAATATACAGATCTTTGGTGAAGTGTAAAAAAAAACAATTTTATTTGGTAACATTGTTTTTTTTTTTTTTTAATTTCTCTCTGGTAAATTGTAAAAAAATCAATTATCTTTGATAACATTGTATTATCGATTATCAAAGATAATAACTATTTTAATTAAAATAGTTAACCATGGTTAGTTTGTAAACTTTTTAATAATTTCTTTTTAAAAAAAACAGCCACCCCTCCCCCTTACCCTCCACTGCCAGTACAGTGGTCCCCCCTCCCTGCTGGCGCCAGGCCTCACACCTCCCGGCGTCCCTCACCTCGACACCCCCAGCCCCCCTTTCTCTGAATCGCTCTCACCCCAAAACGCACCACCCAAATCCCCACCCAAAACCATCCCCTCCCCTTCCCCCACCCCAAACTACGCCCCAAACCCCAAAAACTTTGATCTCAATTTCCCATTTCAATTTACTCCCACAAAATATACAGATCTACAGTTTTCAATTATTTTTTCCTGAGTTCTTCTTTTTACTAAAAATTCTGCACATGGTGTTTGTTAAAATTCCTCAAATAACTCAAAAGCTCTGTTTAAAATGAAAAATGGACTATGGGTGTCGGACTGGGGTCGCCGGGAGGAGGGGCTGCCGGCAGGGGGAGGAGGGCTGATCGGATGGCAAGGGAGGGGGTGGGTTTAATTTTTATTAAAAAATTAATAAAAAAAAAATTAAATAATCATTAATTTCATAAGTAATAAATATAATTAATTTACGATTACCAAAAAAAATAAGTTTTTTTTCAGTTTACCAAAGAGAAAATTATAAAACAGAGTGTTCTAAAGAGAATTTCCCAATATTTTTATATGTTAGGGACTGTTTGGTTCATCTAATTTTGTCTGAAATTATTAGATCTAAACTTAATTTATTTTGTTTTATTTGAATTTTCTGAACTTCTTTTATTAAATCATTTTATTTTAAATAAGATAAAAATAAGTTCAAATTAGATGAAACAAACAGATCTTTGGTGAAAAAATGTTGTAAATAAGACATGTGAATAATTCAAAAGTCAATATGGAACAATTAAGAAAAAAGATGAAGTATCATGCTATCAGGATCAAGTTGCATATCTAATAAACATATAGTTTAAAGTTATGATCATTCAATTCATAAGAATGTGAACATATGGTTCATACAACAACAACAACAACAACAACAAACCCTTAATCCCAAAATTTGTGGTCTGTTAACATGAAACAATATTCAAAACCCTTAGTGAAAAGTGAAATGAACATGTTGTTCATACATTTCAAATATTATGCATATTTAGTTCACATCTTATTAAATATACTCCTGTTCTTTAAAGATTGCCCCATATGACTTTTTACGATTTTAATGACACATCTTACACGGGAAATATTTTCATTTTCAAACGAGTAAAAAGAAAATTGATGATTTAAAATAATGCATTGAACCAAATCTATCAAGACCTCATATGGCTAGATTATTTCTAATAGATTAATGTGAATTTATGGCCAATGTTATTATGATTTTGACCCTAAAATGCAATTGAGCAATCTTTTGGGTATTAACATTGTTGTCTCCGACGTTATCGTGCTCCAACGGGAAAATTAAAAAAAGGGGCCCTAAATAATGGAGACGTATATCATAAATAATAGATCGACAACATATTTTATGAATTTCATACAGTGTTAATAAGTTCACCAAAATTATGAATTACATGATAATCACTTAGAAAATTTTGTTTTCCAAACATTTTTGGAAGCAAATTCATCAATCAAAACCTCAAAAACAACTTGCGGACTAGTTGTGGGTTTAATTGGGAATATATATGGGAAAAGATTATGGACGTTAAGTGCATGGAATTTGGGAGATGAGAAATTAAGTAAATGAGGTAGAGGAGGAGAAGGAGAAGCTTTTTGCTTAATTGCTATGATTTTCATTTTTTTTTTTTTAATAAGATGTGGGCCCCATAAACCTGTTGCTCAAGGAGCTCCCCCTAATAGCCGGTCGTGCTGAGGAAGTAGTTCATAGCCATCATAGGCTACAAAGGCATATTTCTTTTAAAAAACAAAAAGAGAAGAAAAAAAAAAACTAAGATGAACATTTAGGTACAAAATTATGAACATAACAAATATGTTCATAATGTAAAATTTATTATATAGCTATTTGTTTTATGTGCAGGATATTACTCCTCCATCCAAATTACTTGCAAGCACTTCTATAAAAAGCATGAAAACAATATTAGATTTTCCTTTTGTTGCATGATTGTTATTGATTGAAGATAATTTCCCTTTTCTTTCTTGCTTGCTTGGAATGTTTCCAAAAGTTTAATATATACAGTTATCTTTTATATGGTATAATCGGTTGCTGATGTGGCACTCCGAGAGGGGAGCTTTTGGAGTTTGTTCTCCTCTCACTAACCCCCACTTCTGAATAATAATATAGATATCTCTTACTCACTTTAGGACCACTACATATTACTCCCTTCGTTTCTGAATGAGTAAAAGTTCTTCCCATTTTGTGTTTGCACGTTATCCAATGCATCACTTTGATCATAAATATCTTTATTTGCATATTAGCAAAAAAAAAAAAAAAAAAAAAAAAAAAAAAAAAAAAAAAAAAAACACTTGAATATTAATAAATCACTCATTGAAACAAATCAAATAAGACGATATTGAGAGTAACTTAGAATATTCTCTCATCTTATAAATATTTAACATCTTTAGTTGCATGTTAGTATAAAAAATAACACTTGGATATTAAAAAAATTTCATCGAGACAAAACAAAAAGACACAACATGACTATATAATGTTTTAAATATTGAGAAAAATATAGAAAATTCTCTCATCTTATGAATAGTGCCAAGATTCTAAATGGGAAGAACAAAAAGAAAGAAAGGGAGTAATTATTTATAAAATTAAAGAAAGAAACTCCTCACTCACATCCTCAAAAAGTAATGACAAATTTCCCACTAGCTACATTTTAAAAAAAATAATAATAAAAAAAAAAAAAAAAAAAAAAAAAAAAACACCTTCATCATCACAACAACAAAGTCGTAACCCTAAAATTGCTAGTCTGCCACCCAATAAAATATAGTCAATTAAAGTATCTTAATTTATGTGTTGGTCAAAGCAATGCTACTAATTGAGGACAGAGGGATTAAATGATTTTAGAAAGAGGGGGGGTTAAGAGATGAAAAGGAAAAGTGCTAGTTGAAAAAGGCTACTAAGAAGCTACCAAACAATTATCCTTTGACATTACAGGATAGAAGAATACATAAAGACCGTACAAGGATATGTTCTTTTCAACTTATTTTACTTATTGTTATTGTAACTAGACCACAAAAAAAAAAAAAAAAAAAAAAAAAAAAAAAAAAAAAAAAAACAATAACAGCAAAATAAAAATAAAAAAAGTTCAGACCACACCAAATCTTATTTTTGTTTGCTCGTCACCAAATTTTATTTTTTTTTTAGCAAATCGCCAAATATTTTTAAATCCATGCCCATAGAAATATACTCCCTCTATTTCTTTTTAAGTGCATCACTTTCTTAAATCGGTTGTTTTATTTAAACCCATCACTTCCTTGTTTGGACATCTTTGCTTATTTATTATAATCTCTCTCCTCACATGTTTCCCACTCCTACATTTTATAATTTGCCTCGACTCACATTCCTTACTTTTAAAGTTTTAGTTCCCAAACAAACCCAATTTACAGAATATTTTACTCTATTAAACTCACCTACTTAAACTATGTGCCGATCAAACCGATGTGCGTAATAAAAACAGAGGGAGTATACATTTGCAAACATCACATTAAGACAACTCTAACAAGATCCACTTGATAATGTTTATTTTCTTTTATACTAGTGTACAAATACATTCAAAGATTAGTCAAATCAAGAGATCAGATCAAACTATACTAGACTAGATCTTAAAATTCATATCAATCTTAATTCAAGTATAGACAACATAGCTTAAAATATTTCAACTGTGAAATATATCCTCCATAATTCTAGGAACAAACCACACAACTCTGTAGAAAAACCTAGCAGAAAGGCTATTAAAAAAAAAAAGTGTTGTTCAAGTCTTTCTAATTTCTCCCCTCCTATTTTAAGCAAAAACAAGTAAATTTAAGACCATAAGCATGTTGAAAAATCAATGTGGGTTCAGGTAAAAACTTTAAATGAGTAAAATGCAAATGCTAAGGGTTAAAGGACAATTAGTAATCATGGAAGAACTAAATGCAATAAGTAAACATTGAAGTATTGAGTCCAACAATTGAATAAATAACTCCAAAAAGTTATCTGGAGTAAATTCAAACAGTATAAGATGTCTGAAGATAATTTAACAGCATTTCTTAAGATATACCTTGAATTTAGCGGTACTTTGACCTTTTTTCCCTCTTGGGCACCCATAATAGATGCATCAAGCTCCACAGCCCCATTATTCACATGTAGCAACTGCAATTGTCCAATCATCATATAGGTTGAAACAAGAATCGAAAAGTTGGAGATTCCAATGATTACCAACGAGCATAGGACAGAGAAGATAGAGATTTTTAAGCTTTCAAGTAAGCTTGGTAAAGCTTTACCTATTTGTATTATGCTTTCAAGTAAGCTTGGTACAGCTTTACCTATATGTGTACACTGTTTATCATGGGTACCGTGAAACATTTAAATATAACGTTAGCTAATATTAGGTTTACTCGGAAATATTAGCTTTGTTATTTGTTTTGCCCCAATAATTAGCCAACCCACAAAACTAAATGGCAGCTGAGCAAAGCTGGCATTTATAAAGATGAGGCAAAAAAAAAAAAAAAAAATAAATAAATAAATAATAATAATAATAATAATAATAATAAATAAAAAATGATGACTGTTTGACAAGATTGTTGTGAGGTTCAAATTATTTCTTTCCAAATTGCAATGAATAATTGCATCAAAATTCAGTCATTGCATGAACCATCTTGATCATTACTTGTAGTACCTTTGGATATGATTTATTGTTTTTCACATCTTATATTTTCTCGGTCAGGTATACATTACTCGTACTCTTCAATTTAGCTCACCCATATTGAATCCTCATTAGTCAAACATAGGTAGAACACTTTGACCCTTCATTTTGGGCTAAAATCAAGGAAACTTTTCACAAAATGACTGAGTTGGACACATAGACATGTGCTTCTGCATAGTATTAGATATACATCAAAAGGATATCATTAATACACAAAAGAAGAGTTAAAATTCAGAAAATAAAAAAGCTAGTGGCCTCAAGATATCATGTAATAATTATCTACAAAGTCAAGAAAAGTCTGTACTACTTAAAAACCTTACACTTGCCACCAACTAAACGATAAATAAGAGGAATTAAGCTAGCAAGCTCTACCCTCAAGTGAAAAAAATGTCAGATTCTTCCCAAGCATAACACCACATTACAAGCAAAAATATCTTCAAAATTAAACTACTACTCTTAAGTACATTTTCTATTCTTTATTAGTTGAAATAGTTTTACTTTCACATTGTCGAGGCATTACTACAACCAATAATATTAATAATTATCAATAAGTAACATTTATTAAAAGTTATTCCCACGGTCCCTCTGGTCCTAAATGTTCTTCTCATTTTGGCCGGACACGTATATATATATATATAGGAGGGATCCGATAAGAATAGGTCCATATGTGAGAAATCATACTTATATGAGAACTGATTTAAAATTTAGAACACGTGAGTAAAATTTAGAACATATGAGTAAAAATTTAGAACATATGATTAAAAATTTAGAACACATGATTTTGAAGTTTAGAACATATGAGTAAAATTTAGAACATTTACGTGAGTAATAATTTAGAACATCTTATTTCTAATTTAGAGTGTGTGAGTAAAATTTTTAAAACATGATTTAAAATTCAAATCATATGAATAAAAATTAGAACATTTGACTTAAGGTTTAGAACATGTGAGTAAAAATTTAGAACACCTGATTTAAAATTTATAACATATGAGTAAATTTAGAAGATGTGAATAAAAGTTTGGAACATACAAGTAATAATTTAGAACATATGATTTAAAATCTTGAACATATGATTAAAAATCTTAGAACAGAACTTACAATTTAGAACATATAAGTTAAAATTTGGAACAAATAATTTAAGATTTAAAACTTGTGAGCAATAATTTGTAACATTTGATTCAACTCATTTAAGGTTTAGAACACATGAGTTAAAATTTAGAACACACGAGTAAAAATTTAGAACATGAGAGTGTTCTCACATATGAAAGATTTCTCACATATAGAAGCAAGAGCCTTCCCCTATATATATATATATATATATATAGAGAGAGAGAGAGAGAGAGAGTTGCATATTAGTATAAAGATATAACAATTGAATATTAAATATCTACTCATTAAGACAAGGACGCAACATGACTATATTATGTTTTACTTCATATTAAGAGTACTTTAGAAGATTATCTCATCTTATAAATAGTGCCAACATTCCAAATGGGAAAAACTTTTAGAAACGGAGGGAGTAATATTTTGATAATTATGACGAATCTAACAAGATCCCACTTTGCCTTACATAATCACCAAAGCTGGTGAAATATAATTCTATGAATAGTGCAAATGGCAAGTTGTTACAACTAAAAGAGAACGAAATAAGTAGAGATTATCTTTTTCTTATGAACATACCTCTCTTAAGATAATCATCTTGACCTAAAAAAAAGTGCTTCAAAAGGAGCTTTTGTCTTCCAAATCTCATTTGAAGTGAGAATTTCTCTCAAGAAAAATTACAAAACTTTAGACAAAATGGGAAACACTCATCACATCATCAGAATAGCTTGTCATTCCCTTCAAAACAACCACCGTAAATTATTAAGAAGTCTCAAAAAAGAAACATTAAAATGCTTTTGATTACAATTCCATGTTAACACTTTTTAACGGTAGCCTCCTATAGTAAAAGACAATTCTGAACAGATCTTGGAATTGAGCCTTTAAAAGTTGATCTCCAAACCAAATGGTCATGCCCAAAAAACCTAGCAAACAACTCTACACCTTGGAAACCATCCATGTACTTAATACATGCAACTCTTGCAAGCCTAATCTTGAGAAGAAGACACCAACATAATGTCTCTACACCTTATAAATAGTATGATGAAGTTCTCTCATGAAGCAAAACCTCCACTGCCACTTTGCCTTGAGAGCTTCATTTCATTTCACTTTTAAAGGCATTCAAAAGGCACTCCAATCACAGAACTCATTTTCTATCTCTGTTTATTAATTCCTGTCCAACTCTTCCCTCCTCCCAACTTATCAACAAATTAATCATGTAATTCTTGTAACTGTGTAAACTGGTCCACTACTTTATCAGACAAAATTACACAGTATACTAACAGTAAACTGAATAACAAAAGCAGTTTACGCATGCATTCTCTTACCTCATCCAACAAGCCTTCATAAGTTAACTGGGTACACATTGGAGTTACCATGTCCACCTGCAATGAAAAAATTATCAGATAACCTGCCATCACTTAGAACTTGACTATTATCCACCCAAAAGTTTAGCAATGTGAAACTTAGATTTTGAAGGGATGACTAGCTCATTCAGTAACATGGAAACCTATTTCTATTTTTCCAGTGGAATAAAAAGCATGTTGTTTAAACAAAGAAAAACCTAGATATTTCACTCTATTATCTTAACAAATGAACAGAAGCATAAGAACATTTATTTTGTATGCCTTATCCTAAAGATTAACATTTATCTAGGCTGCACTCCACATAATATGCTTCCTTGTTCATTGCCCAAAAAGAACCAAGAATTGAAGATCAAGGTTATATATTATATGACCTAGTTCAATCAAGCAAGAAATGCAAGGAAATTCAAAATTTTACCTCTCTATCTAGCAAGATCAGTGTACTTATATCTGGTACCGCCTGAAAGTGATGGGCATAAAACATGTGAATGATTAACCAAGCAAAAGAAACTAGCATTTTCAAACAAATTTCAAACTCAATATACACTCAAAAGTCAAAGCTCAATTACATCATCTATGTTGACTGGCTCTTCTGTCTGCATTCTATCCAAAATCTCTGCAATACGGACTGAAGCCTTGCCTTTCGCCCTCACATTTGATATCAAACCAAATGAAAACTGTACACATGAAATAGAGAAAGTTTCAGGAAAACTACCTAAATCACTTTTCGGAAAACATCTTGCTACAAAGTCATCAAGATACTGAAGCACCTAAAAATTATTACTTTCTAACAATGAAAATAATTACTTTCTAACAATGAGCCTGATTTAATGTTGCTTGATCTCAAGGACTAACATTTGAAACATGAGAGAATTTAGAGGATGCACTGCAAGTATGCAACAATGTTTGGTATAATTTGAAGCATTTAACTGTAAGGTATCTAAAGTTTAGATTCAGAACTTTGATTTTCTAAAGAATGAAATCTTGCTGAGTAGAATACAACTGTTTTTGTCCCTCAAATCCAATTATTCAGGTCATATAGCCATGTAATCATGCAAAACTAATTGTTAAGCACGCACGTTTTACTTTGAGGAGCTCATTGAGCAAAATTAATGGACAAGGCATAAAGTTTGAAGCTTTTAATGATATGCTAGGATATTAGGTCTAATCCTTTAACGTCAAGGCATTTTTAACTTCAACTTATTACTTACTACTTATTTTTCTTAAATTTAGAGAAGACCGTACAGTATAGATCAGACCAGAAAGATACTAAAAAAGAACTTGAAAATTTAAAATCACAGCACCTTAAATAAGGTGAAGAGAACAAAGCCTAGGCCTACTTAGCCAAAATGAATCTAGAAAAGAATTAAAAATAGGAACTGCAACATATAACAAAAGACAATCCAATTTTAAGGATCACTTTACAGTATTGTTTTTATGTAATGTTAGATTTAACCCCAATTTTGTAGATAACTTCCCTCTTACATTATGTTTTTCTAAGCAACATAATAATCACTATAATTAGCATGAGCAATTTATGAACATGAACAATACTCTAAGAATTGTTACTATTTTGTATTAAGCCAATTAGCCAGCCCAACTATTATAATGCAATTATCAATAATAAAAATTGATAATAGAAGATAAAGCACAGCCTTGCATATCCTGCTAAAAAATTCGTTATTTTACTAATTGAAAGCCGCTACTCAACAAACAAAGAATCATGGTTGCCACTCTTTTTCCTTGTATAACTGCTATTTTAAGAATCAAGGTTTGTGCAATTCAAGAGCAGCTTTGGGGACTCACAAACCCAAAAGGCAGAAGGTAAAGCAATAATAGAATCAACATTGCAAACACTTCTCTATCTATAACATCAACAATTCCTTCCTGAAAAAGATCCCCCACTACTCCTGACCTTCATTTTTCATACAAAAATAGTTCCAAGAAAATCATAAAGTGCAGTGGCATAGCATGCATATGTGTGTATCCTACATTCACTCTAGTCGAAAGTGCTACATACATTGGAACATTGGAGGTCCAAGAAAAGTATCTCATTCAAAAGTTCCTAATTATGTCGTCAGTAAAGTAGACAAGAGAGATAATATCTAATTATGTATCACAACAAAAAATCTTTTTCAATAAACAACATAGCAATGGAGGCATAATAAAGGCTTGAAATCAGAAAGAACAAACCTCAAGCCTATGAATGGCTTTTGCAATATGCCAAAGAGAGCTTGTATCAGCATCAGCTAGGCACTCCTAAACCACCACAAAGGGAAAGGCTAAGGGAAACATACATTATACTACAAAGAGTATATTGGAAACATTACACAAGCAAGGCTATTACCTTGTATGCAAAATCAAGTTCAAAAGATATCACATCCTCATCAAGTGGAACCATGTATAATGGGTATTCTCCAATAGTCAATAAATCATGTACTTTTTCCTCTTTCAGTATCTGAACTCAAAGAAAAGAGTAGAGTTTAGATTACAAATTTATATTTCCTTAAAGACATATAATCACATGGTAACCATCATACTACAATATTTTGAATGTATATAAACTAACAAGATTTCAGCCCCAAAGTTTAATAAATTGCTGAGCAAAGCTAGTGTCACTTTTTTTTTTTTTTTTTTTGGTTGGGGGGGGGGGGGGGCGGCTTAAGGAGAAGTCCTTTGCAAGTAGGGGGGAATATTAGGAATCCCACTTTCTAGGGGTGAGAATCAAACCACTTCACATGAATGGTAAGAAAGCCTCCAATCACTAGGCCTTGATTCTCAGCTAGTGTCACCTTATTTAGTATTTTTAATGAATAAACAAGAAAATCGAGCAGCTAAATAATAGCAGCTTTGTATGTAAATAATGCCATCCATGATAAATTCATCATCACCTCTCTCTAGCCCCCACATTCAAACAAAAGTACCTGTTCGCATGCCACAGAACGCCGAGGAACAAAGTAAAGATAGTATTCCCTTTGTAATCCCTTTGATGTGTTGTCATGAATATGCAGGGATATATGTCTCATCATTTCAAGTTGATTACACACAAGGTACACCACTTTCGTGCATTCAGTTTGTAGAGGTTCAGCTGACAGATGTCGCAATTCTACCCCATGTTCCTGACCCAAATGTCATAAGACAGCATTAGTATCAACAGAAGTTACACATGCCAACCAACAAAATAAATTAAAATCAGGTTTGCTTTACACATAAAGCTCTAGAGATGCTGTTCACTTTCTCTACTGTTAATAAATTTTACATCAAGAGGAACGACATTTGTTTAACGAATTACCTATCGCTTTCTCATTTCTCTCTCACATAAGACAATAAGAAACCCTGTTGTGTAGTTGTCAGATTTCATTTTCCTCCACATCATCATAAAAAGGGCATTTACACACTTTAACTATATTTTGCAGTTTTTTAGATATAACAATCCAGATAATGATCATTCATGCAGCCACTATTCTATCAACAGTTTGGCTATAGTCATATTTCTTCATTTCTAAACCTACATCTCTACTCCTCATTCCCTCTACACTACTTCAAGTTTTTTAGCATACCAGTCATACCTCTGAGATCTGACCAAAACTTCAAATAGACAGTTACGACTCTTGTTGTTAGTTGCAATTAATATAATTTCAAATCTTTTATAAAGTATCAACAAGTATATAAAAGCTAAATAGCCATTTTCTTAATAAAAATTAAGAAAAAAAAATTGTGAAATCGGTACAACAGTAACAATAATGATAGTGATCATTATAGCAAAGATTCAAGGCTAAACCAAGCTCCCAGATCAGTTATAACAGGACCTTAAATTGATCAATTCAAAAAAACTCAATTCAAAAACAAACGTCAAGCAAGTCTAACAAATTTTCTCCAGAAATTTACTCATACTTTGAGATACAGAATTGAAAAAAAAGTAAGTAATTATAAAAGTTTAGAACCTCACGTTTCTATACAAATCAACAAGACATGATTCTAAGGAAAATATATTCAAATATCATTTGAATGGTAAGTCCAAAAACTCTTGAATGGCAACGACAAATTCCAACTTATCAACGGACACCGCAATTGCCATTAGACTAATACTAAGACTGATAGAGCTCTTTATAAAAGCTATGAGACATGCACTTAAGAAATTACACCCCTGCATCTTTTAAAAAAAAAGGACAAAACTTCTGCAAGTTTGCGGCATTATACAGCCCCCAACTCCAACACAACCTCCTACATCTCTCCCTCTATAAATGCATTCTCCACAAGTCCACATTCCCTAGATGATTATCGAATTTTATAATGCCATATCTATGTACTTATGTCTCTTAGCATTATTAAAATCTAAGGTTTTTGTATATATCCTTCTAAACCAAAGTGATCAACTTGGAAAATGTTTGAGATACAGCACGATTAAAGCAAAAGCTGATATCCTAATTTATAGTGACAAAAAAGACCAAAGTAATTAAACAAAGAAGGGGACATCAACATGAGTTACCTTAAGAAGTGCAGTCTGGACAATAAGTGAAAGAGAGCCACTGACTTTTGGATCAATGACAAGACATTTTTTTCCACGAATCTGTGAAACACGAGTAATGAACAAAAGATTGACATTATCTCAAAAACAGGCTTCTTGTTGAAATGATCAATACAAAGAAACGAGACTTATTGCAAACGCCAACGGAACTCACATTTTTAATAATCGTTAACAACTCCTTCTGTGACTGTTCTCTGTATTCAACAGATATTTAAACAAATAATCCATCATCATATATGAAGGAAAGAATAACATATTTGAAATTCGACGAAACACGAATAATTAAGTACCTGAGAGAAGCTAGATTAATTGCAGCATTATCTAAATTAGGAATTTGAGCCATTGACGAAAGGATCCCTCTCAATCAAATACTGTAGCAGGCCTGTCCCTGAGGCAGGGCAGGAGGGGCGGCCGCCCTAGGCCCAGGGAAAAGAGATTTAATGTCATATTGAATTATCTCGAAAAATACATAATTTTAGGGATATTTGATTCAATAATCAAATTACGCTCATAATTTTCTTTTCTTTTGGATATGATGTTTCATAATCTAAGAATTTACGAACCCTAAACTTAATGCACTGATAATTAAATTAGATTAGATCAAATATAAACCCTAGATTGTGAAATTGATGTAATGATACCAACAAACAACTTACCTTAGAAGCTGCTTCAATGGGGGATACAAGAATTAGATTCAACGGAGAACGCTTCAGTGGAGAACGTTGAGTGCGCTTCAATGAAATAACTCAGAGAAGTAGGAAATAGGAATGGATTTTATATACTTCCTCCGTTCTTTTTTTATCGTATCACTTTGACATTTACAGTATTCACATAATCTTCTTTGACCATCTTTTGATTTATTCGTAAAGAAAAACATTGTCACGTGGGATCTACTTAGATTCATCTCGAAATCTACTTTCCAAATATCAATTTTTTATAATTTTTACAAAGGTATAATTAAAGATATTAATAGCTAAAGTAATGCATTGGCAAGCGTGAAATCTCCTATGATGCAATAAAAAAAGAACGGAAGAAGTATGTTTTAAGTAAATGGGGTGGATCTTTATACGATCGTCTAATTATGACATAGATGGATTTTATATACTTATATGTTTTAAGTAACAGGTTTTAAATATCAATAATAATAATAATAATAATAGGGTTGCGGCTCAGCGGAAGCGAGACAAGTATGGGGCGTGTAAGACTATTGGCTATGGTTTTCTTCTTTTTTTCCTTTTTTTCATTGGGGGCATTAGATAAGGATGTTGTTGCGTTGCTGAATCGGGTTCAGGCGTTTGCTAGGATTCAGGATATTGGTGCTTGTACGGCTGCTCACATCTTCAACAGGATTTGGTTCGCTATAGCTAGAGAGGTAAGGGCCCAGATTGTATCTCAACTCCCCACTAATTTCTTGTAAATTGTTTGACTTTGTAGATTTTTGTTATAATAATAATAATAATGATAATAATAATAGTAATAATAATTATAATTATAATTATAATTATAATAACAATAATATATAACTATATACTAAAAGACACACCAGCAATGACACATGTTGTTTCGGGATTTTTAGAGTCCCTCGGGAAAGTTACAATTCTGAAACTGGATACCGACCGGCTGTACCTGCAAAACAACGGAGACTCTGGTTGGTAGGAGTTCCGCCTCCGACGATCAACTTAGAACACATCCGGAAGTATTAAAGTGCGGAATGTAAAGATTTCTCTTGGATTCCAATAGAGAATCTGCAATTAATATTGCTCGATTTTTGGTAATTTATATTGAATGTGTAATAAATGAAGATTTTCCTCTATTTAAAATGAAAGGGGATCAGTCCCTCCCTCTAGGGTTGGACTGCCACGTGTAATCAGGGGATAGGTTAGAACCTATCTGAGGCTGACACGTGTCAGCAGGCCATTGGGCCACGTAGCATGGATATTTTTACCCTTAATACACGTATCATGTGAAAATGGAGATACAACCATTATAAGACGCTTGTTGGAGACCGAAGAAAAATTAAATGGGGCAAAAAATTAGGGACGGAGGGAGTAACAAACAAAGGAAAAGTATTATTGGGTAATATGACATGAGGAAGCCTAGTTGATCTTGGTGATAAACAAAAATTGTTTATTTAGTGACATTATCGTAAATAAATCAACAAAACATTCCAGTTAGGCATTTTCGTAATTAAGTCAACATTTGTGAGACCTCATTTTAATTTTATTGACTTAATGTGATATTTACGAGAATTTTTTTTTTTTTTTTCTGGGTTCTTATTCTTTTCAATTCCAATTCTAGGAAAGTTTTCAATATTCCTGTTTAAATATTGCGGGTTTTTTTTTTTTTTTGGTAACTTTTGATAAAAATCACCTTATAAAATTGAGATTTTGCGAGAAACAATTACCTTGTATAAAAATTTAATTAACTACCTCTTAAAGCACTTAATTTGCTGTTGATCTGAAGGTTGGAATTAACCCAGAAAGAGAAAATTTCAAACTGAATGATAAAGTTGAAATTTTGAATTTCTGTGTTGTTAATGTTCATTGTAACATTTTTAATTCGAATTTTTTGCTTGATGTAATGATGTATGAAATTAATCCCATTCTAAATTAAAATTGAACTATCAACTCTTCGGTAAAATTGAAATTTTGTTGCATGTCTTCGATTTGTAAGTCCAGAAGAGGGTGCTGAGAATTGGATTGCATGTGAATTTATATACTTTTGACAGGATTGTTGGTTATTTCTTGCCAAGCTTTGCTATTTGGGTTTGCTTTTTTCGGGTTTATTGATGACATATTGACATGTGTGTTGATCGAATTCAGATTGTGCAATTGTTGTTTTGAATTCGAGTTTTTTTGTTGATGGGACATTCTCTGGTGTGGGATGAAACACGCGAATAACAGTGTAGCTGTGTGAGTAAGCATTGCCTCTATGTTGGTATTAAGTGTGCAACTACTGGTCATAATTCTAGCAAATTTAGAGTATATGATTTTCCAAGTTATTTATCTTTGGTAACTATTATTGGTTCATCTATTAAAAGCAGTATTTCCAACCTATTTAGACCAATTAGTATGATCAACCTAAAGTGTAATGATGTGGAGATTGTATTCTGGCACTTTGATAAGAATTGCTGTTGCTAGGCCAGTGACCTGTTATGTGACCAGTAAACTATTTTTGTGCCCTCTTTGCTATCGATGGCTTACTGAAATTTATGTTGTGATGCAAGGCAGGAGTTTTGTTGTCTAGTTTGGGATAAATACTATCAATATCAATTAAATGCATGCCTTGAGAAAAATAGAGATTGATGACTATTGGTTGTTTGACTTTTTTCACTCTATGTGAAAGTAGTAACGGGGTGCAAATTTTCTCTGTAGGGGAATTTGAGAGAACACACATTGGTTGTTTTCCTGAACTAGGATTTCTGTCTATTGATGCGGTGATGGTATCCCCGTAATTCTTTTCTCACATCCGTATACCTTATGAGTAAATGTATCCTGTCTTGCTTAACTTCTCTTGTTTTCCTGTATTTGACTCTTATTTGTTTTATAATTGTTTGTAATAGTTTCCTCCATCTCTGATTCTGGTAGGTGAAGCGGGATCCCTATTATTACCACCTGCCTGATTTGCTGCCCCTGAAGCATGTTTTTCAGGGATTTCAAGATTCCTGGCTCCTCCATGTAAATGTCACTCGATTGAAAATTTCTCCAGATTTTAATAACAATGCAAAATTTTGTCAGAACTTGTCTGAAATCAATAGTAACAAACAGAATCAAGGCTCGAAAGCTACTTTGCAGGGTGCAGCACCAATATCAACTGCTTACCCTTCGAGGAAGAAAAAAAGGAGGAAAAGAAAACCCAATGTGAAGACATTTCCTAAAAGATTTAGTCATGAAAGACTTGATCAAGAGGCAAAAGGAAACATTTCCAGTGAGGTAGAGAGAAAACGGAGTGGTCTACAACAAGTACTGCATCAGAGTAATGCATCAGATTTCAATGCTACAGCTGAAAGTCCTCATGGAAGCTTATCTGAAGCGGTATCAGTCTCCGGTATCATTGATAAGTACTTCATAAATTTTATTGATATTGATCACAATGGAAGCTCTTCCAGCTCAGTAGTTGCCACAAGAACTGGAAAATGTGATACAGAGAAAATTTCCTTTGGTAAGAAATGCTCCAACAAGCGAAATTCTGTAATAAAATGCCAGAGATTCTTGCCCTCACTTTTGCCAGAAGACTCAAATTCTGCTAGCCTTAAAAGCAATTATGAAAGATCTGAGGTTGGTAAACGTTTAGTAGTGGCCTCAAATAATCTTGGGAGTTTTCAAAGATTCTCTTTGTCCAAGGCCAAAAAGTTCTGGAATTCAGATGATGGGTCAATTATTCGAAGTTTGATTTTTGAAATGAACACCAATGACTGAAAGCATCTAAAGGAGATATTTCTGCAATATGGTGGACCTGCTATTGCAATTTTGTGATGTACCAGCAATAGCCTAATGGCATTTATTTTGCTTATGCTACTTATAGAGACGGCTAAACCGTAGTTACAACTTTGATGGGAGAAGCAACCTTTTGGTCCTTGCTTTGTAGGATTTCTTTAGTGTCTGGAATGCACAAATTTAGAGGAAACTGCGATGCAACGAACTGCAGCTTCTTGAAGAGAATTTGAGCTTTTTGTGTGGTATACTTTATTTGATTGATTAAATTGTACCAGTCCAAACAAGATGTGCTTCGTTGCAGCCATCTGCAATGCTTTCTAAGAAGAATGACTTGAGGGCATTGATTTTTGACATAGCTGGTTGGAAAAAGTGAAGCAAGAATTGGAGCTGAACTCGGTAGCTGAAAAGGTGTTTATATTTTGATCATTGACAGAATTTTGTGCTAGGGACCTGTGTAATGCTTGAGTCTATAGTGACTCTTTGGAAGTTAACTGTGTTCGCTGGTTCAATCTTCAGTCTCAGACTCTCAGTACTTGAGTTTGTTTCTCCTATTCAACAAATGCATAGAATTAAGAGAAATGACAACTTTTGTAGCCTCAGAATTGTATCCCCTCCCCCCCCCCCTCTCTTTCTGTGGGTGTGTGAGTGTGTGATGGGTTGAAGCATGTTTGTTTCTGTTGTATATTACTACTATATATTAAGAATATGCCCACTTAATTGAGCATTTGTTAGGTCACCAATGGTGTTCTTTAGAAAGTTGTTTATAATTGGCATTCTGCATAATGAAGATGGCTGGTGTTGGCATATAGAAACACAAGTCCACGCCAATGAAGTCATAAACCAAATATCAGGCCTCCAAACATGATTGAATTCAGTTTAAAATGCCTGCATGTTACCTGAGATTACACACTAATGTAACAAGAACATAAAGCATCATGATTAAAAGCTAAGAACTCAAAAAAAATAATAGAATGTGGCTATTCTAAAAACAAATGTGATATGAGAAGTAAAAATTTGGATGTATGGCAGTACTGATGTACATTAGTTAGACTGGTCTATTGCCTGACATGCTGACTCTCTTTAGGCAGTCTGGGAAAATCACTGGGTGGAGGCATAACACAATTTTCTCCATTGAAATAAATTCTCTTCGGGAACGCCCAACCGGCATCAAAGGTAAAGGTCCCTGGTACTTTCCTCAGCAGCATCTCAGTCTGCACATTACCGCTTAGTCCTGATTGCAGCAACACATCATTGTAGTACTGTACCCCCCAGAACAGTCCGGTGTCGTCTGAAAAGCAGAAGGCACAGTTGAAATAACAATTAAGGCACAAATCTAAACTGAGTCATATTGGCTTTACAATTACTGATTGATGTCAAATTATCACCATAGTTCCATTTCTACGGAGTACAGACCAGTAATTTGCATTACCAATATGCTGTTAATTGGCAAAAGCAGCTATACACATTTTGGTTGTAGGTTCATATTTGTATACATTAAGGGAAGAACATTTTATTTGACTTACTGGTTGGGCGATCCTGAGTAAGGGGCACATAATTGAAGCTGAAAACCTGCACCAGATCATGGAGGTTTGGATGCTCAACGGCTAAGTTCCATGTGGTGTAGTTCTTACGTACATTAAGATTTATGATCGTAATCTTGACCCTCCAATATTCTTTATAGCTCTCCTTAATATGCCAATGCACATGAATTGGGCACATATGGCTAGTGCAATTCACCTGAGGTGGTGGTACATAATCTGGATCCTGTGATTTCGGCAAAATTAGAGGTGTCTGCCCTTTCCTGCAAATGATACATTAAAATTGATCCAATTCAGGAATACAGATTTCAAAGTCAAAAGACTGACAGAATATTACACACAAACAAAGAGCACAAGTTAGCAAAGAAAAATAATATGCTGCTTTCTATGATGAAGCTTCAGTGATCGAAATCTGGCAGGATTTTCTCATAGTAACCAAAAGAGAAACATATATGTTTTAAACCCACAAAACTAGCAGAAAATTGAATCATGGACAAAAAGAAACAACCCAAGTAAATGACCAGTGAAAAGAAGTTAATAAGTACATAGTAGCATAGAGGAAATAGGACATACTTGACACATAGTAAGCCAGGTTGTTCTTGGCAGCCGCAGCTACAATTAGGACAGAATGATATCATCGGGCTATAAAATGCAGAGAGCGAAACACAACAAGAAGGGGCAGGTGCTGCTTTAAATTGAGAATAGGTACAGATGACCTTGTGTGTACCTGTAATCATTCCCATTAAAACCAAAATGGCTCATTCAGTAAGTATACATTAGTTAAGCAATAAGTCAGCATGTAGTTACAGAACAAATTTAGATCAAACAATTGCAAAACATGTAGTAAAACTCAACCAAAATTACTGTATAGAACCACCAGCATATATCTATACCACTGTCTTTGATATCGGATACAGTCAATTTTATAAATAATTTTTGGAGGTGATCATGAAGCAACTAGAACTCCCACAAACAAAATTTAAGCAGTAGCAAGAAAATCTACCAAATCATCTAATGAAGCCTGCATTTCGGGTCAGGGGCAAGGATAAAGACAGTTAAACTCAAATCGAAATAACAGAAACTTATACTGGTTTATGAAAGTACAAATCCACAATAACAATAACTAAATTTTCTTCTTGGTTCAAAACCTGATGAAAAAACATGAGTACTTACTAAGTGCTTGCCTCCATCGACGTCCACCATCCTCAGGGAATCTAGTAGAAGGAACAACCAGCTCAGGATCACCACATGTATAACCAGGAGTACCAAATTTAAAATTGTTTGGCATTTTTGGATTCAAGTCCTCACTCGAGGCAAGCCCTACAATCATCTGAAAATGTGCAGAATACTTAGTAGGGTCTTGAGTCATAGAAGTTAACACTCCTCCTCTGCAGCAATTAGTTGCCTGTTTATTAAGCTTAGCTCCCGGTTGAAGATCAATGATCACAGGACGCCTCAAGCAGCAGTGAGGAGGCGGTGTGCCTAACGATTTGTTACACACTCCTTGCTCCTTGGCTTCTGCTCCTTGCATATTCCATATAACTTCGCGCTCCTGCCACTCCCAACTTAGTCTCCAACCCGGAGGCCATTCAATGTGTCGATATTGTTGATAATTATATATTGTTACATCTGCCTACAAAAGAACTCGAATTTCTTACAAGCTTCTCTAGTCTTAACTCAATCATAACTTCGAAAATTTACTCTTTCATTCAAGAAATCATCAAACCCTCCAACACAACCAAAATCTAGTCCCTAACATAAACTTCAAATCATAGGCTTATATTCATGCATAAATCTAACACCAAATCAAAATTTTACAACTCTACATTAAATTCATCATGTATTGAAGCCTCATTTAACAAGGTTACCTAGCAAATTGATGACATAAAAAAATTATTTTCAATAAACCAACAACCAATAAAGTGGACCCCAAAACTAATCAATCAACAAAATTGACCTCTAAACCCTACCAAACAAAAAAGACAATACAGAGATATGTAAACTTTTTGATCTTGACCACCTTTGTACTTTTTGGGATCTTTATATTTGTCTTTAGGACACGATTTTCTATAATAACTAATTATACGACTAGAAAATTATAACTAAAAAAAGTAAAAGAAAAAATTTCAACATCGTCTCATACAAGATTTTATCTGAAAACATCGAGACTAAATTAATAAATAAAAAAAACTCCATATCGACACAACTTACATTGTAAGTGCCGGAATCTATCTGTGTGACATCCCATTGAATCGTTACATTCCCCCTTACATCAAGCGGGTCGTACCCATCTGAATTACAACACAAACAAATGAAAATTATGATCTATTTTTTTTATAACAAACCATATTATATACAGATTTATAACATCACTATACATGATAATAATAAGATCAATAAAAAGTAAAACTTTTAATTAAAAATATAATGGAGATACTTACAACTGAGATTATACGTAAGACTAGTAAAGAAGATGAACAGACAAATATTTATCATAATAATATATAATTATGAAAATCAAAATTAATGAGAAATTATGATATAAAATGAAAGGGAATTCAAAGTTTTCCCTTTCTTTTTTTTGTTTTGGAAAAATCATAAAATTGAAAGAATTATTGGGGTTTGGAGATTATGGCTTGCTTTTTCGTTTCTCACTACTATTATGGTAAGTATGAACGGAAATGAGTAAGCTAATTAAAAGCTTAAAAACGTATTAAATGGTAATAAATGATATTGTTATATCTTCAAGATTGTTTACCATTTATGTTGATTCTCTCCCGATAATTTTTATTAAAAAAATAAAAATTATAGGGGGATTATATTTTTTTTCTGCGTAAAATGAAGGGTTTAGTGAATTTATATTTTCAAGACATAATCCAAATTTCTAGGATCTTTGAATTTTTTTTCATCAATTAGTTTGATTTTTATTTTTATTTAAAATTATATACACCATACAATATATTTTCTCCTAATTTTTAATTAATTAAACATTTTAAATTATTCACATTTTAATTATTTAATTTAATACAAACACAAGGAAAATATGGGAATGTTGAATCTTGTTTAGTCTCAATATTTTATTTAAAAATAATATCAAGTATTCAAGTGTATATTTCCTCAAAAAAAAAAAAAAAAAAAAAAAAAAGAGTATTCAAGTGTATATAACTGAGCTACTTATCAAAAGTTAAAGTTATTAGTGGTGCAATTATGCATGCAAGCTATGCATTGATAAATATGTCAAGTCAGTAATGGTACAAGTGTACAACCAAAACATACTCTGTAACATGTGAAGTATTGTACTCGTATTATTTTGAACTAAAATAAAAGTAAAGAACCATACCCATAAGGACTGGAAAAAGCTACACATACAACCATTGTTTGTGGGGACAATGTTGCATGACAGCTTCTCATTGGTGGACCCCAAATTCCACTACTTTTAAAATTTCATTCAAAATTGAAATGAAATTTCATTAACCTAATGCTTAAAATTCAAATTATTTGTCATTTCCAATGCTAGTAATTTAATATCTTTAATTTATTTTTCTTGAAAAAATATTCAGTTCATTTCTTCAACTTGATGAACAACGTTCTAGAAAAAGGGCAAAACGTCGACCATGGCAAATGAAAAAAAAAACCTTAAAGTTGGTATATTATCATTACATAATCTTGAACTTACATTCACCGCTATGATTAGTCGTAAAGCTAAATAAGTAAAATTGCAAGTAGCAACATGCTTAATTTCATATATTTGCTACAAGTGAAGGCTTTTGGATCTTCTTGATTAAGGACCTAAAATATATTTAGGAGAGAAGCATAGGACAAAGCGAAGGAGAGGTAGGGAGAGGAGTTGTTGAGTATCTTGTTTTTTCCCATAGAACGTCCTATAATGTATTTTATTTAATTATTTATATTTGAATGACAATCGTATTCATTGAAAGGCGACCATATCTGAGAATATTAAGAATTTTCGATTTAAATCAGTTTTACAATTTTCGATTTTGTGGTGTTCAAATCACTAACTATTCTAATTAACAATGTAAACATTGTGTTATTATATGCAAAACATTTTTGTTTCATATTTTGCGATTTAATTGTCTTAGTCTTCTTCCATTATTTGTCTCTGATTATGGATCGAATGGGTCTGTTTGCATTATACCCATTTTCAATTGAACTAGTGAAATGGTTATTCTTGTTCTTCCTCTCAATTTCAAGTGAATTTGGATTTTGTGTTTAAAACAATAATTGTTAAAGGCACAGGAGTAATCGAAAGCATATTGAATAATAAATAAATAGGAGACTTGAAGGTCGACAGTAGTAATGGTTGAAAATGGTTTAAGGTCGTCGGCAATGGTGGAAAACCCCCAAAAATTTCGAACACTGTTGTTTGAAAATATTTTAGTAACACAAGTAGCTATGTTTGGTAAGCACATATCTGAAAATGACACAACAATTCATAATATATAATATTTGAAAGTTTTTTAGTAACACAAGCAGCTATGTGATTTAAGGCTTTGATTAATTGATAGATATGCAAACATTGGCATGTTGTTACGTGATTTCGAGTTCGATATCTTAAAAGCTCATGTTTTTCCCTTTTTAAAATTTTTTGTTACCCTTACTGAGATTTAGATAATGTGAGAAAGACACAATCAATGAAAACTAATAAGAAATTAAGGTGAATAAGTAAAGGTAATTAAGCAAATAACAATAGACTTTCACATCAATAATAAGCGTTGGATAAGATCACAAGTAATTGACTTATATCAATTTTTTTTTGTGACGAATATAAAATTAAAATTCCGTTTAGATCGGAAAAATGTAACAAATAGTTATACCTTTTGTTTTAATATTGCACGGCACTAGTTTGATAAAATAGTTTTGCTTATTGCAAAATGAAATATCATGATTAATTATTATAATTATTATTATTATGAACCCCACCCCACCCCACTCCATCCCTCCACAATATTAGTTCATTAGGTTAGTACATTAAATAGTAACCGTATATATGTTAGAGAAAAAAAAATTAAACAAATATAACTCAATTATCTAGTAATAGGGGATGTTGATTCATGAAATTAGTTGCAAACACAATGGATAATTTAGCAATGATAAGTTGTTAGCAATTGAAATAATCATTTAGCGTAAGATACTAAGATGACATACATGAGCAAAATTATGAATGAATTACTATAAATTTGGTTGATGAATCAACTTCAAACAAGTAAAAAGCATTTACTTGTCCTTTATGTGAAACGAAAAATAAAATTGTAAATGTATTATTTCTCAATCCTTACTAACATTGCTTTGAAAAAATCATCATTGGCGTAAATTTCATTCTATATATAATAAATCGATTTAAAAATGTCTTTATTTGTATAACATCGAAATTTCTAAAATAAAACTTAAAGGTCACAGATTCACATTATTATTTTGATCGAATGATAAAATAAAGAATAAAATTACGTACAAGATTCATTTTACATAACCTTTTATTATTTATTAAAAGGTTACTTTCTATTCACTATGCTCATATATTTAGTACAATTTATTTCATTAGTAACCTTATGTGATCATATGAGACCACATCCCTTATGTGAGAACCCTATTATATGAGAGGACATATTACAACCATTGGATCAATTGCATCTAATGGCTACAATTTATCCCTATCAAACATAATTTGGCTATAATTTATCCCAATCAAACATAATTTCAAAAACAATTTTCCAGCGTTTTCTCTCTCCTCCTTCATTCGACGCGCCATTTTCTCTCTCCTCCTGCATTTTCTTTGCTCCCTTTCTTACTGCTATTTGCTTTGATTCTTCATCAATTCTTCTTCAAACTTCTTTGATTCTTTGTCAAGGTGATTTTCGTTGATTTTAATTAGTTTGATTTTCGTTGATTTTAGTTTGATTTTCATTGATTTTAGTTTGATTAATTAACGTTTTCGTCAAATGAATTCTTCATTAATTAAGGTTTTCGTCAATTTTTTTGCGATTTTTGGCGATTTTCGATTTAATTTCCGTTCGAAATGTTTGCTTATTTGTTAAATTAGCAACTAAGTATTTGCTCATTTGACAAATGAGCAACTAACTATTTGCTCATTTGACAAATGAGCAACTAACTATTTGCTTATTTGCTAAATGAGCAAAAAATTGATTGCTCATTTTCCAAATGATCAAAGAAATGCTTGCTTATTTTACAAATGAGTAACTAATTATTTGCTTATTTGACAAATAAGCAAACTAATGGTTGCTCATTTCACAAATGAGCAAAGAAATGCTTTTGATTTAATGAATTATTAAAGAAATCTTTGTCATTTGACAAATGAGCAACTAAGTTTTTGCTCATTTGTGATATTAGCAACTAAGTATTTGCTCATTTGACAAATGAGCAACTAACTATTTGCTCATTTCTAACTATTTGCTCATTTGCTAAATGATCAAAAAATTGATTGCTCATTTCCCAAGTTAAATGATTAAAGAAATGTTTGCTTATTTTACAAATGAGTAACTAATTATTTGATTATTTGACTAATGAGCAAACTAATGGTTGCTCATTTGACAAATGAGCAACTAACTATTTGCTCATTTGTTAAATTAACAGTGAAGAAGAGGCGAGAGAAATAGTCGATCTTCAATTTTTAGTCTCCTTGTAATCCCACCTTCAAGCTTTGAAAAGAGAGAAATTAAAGAGGAGTATACAAATTATACGTAAATTGGATTTTGGGGGTTGATGTGTTTGTTTTAAGAATTACATTATTGCCATTACTAGTTGAACAATCTCAGCTGTTGGATTTAATACAATCTAATGACTGAGATTGGTCCTCATATAAGGGATGGGTTCTCACACAGAGGTGGTTCTCACTATATATATATATATATATATATATATATATATATATATATAACCACTTTCTCTAGTAATTGGGGTCTGATTAATGAAATAAATTTTAATCACAAGGAATAAGTTAGCAATAATAAGTTGCTAATACTCGGAATAATCATGCAGAGAATGATGTGGTGATACATGTAACATTGTAACATTATTAACAAGTTTATTAGTTTTATTTTTAACAATTTTACACTAATACTTGTTTCGCAAACTATTAAAGTAGCTTATACTAAATAAATTTTCCCTGTTTGCATATTGGATAATGTATGTAGTCCATTAATTAGTAATCGTATATATTAGAGTAAAATAAAAAAAAATATATAAATCAAATTTCTAGTAACAGGATGCTGATTAATGAAATAAGTTGTAAACATAATAGATGATTTAGTAATAATAAGTATTTAGCAATCAAAATAATCATTTAGTGAAAGATGTCATACATATGCAAAAATATTAATTAAGTACCATAATTTTTGTTAAATAAGTACCTTCAAAAAAGTAGATAACATTAACTTGTCAAAAGAACTTTACATGTTACGGAGTATAAAACTTTAAATGTATTATTTTTCCTTGTATTCTTACTAGCATCACTATCATGTTAAGTAACTTTGTTAACAATGACAGTGAGATATTCACTATAACACATTTTCAATGCTATTAACATTAATATAAATAAAACGAAATAATTAGGGTTATATCTTTATTCATTTTACTAACCAATCGTTACTAAGAAATATTTGATTGTTACTGAAAAAATGTCAAACTTTGGACGAGACGGAGACGTCGCAAGGACTACAAATCGTGCCATGTTTTTATCAAATATCATTGTTAACTATGATTTAATTAAATTTTTCAGGAGTTCAGAATTTCTTCATAAGCTGAATAAATGAAAAAATTAGCATAAAATTATTTAAGTATAAAGATTTATTTTAACTAAATTGATATCATGTACGGGAGTTCTTAGATTATGAAAAATCTTTGATAATTGACGCATGAATCGAACAAGGTGGATTGTTGAATAAATCAAATTTGGTAGACACAAATTGAACAAGCTCGCGAATTCAAAGATTATTACTTCATTGGAATTTTCTTCGGCAATAGTAGACTTTGTCATGCTTTCTAGCAGAATGTTCATCTTCTCTGCGTAAGCATTTTTTGTTTACTGTAAAATGTTGCTATATCAAAAATTAATTATTTATGAAAAAAATAGTGTAATTAATGATGAGTTTTTTTCTTTGACCACAATTAATGCTGATTGCCTCCAAACAATTTCACCCACCAAGAATCCTGCCCAGATTGCAAGAAAGCGCCAAAATGGGTGAAATTCCCCCCCCCCCATTTTTCCCTCTTCTTTTATTGACTCTTGCTGATGTGGCAACATCTGAGTTGTGTTGTATGTTGGGGCCACATACAACAATTGTATGTGTATCAGCTCCCCATAAGGACTAGAGCTAAACGTGTTGCATCAAATACATATACAAAATTCATATCATCTATCCCTGCATTAAATTATAATTAAGTTCTCGTTTCTCAAATATGTCCTGGGCCTAATTTTCATTTTTCATTTTTCATTTTTCATTTTGAAGAGAGGTGCTTACAAAACTTGGCAATTAGAGACAAAAATGGACAGTTCTAATGCTAACCACTCAAATATCCACCCGTGGTTTCATGAGAAGCGCCCCTAACCTTTTTTCAAGCTTTCAGACTAATTTCGAAAAAAAATTTCAAAATTGAATTGAATATATGAGGTATCAGTATATATTTGGCTAGAATCATAATAAGCCTACCAATAAAAGTCTACAAATCAATAAAGCCAGATAGTCAAACTAGTTAATACACTTGATAGCGGCTAATACGATCAGCTAATTAATTCGATAACCGAGCCGATAAGAACCAAATACAAGTCATTAACTACTTTGTATTATCTTTCTCTCTCCCGCCACCTGCGACAGACCAAAATTTTCACCAACTTAAAAAAAAATTAATTTTTTTTTTTCCAGATTTTTGGAAATTCGAAGCTAAAATTCTTCCTTTGATCAATTTAAGTTTCTGCGATTCTGGTATGTTGAATTTCAAATTAATCCACTTAATTTTCTGTTTAAATTTATACAATTTTTGTTTTCTTCTGCAAATTTTTAGCTTAATTTAAATTCTCGGAAAAATGACTAATATTTCTGATGATCTTTTGCTTTGATTTGAAATTTTTTATTAATTTTATTTTCTTTCTTGTGATTAATATGTGTACTTTGAAAAAAAAAAAATCTTTTGTAAGTTTTTAACACAACATGCAGGTTAAATATGGATCAGACTTCAGAAATGCAGTATAAATCAATAAAACCTCGAGGTCTGATTTTGGAAATTTGTTTTTCTACTTTAATTATGTTTGAATTTTGGAATTTTATTGATAATTGTTGAAAATTGGTTAAATTTATAGTTTCACCTCTTGCCCTGATAATTCGAGTTAGGGTTATCATCATCATATTTGATACTTTAGATAATTGAAGCTATTAGGCAATGATTACACTCTTAACAGTTAATTATATATTAGTATAGTAGTATGCTTAAGCCCGGGACAGGTTTCGAAGTCTAATTATGAACCGATTTTAGGAAAGATGACAACTTTTTCCGAGTATATCAATTTAGTGAATTGACTATTGTTTATTGAGAAATGATGAGGAATTGACCTTCTTCTTTAGGGTGGATGCCTGGGGGTTGTATCGCTATGGTTGGATGAACATCAATTATTTTTGGTTAATGATGCTATATTAGGTGAAGATTGGACAGTTTTACTTTTGCCCCATTTATCGATGACAATAACAATTTTATTTGGGAATGGTGTATATTGGTGGGATTAATTTTGTTACTATTGTTGAATATTAAGATGCACTATTACTTGCTGAGCTATTCATTTGCTGATACAAGTAATATGCAATTTTAGAGTATGTAATAACATCTCACATTTGGTTGGAAACAGATGTTTGCATTGTTGGTGTTGCACGTACGCCAATGGGTGGGCTTCTTGGTTCCTTGTCAACTCTATCTGCCACCAAGCTTGGTTCTATTGCTATTGAGTGTAAGGCCAGAAATTATTTGTGTTGGAACTATCGTCACATGTGTAGTATAATAGTCCTATGTGTTGTTCGACAACTCCATGATGTGCAGTAATTATGTAGGTGCTCTTAAAAGGGCAAGAGTGGATCCATCATTAGTACAAGAAGTGTTCTTTGGGAACGTTCTTAGTGCCAATTTGGGACAGGCTCCTGCTAGACAGGCTGCTTTAGGCGCAGGAATCCCTAACTCAGTAATCTGCACGACCATTAACAAAGTATGTTCTTCAGGAATGAAAGGTGCGTAACCCCCCTCCCCTCCTGCAGCATATTTCCCCAATAAAGTGATTTGAAATATTCCTTTGACATCTTTAATGAAATGGTACAGCAACCATGCTTGCTGCTCAAAGTATCCACCTGGGTGCCAATGATGTTGTTCTGGCCGGGGGAATGGAGAGCATGTCTAATGCACCGAAATACCTAGCTATGGCCAGGTTAGCTAATTGTCTTTAAATAATGATCTTTGATTCAAAGATGAGTTTATTTACTCAACTATTGTCAAGTTAATCTGTGCGTGGGAGCTATATAAATCTTGTATCATCTTGTTCTAAGGCCTTCAGAATTTTGATAGCTTCCTTGTTGGCTAAGAGAGAGTCTGCAGTTCATATCATATGTTCATGTTGATGCAATACAAGCTCTGTGATTCCTCTTTTTCATATGAGTCAAAACTCTTAAAGCATGTTCAATACGAAGATATTAAGGACTGGAAAGTGGAAACTAACTGAAGAATTTCTAATATAGGCTGTTTGGTATGATGGGTATGGTAACAATGACCCTAAATACTTGATGGTAATAGACTCCACTCACTTGCTACTCTTTCCATTCAGTGATAACTGGTATAACATCACGTTACCCTCCTCAATCTCCCTCTGCCACTCATTTGATTTTATGTTATTTAATTGTAATATCATATGATCAATACAAGTAATGGCTATCATTAACTTTTCCCTCTCTCATTTAATACCAATCTACATGCCAAACACATCATTACAATATCAGAAGAGGTTGGGTGGATAATCTTGCAGTTGCTGTTCTGCAGTTCACCAAGTGTTGAAGGCCCAGGAATGCTTATGTTTGTATTTGTGGCTGCTGCATCACTCTATGTAGCTTCTTGAATTTTGCTTGACGAAAGCTTTTGAGCAAATTTCTTGTTATTCTCTATTCAGTTGGAGCTCTTGAAGAACTCTATGCTTATAGTTGCCCTATATTAATCATTAGTGATATGTTGCTAGTATCAATCTATTGGAGAATACCAACTGCAAAATAGATTAGTAGAACTTTTATGTGACCTCCAGTATTATTAAGTATTTATATTGCATAATACTGTAAAAGTTGCTTACTTGATACTTTATTTTTCTTAATAAAAAATAAAAATTCAACTTATAATATCGTTATTTCCATTTCTAATGTAATAGAGTTTTTGGGAAAATCCACAAATCCCCTTCTTGGACCGATAACTTACACCTTACCATGACATTACTCTATGCCTTGGTTAATAAGGTCCTTTTAGCGTATCTTGTCAAGCCACTATTATATACAAATTAGATCTATATGTACTACATACATACATACATTAATTACTATATAAGTTAATGAATTATGGCCATAGACTCATTCAAAAATGTGTTAATGGGGTTTGTTTAACTTCATTTATCTTTCCTTTCTAGTAGATGAATTACGTCAAGAAAGTGTTTTCATATTATTTTGAATTCTATGTTAATTTTAGGTTTAAATTGAATAAATAAAAATGTTGTATTAAAATGGTTATAAATCTTAGAATCAGTGCTTTTAAGATATGACTAATCAAGCTCAGTTGAGAATTTATGTTCCTGTTATATATTTCATAGAACTTGTTCTGTCATTATAATTACGTTATGAAGTATTTTTTACTTATTGACAAAAGTGCCCTAAAGAAATGGATAAGGTATAATGGGATAGAGAGTACAGAGTAGTAGATAATGACAATTTCCATACAAAAAATGAATAAATAAATAAAACTTTTCAGTTGGGCACTTAGTGCTCCAATTATCTAGCATAGTTGCACATCTTTGTTTCCAAAAAAACACTTCTGATTTACACAGTTATGCGAAATTGTCACAATCAGATGTGCTTTCCATGCTTATATGATGTTAATTCACTATCCTGTTCTTTCCCTGTTATAAATTCTGAAGATTAGCTGCTCTCACTTCATTTCATTCAGATAAAGATTTTGCCTTTTTGTGTAGTATACTTTAATGTCACTTAACCAATTGCAATATTTGTAGAGTAATAAGATGCCTCCACTAGAGTACTTTGTTTGACTTATATGATGTAGTGTAGTCAATTGCAATGTTTGTTCTCATTTGTGGACAAAGTGAAAATGCACTTAAAGACTTGTCAAATAACATCACTGCATGAGCTTGGATATAGTTTGTGTAAAACTAAACTGCAATGTTGATGGCAATAATAATCACTCTATTTCAATGTTTTGAAGAACCAATGTTTAAAATCCTTCATTATTTGCAGAACCGGATCGAGGCTTGGACATGACACCATAATTGATGGAATGCTGAAGGATGGACTTTGGGATGTTTACAATGATTTTGGAATGGGAATCTGTGCAGAAATATGTGCTGATAACTATAGATTTTCAAGAGAAGAACAGGTACAGTACATGTTGTATAGTTGTTTTACTGATTTTCTGTCGTTTGATAGAAATTCTGTGGTAGGAGTGGTCTTTCAGTCACCTCTGTATGTGTGTGTACGCGTGCGTGCATGTCTGTCCATTTAATTTCTTGCTAGTCTTTTAAAACTACTATCTCAGCCTTAATATTTTGTAACAATTATTACAAAAATAATAAACAATTAATTATATAATTTAAGGAAACCAGATTTAGAAGATTTTATGTAGATCAGAACTATTGTGTCATATGTAAATTTGTACAGTTGTGCTCTGTATCTAAATCACTATGAGCCATTTCAAAGGCAGTTGGGAACCTGTGCATGAGTAATGATGCTTTTTCTCAATGTCTTAGTGACGAATGAGGACCTCTATATAAAAATCATCAATATAACTCTGTTTGATACGCTTGAATTGGGTATTATAAGTGCACTTATTCCGGTGGATGATTGGTACTCGCTCTGAAAAGTTTCAACCTAGTTTGATAACTTATGCTGGACTTAGTGTATTCTCCTATTACCTTTCTGCCTGTTTCATATTGCGTTATAATGTAGCCTTAAAATATTGGGAATGTAGCTTTTTCTTCCTCGAAGTTGCGATTTGTGTAGATTGCATGTTTGATAATTTTTGTAATAGGTAGTTTACGGCTTTCAGCTTTATCCTGACAAATTCATCGTCTTTATCCTGACAAATTCATCGTCTTCACACATGAGTTTAACAAGTAAAATTTAGTCCTTTGCTTTCTTTGCACCTTCTAGAGGTTGATTTTATCAATTAGACATGGAAAATTATTGAATCACAAGATAGCTTTAAGTTTTTACATTCTCTCTATAATACACTCCTTTTAGGTATGCCAAGAAGTCAAGAACCACAGTTCATATATTTGGAAAATTTTGAATTTTATCCATTTTGGGATTAGAGCACCTCATCTTCTTGGGTTCATTGAGTTCAACGCATAATGAAAAGATTACTTGAGTGTGGAGACTGGTTATTGGTTGATTTATCTGGTGGTGTACCTTTCTTCTTTAGGATTTTAGCATCTTTTATCCAATAGTAGCAGGGGAAGAAAAATAAATGATCATTTCTTTTTATTGGTTTTGAGAAAAAGAGTGCTTGAGCCTCTAATTGTGCAAGGTTAAAATTCACTTATGTAGTTTAATTGCCTTAACAAAAACCAACATAAAATAAACCATTCAAATCTGTGCTGAATATTACTGTCATGTTGCTAATTTGTTCTTGCTTCCCCAGGATTCTTTTGCTATAAGGAGCTATGAGCGCGGTATTGCTGCAAAGAACAGTGGCGCGTTTTCTTGGGAAATAGCTCCGGCAAGATTTGACTCTGTTTTAGATGCATATTTGTACCAGAAAATTTTTTGTAGTTACTAGAAAGCATGAAAAGCCAATCCGGAATAACAAAAAAATGAAACAAACTTTTAGTGTTGAGGTTGCATGAGGCTAATGGACTTTTGTATGCAGGTGAAGATTTCTGGAAATAGGGGAAGACAAACCACGATTATTGACAAGGATGATGGTCTCGAGAAGGTACAGCAAATTCTCCTTATCATGTCAGCCTTCTATCGGTGTTTTTTTTTAATCACTTTGTGATCTCGGTTTTGATGGCATGTTGACAGTTTGATCCTGCCAAACTTAAGAAACTTCCTCCCAGCTTTAAAAAGAATGGAGGCTCTGTCACTGCTGGAAATTCTTCGCTTATAAGGTAATGAAATCTAAGGCTTCTCTTTTCTTTTCTCTGATCCCACCCCTTCCCCTTGCCAAAAGAAATTCGGAAGACGGGGGGAGGGGGGCATAACATATTAACAAAATATATGATTTAGATGTCATTTTTTTTTTTTTTTAATATATTTTTTTTTATTGAATGATGTTAAAGTGGTTATTCTAAAGCATTTATATTAATGAAAGAGAATTAGAGATAGATGTGAACACCCTATTTATCCCAAGTTATTTATTAGATGAAGAGACCTCTACATTCATTTTTCATTTTGCTTAATGTTTTACGCTTTCTTTTATAAGTGCTTTAAGATTGTCTGAACTTGCTACAAACAGTGATGGTGCTGCTGCATTAGTATTGGTCAGTGGAGAAATGGCCAAAAAACATGGACTCCAAGTGATTGCAAGGATCAAAGGTTTTGCTGATGCAGCTCAGGTTTAAGAATTTCTACTGCTGGCCTATTTACATCCAAATTTTTGAAATGCTCGTTGAGAAAAATATTATTTTTTATCCTGCAATTGAATTCTTATTAACATTGGCCAGGCCCCTGAATGGTTTACTACTGCTCCTGCCCTTGCAATCCCAAAAGCTATTTCAAATGCTGGTTTGGAGCCTTCTCAAATTGACTTCTATGAAATAAATGAAGCCTTCTCTGTAATATTCTTAGCCTTATCTTAAATTCTTTAATCTTTCCACTTACCTTTCACATACATGATCCTCCTTATCTGCCATTTTTGCCTTTTTGGATCGATTCTAGCTTAACTTAATTTTTTCCATCCATCCACTTACCATTTATCTTATAATTTTCCTTATCTGCCATGCATACTCGTTTTCTGCAGGTCGTTGCTCTTGCTAATCAGAAACTCTTAGGGCTTGATCCAGTAAGTTCTGTCACTTCTTGCTCTGCTCCTTCTCAGATTACAATACTATAAGTACAACTCATTCTGCTGATTACCCTTCCCTTCTAACACTTGTTTGTGAAGGAAAAGATCAACGTGCATGGTGGAGCTGTGTCTCTGGGACATCCATTAGGTTGCAGTGGAGCTCGAATTTTGGTCACATTGCTTGGTGTATGTTAAATTTTCACCTTATTGAATTTTCTAAACTTCAGTCTGATTTCCTCTGTATGTAGCGAAGACCCTTTCTTATGCATTACTATACTTTATTCTCAATCTCTAATTGCTGATGCACTGGCATCCTCATTCCTCAATATCACATCTTTCTTTCATGGAGATATGTAAACAAATGTTCAGTTCTCTTCAATTTACAGAGATCATAACTTTGTTTAAATTTGCAGGTTCTAAGGCAGAAGAGAGGAAAATATGGTGTTGCTGGCATCTGCAATGGAGGCGGCGGCGCCTCTGCTCTTGTCTTAGAGCTCATGTAAGCCTCTCAACTTCAGGGTGATAATGCTTTAGGAGCTACTAATGATTTAAACCTGTCCTTTTCTGTCCTGCTGCAGATCAACATCAGTGAGTGATCATTCAAGACTTTGAAAGTTTCTAACTGGAGTAAAACATTATGGTGGAAATCCTAGGCGATCATTCAAGACTCTGAAATTCAGTTCTTTGAGAAGTTCCTTCAGCTGCAAATTCATCGAGATGTCATCTTGCCATTTTATACATAATGAGACAGATAGAGGCAGACTGCTATCCGGAAATCAATTAGATATTTGGGTGATTTATGTATAATATATACTAGTGGAAATGAGTAGGCAATACACCTGGGCATATCTGCAATACTTAGGTGGTTTATGTATGACTATATACTTGTAGAAATGAGTAGGCAATACACCTTGGGCATATTTGCTCGTGTTTAGTAACATAAGTAGGTATGTATATGCTTGCGCTGGTCCATGATATATAACATGTACTATGCAAATAATTTGGGGCTACTGTATTTGTTTAAAGGTCTGCACTAGGCAAGTGTGTAAAACCTGTGATCTTTGCAGTTTGGATATAAAGGTTCAAAGCTTAATTATTCCATATATTGTTTTTCTGCTTATCTTAGGGTGTTGAAATTTGGGAATACTAGGAAACAAATATTGTATAAAAAAATGTAGTTTTTTTGCCCGAAAAAAAGATTTTTGAAAGTTTTACAAGATCCCAGAATGAAGGATGATGACTTTTACTCAGCCTGACCTTGATTCTTGTCTCTGTTTCGAAGTTTATCCTCAAAAAGTTTCTTAACAGCATTTTCGATTCTTCATCTGATACATGACTATTATTTTAAGCTAGTTTCTTTATCCATCTTTAGTCTATGTAAGCCTTTAGTTCATGCTGGTCACTCTTTCACTGGATCTATTTCAGTGGCCAGACTTTCACCTCTGCTGGTGGCACTTTTCGATCTCTGGCCGACATTTCTTCAAACTTTTTATACGTATTTATTTAATCGCTGTAGCTTGTAGTTGCTATATTTTTACATCAATTCTTTTTTAATCATTTTTAGCTTGATTAATTTCCCCAAAAGCCTTCTCCAAATTTACTTTGAATTGAAGCCTGTCGCCAAGTGTAATACGATCTTGAGATAAAACAGATTAGGACATATGGTGCACACTTCAAATGAACTGCAAATTATATATGCATAATTTATATATATTCGTCAAGAGCCAATTAATTCTACAGCCCAGAGAAATTTATTTGAAACCCAATAGCCAATTGGCCATATACACTATTTTCTAAACAATATTACTGGCGGGGTAAAAAAAAATCTGCCTAATTGCCTACTATAGACAAAATTAACCCCTTTAAAAATATGAACATCTATCCGAAAAAAGAAAAAAAAAAAAAAAATCAAAAAGCTAGTTATGTATATTCATGGCCTTCCAAGCTCCAAGTATCTGAGGACAAAAAGGTGATGATTAATCCCACAGCTCAGCAAGGCTACAACTCCAGAAAGGCGTCAGCTTTTGAGCTGAAGCGAAGTTCTTATACATATCCCTGAATTATGCCCTTCCAATTTCAAAGTACCCAAGGACAAAAAGGTGAAGTTTCACCCCACAGCGTGGCAAGGCTACAACTCCAGACATACGTCAGCTGATAAAGCCAAAGTTAACTTCCAACGCCAACCATCATCAACCATTCAGCCTTTCAGATTACGAGCCTCTGCTTTCAAGAACTTTACTGGTAAATCTGCATCCAATATCATAAATATAAGCTTTTCTTCAGATGATCGAGCAAAACACTCCAATTCTCAGTTTACATGAATTGCAATAATATTTTGTTTGAAAAGATGGCACAACTAGGCCATGCCAAAGCCTTTTTTCATGACTTGGAATTCAAGTATTTGGCAAAGTATTTGGCAAAGCCATCTATACCACGCAGCTAATGTGAACACAAGTCAGGCACAAATTTTCAATTAATTTATATTATACAACATAACAAATCCTTCTAAAATGGTGATTTGAAACTAGCAGCGAAAGAAAAACTAACAGTTCTAATATAGCTTAGTATTATAGCTAATAGCAATAAATGAAGTGACAAGCAACTGATAATATCAGCAGCACAAAAAACTAGCAGTTTTAATATAAAGATGGAATTCATGTAGACTTACATGTACAAAAATATTAGATGGGAACTTGAAGGCGCTTCTTTCAGGCTATATGATGCGATAAACAGGATCAGCCAAAGCCAAAGCCTTCACTAGCTTCATGAATAGCAAGCAGCAATCTTTCTCGAAGCTGCTCCTTCGTAGAATATTCAGGAAGGTCCAATTGATTGAAACTAAAAAGCATAACAAACCAATCAATGACAGTTGATAACAAGTCTATTTGTTTGCCTACTATGACAAAGACTTGTCTATATCCTCACCATGTATGGGCAGATGGAAGCCGCTCCGGAGCTCCATATGCTTTGTGTATCTGGAATTTTTGAGGGCCAGAGATACCTTGCAATGCTTTGAAACCCTCCAACGGTACCTACAGCCACAGAAACCAGGGACTTATGAATCAACACCAAATCGGGTTTATTTTCGTTCTTTTTTCAAAAAAGAGTCGAATCCTGTTCTACAGCACACGAAGACCAAAGTACGAGATTTTAGCAGTGTAATGCTAAAAATTGCATGCTGGAATTAGCCTACAAATTAAAGCTTTCATTAAGACAATTATAAGGAGATGGAAGGAAAGATTTTGCACATAAGATCTACTCCCTCCGTTCCTTTTTATTCTTTACATTGAATCATGCACGGTGATTAAAGAATTATTAAAGTGGGACCTTTTAATTTATTTTATGTTTTAATTTATAAATAATATGGAGTACATTCTATTTTTATGATTACTTCTTCAATTAAACAAGAACCTTGGGAGATGCAACAATAATATTGGATGAATATAAAGTTGATGACAGGCACAATTTTATTGTTTTTGGAAAAAATAGAGACAAAGTAGGAATATTAAGTATTTTATTCAAGGAAACATAAAAAAGGGGGGGGGGGGGGTTATGCCCAAACGGAATACGTAAAGAATAAATAGGAACAAATAAGATAGGCTAACAGCACTCGTATTTAATTCATATGAAAATAGGAGCAAACAGCACTAACTCATGACACAAGTATTACGAGAAAAGTAGAACTCAATCATGGACAAAAAATTGATGAGAGGAAAAGCATGTTGGCTAAATTTAAATCATGTACCTTTGACGTTCCAGTAACGAATTGTAGGAGCCTCGCCATGTCTTCCTTGCTGAAACTACTCGCAACCTCCCAGAACCACTGAATGACATTGGAAGCAACTGTGTAGCCAGTATACTCTGTGTTGACCTTCAAATCATCCACTGAAACACATACAAACATATAAGTATCCAATAGTGGAAAAAATGCTACAAATGGAGTAACAGTGAATACATGATCAAGCTCACTCACAGTCAATTTCTGGAAGTCCACTTATAAGGAGTTCAAGCTCTTTATCATTGAAAATAGAAATCAACTCCCGAGGCACCAATTCATTAAAACCTTCAAGGAACGAATTAATTTGGGGACGGATAGCATTTGTCAAAATATGGTCAGCAACAAGATCAACATACTCGTGCTTTGTTTCCTCTGTAACCCTTATATTTCTGCCTCCGGGTTTAAGCTCATAATCAGTGACCTTTAACAGCCAACAGAAAAAGATTAAGTAAAAGAATTAGTTCAAGCACATCAAATTATATTTCGATTTAAGTAGCCAAGTATTGGAGTATAGGTTTGTAGTTCATCAATAGAGCAAAAGAGGAAAAATTACAGTTCCTAAGACCAATTATACTGGGAGCATAACAGAAAACAAAAGTCTGTACCTGTGTTTTCTCATACAGAATAAGTTTCTCCTCATCTGCGTCCATGCTAAAAGTAAGGTCTAGAATATCATTTACATCATTCTGCAAAACCAATAGATGAAGTGAGAAACACAAAGCCCAATCATACAAAATAACCATAATGATGACTGAGTAAAAGCAAGGCAGAACACATTATAAAATACTAACCTCCAGCAACCACTTCAAATTTTTATAGTAATCTGGATCAACTGCCTCAATATCATGATAGGTCACCTTCACGCCCAAAATATGCTTGTAGAAGGAACGGGTGAAATACACATCTAAAAGTTGCCCGTCGAATAAGGCCTTGGCAACCTATACATTTCTCAAGAGATGTTAAAAAAGGGATAAACCAATATAAGACATGAAATACATTCCAGTTCTTCCCCGTTGTTGCCTGGAAAATTAAAGAATCAATATAAACTAGGGTGTTCAAGAAAAATTACCACACGACCAACAAATTTGAAGTAAGATAGATGTTCAGTCTGGTAGACAGAATTAGGATTCGGCTGGAAGGTTGCATTATTCCCAACTGTGGTGAAAAGTAGCGCCCCCTTATCAAAGATAACCCTTGACAACAACTGGTACCACTCTCGTGTGAGACCACCAGCATCAATTCCCTCTTCACCTTGAAACTGCACGTTCAAACGCCCCTTCAGATCCTGATTTGACCTCATTCGCAGCTGATTATATGAGTCTTCAAGAACATATGCCCGACGAACACTGATTCTGAGTGGCCCAGCAAGGTGTTGCTCATGCTGATGTCTAATTCTAGAACGAAAGTATGCCCTCTTGTTATCAAAATCAATGAGACGAGGAGCTTTCAGCATCATAGAGAGTGACTTTTCCAACAACCCTGGATTTTGCCTGATAAATGCATTCAAGAGTCGCCGATGCTTGTCAGCAAACCTTGAAAATATGACTGCGCTGTCAAATCTTCTCTGAGAATCAGCACCACACTTCGACAGTGTTGAGGAAGAAGCGTCAGCTGATTCTTTTACTTCTTGAGCAGTGACATTGTTTTGATCCTGCTGAACAAAGGAACTGCTTGACTGCAACTTTTCACACAGAACAAAGAAAGACTCGATGAAAGGCAAGAGCCTTTGTGTCCCAGGAGGAAGGGGAGGGGATGAGAGAGTGGATCCAACACCATCCTCGGAATTCATAGAAGCCACAATTGGTGGTAAAGTGCTTTGTCCTAGCTCTAACTCAGTTGTGCTAATACAGTTGCTAAGCTCCTGCCACAACGGTTCCAGAGCAGAATTCAACTTCAGCAGTATGGCTTGCTCTTCTTCCTCACAGTTCCCTAGACAACTAGAGCCATCAACACTTTGCGATATTAATGAGCTAAGTGCTTGCAGTACTCGAAGCATGGCAGCACCAGCCACAGAACCAGCACCAAGACCCATCATCCGCGTATTCTTCAGAGTATTGAGCTCAGACACAGCAGCACTGCTCAAATCCTGAGCAAGATCTGAAAGCTCTTGCGTAAAAAATTTACGATGAGAGGCAATCACAGAAGCCAACTTCTTTAGCACCTCACCAGCAAGCATGTACACTTTGTCTGAGAGCCTACAGTATAAGTAAAATACGTAAATCAGTCAAGACTGTAAGCCAGAGAATATGCTGCATAATAGAGCAATATGGGTCCAGATAAAAGTGATGAAAAGTATAGGAACAGGGGGGGAATAACACCCTATAAGTTGGCTCTACTATATAGCATGTTGATAAGCATAGAACCAATTTTGTAGACATAATGACATGAAGCAAATTATACATAACCACATAAGTAAATCAAAAAAGCATTAATTATACCCCTCATAGCCAAGAAGACGGGAAAGATTACGCAAATCAGATCTTGGCAGCTGCGTGAAGATATCATAGACGTTATGACCTCCTGTCTTCTTATCAGATATAGAGGTTTCCCCATTTTCAACTTCATTCTGTTGGCTAGTCTCTGTTTCCACCACGGTAACATCTTTTTCTACCTCATCAGAAGCTTTATCAGTCAAATTCTGAGAAGCACCCATGACCTGCTCAGGGGGAGTCAGGCTCTCTAATCTTGAAGCTGCAGTATAGACCACAACTTGAAGCAGACCCATAACCTGTTTTACAAGAATAACATATAAGATTATACATACTCATTATGAAGTAATGTTAGCATAACTGTAGCAAAGTTCATCAGACCTACCTGCTCAACATGAGCAATGCTACGCCGGAAAAGGGGACGATTCAAAAGCTTCAGCAACAATATTAAAGGAGTACACCCTTCCTCATATTCCTGAACAGAGTTAGAAGACGCTCCAGGTTCCCCTACTTTTTCTTTTCCCTTTCCCTTTTTGGCTTCTGCAATCTTCTGGGAGGAATCAGGCAAAAGCGATGGCTCAAAGTAGAACAATGTATTCGCAACAGAAGAATGATTGGTAGCCAAATAATTCAATATCTCAAGAACACGACGCAAAACCAAGGGTGGAAGACCTGTGAAATAGTTTTGTCAGAAGAACATTAAATATGCAAAGCACAACACCATGCTGGGAAAGTGCATACCCTCTAACAACTGAGATTGACCATGGACCATATTTGGGGAGCAACCATAGAGCCTCTGGGGATTGATCATTGAAATATTTCCAGCTACACCTTCAGCCTCAGGCTTGATCATCTCGAGCAATAGATAAATTAAGGTTGCTCTAGTGACACTATGAGCACACAGGTTTAACAAAAGCCTCTGCAAAAGGCCTTTACCAAGAGGCTACCATGAAGAACAAAAATGAATCAGATTAAAGAAAAAAAAAAATTTACATCTTTTTGCAATGTAATATTAACCAAGACAGGGTCGATTTTGTCCTGCGGTTACAATAGAGGATAATGCATAGATTCACAGCAAAAGGCAATCCTGAATTATTATTTAAATGAAGAAACTTCTACACCAACAATCACACAAGATCACACTAAATTCAAACAGCTTATCGTATTACCTGTGCCAAGCGTAAGAGCCTTATCAATGCCTTCAGCGCATTTCCATCCAGAAGCGGCTCACCTTCAACTTCTTTCACTTTCAAGACATCTGAAAGGGCAGCACCTGTTCTGCGTCCAATGGTTACTCCAACACCACGGTCCATGACAGACTGTCGATCAAAGCCCAAACCATTCCTGCGATTAGGTAGTCTATGGCTGCTTCCAAAAAGGCTGCGAGCCTGATAATGACTCATTGCTCTATCCCTAAGCATTTGAGCTTCAGCGAGTAATGGAGAAGGCAAAGCTGATAAAACTGCTTCAGATGATGTCAACAACACCTATATCACAAATGAAATATATATACATAAATAAAATCATAATATTACCCAATAAATGTTCTGCATGAATTTCAGAACCAAACCTCCTCGCGCAAATCTGCTGGAAGAGTAGCTATTATAGAAGCATTATCCATGTCAACTGGTTGTCCTTCACTCTGCTGAGCCAGCCTCTGTACTCGTTGCTGGGCCAAAACTTCAGCTTGAATCTCGGGAGGCAGTGCAGCAAGAAACTCGGGATCAATGTCTTCCATTGAAGGTGGAGTATATGTAGGCGGTTGAGTTGGCTGTGATTGCTGAGAAGCTAATACTTCAGCTCGCAAGTCTTCAGGAAGTGCTTCCAAGAAGGTTGGATCAATTACGTTGGGCCCAGAGGGCTCAGCATTAGCTTCAACATGTTCAGATTCCATTGAATTTCCATTAACAGGAGCATTCTGATCAGCTACTGGCTCATTACTCTCAGCAGGCAGGAGTTGATTGATTTGAACAGGCTCCTCATTTGTCCCAGCCATCTCAATATCAGGGTTAGCACAGACAGAAGGATGTTCAGATTGATTTAACATCGCAAGATCGGGATTATTCACATCATTATTAAGCTGGCTATCAGTTCCTGAAGATACATCAGCCACACGAACCTCCATTTGATCATCACGTAGATTATCTAGGTCACCAATATCTGCTCCATGCTGCAGATCACTTACAGGGTCTGCTGATGGCAAAGGCTCTTGTTCTATTCTCATCAAGTCGTCAGAAGGGTCGTTGCCATCTTCAGATTCCATGCTATGATGTGCTATATTACTTGACAAGGGTTCACTTTCATGGACTGCTGCTACCTCTGTCACAGCCTGTGCATTGATACTATCTTGATTAGAAACAATGTCTAGTGAAATTACTTGCTGAGGTTCAGTTTCACCATTTTCTAGCAGCACCTCACTGTGCCCATGGACATCACGCGAGGGATTTCCCTCCATTTCCAAATTACTATCACAGTTTTGTCCAGCATCCAACTGTTGTTCTGGTTGACTCGTATTCTGAGACTGTATTCCAACTGGAGTCTCAGTCGTAGATGCACCATGTAAAACAGAAACAAAAACTTCTTCTACGGCCTGTGCAATGGCAGATGCTTGATTCCCTGCTTGTGGCTGACCATCATCAGCCCATCGACCATCACCAGGTCCTCTTCGCCCAACTAACTGCGATGAGTCCATACCAACTGAGTAATCAGTCAATGGTGGTGGTGCTGTTCCACCTGAACGGTCACCAATTACACTACCTGGTCCAAAATCATATAGGAAAGGAGGAGTATCAAACATGTAAAATTGAGATACATCAACACCCGCTCCTGACAAGGATTCTGAATCCCTAGATACGTTGCCAGCTGATGACCACAATGAAGCATCACCTGATTGAGGTGGCCTCGAGAGCAGAGGATGCTGGAGACCACCATCTGTATTATTTCGATCAAAGGATCTACTAGTCTGTCGGCGTCTATCAAAACCTAAGGTTCTTCGAAGCCCAAATAGGTCATCCACATTCACCCCTTCAAAGGGCTCTGAAGGAACATCTATGAGGCCACTTCCAGATTGGGCAACCTGGAGATGATGAAATCCACCCAAGGCCTCTCTCCACCTTACCTCTATAACTCGGTTCTCATGATAATCATCCTCCTCATCATCAATCATCTCATCATTGTAATCATCTCCAAATCCTGCATCTTCATGATCATCAACATCAGTATCTGCAAGAGACATCAGAGCAGTACCATCTTCAGCAATATCCTCATCTTCGTCCTCACCATCATCATCTTCTTCATCCTCCTCCTCCTCGCCTTCACCCCCCATGTCATCATCTTCATCACCAACACCCTCATCAGCTCGATGTTCAACATGGAATTCCATACCAATCCGATTGCTGTTATGAATTAGATCACCTTCTTCCATCTCATCACCTGGAAACTCCATAGCAAGCTCCACAGTTGCATTTGTAACTTGCATTCCTTCTCCTTCAGCCCTCACATCTTGATTATCTGATCTAACCACATCAGTACCATGAGTACTTTCTGTGAATCCAGCACCTTCATGAGGGTTGGCTCCATCAACCTGTGCATTCCCTGCTTCCTGCTCACTGATTCGGTTGTCATTGTGCTGTGTATTATCATTGACTACTGCATTTGTTGTCTGATCATCAGATCTTCCTTGTGAACCATTAGACTTCTTTTTGTTCTGGACATCAGATTTATATGATTGCTCACTTGCATTAGCAGCCCGAGTTAAGCTTTCCAAAGCCTTAAGAATGAGATTTGCAATTTTAGAAGCATCTGGATGGTCCAAATCAATAGCTTGAAGAATGCTGGACAAACATGGCACAATTCCTCCATCAATCAAGCCTCGTGCTATGTCTGGTGAATAGCCAGAGACAGATAAGCTACTTGAGGAAGCATTCTTTGACAAGACAGAATATGCCAATTCCACAAATGCTAAAACCTTTCTATCTGGTAGCAAACTGCTTTGAAGAGAGTTGCTGTCCAAATTAGTATACAATGATAAGGCCTTCACAAGCTCACTGATGACACGTCTGCGCCCTTCACTTGAACGTCCACATAAAACTACCAAAAACCATGAAGCCTTTTCAGATAATTTTGCCCTCAAATCACCAGGCTTACTAGATTTATCAGAAGACAGAGGAAGAAGTTTATGTAACACATGGTGAACAATGCCACCCTGCCCAGGAGAATCAAGCTGAGAAGAAACCCGCAACTGACAAATCTCTGAATCCCGTTTTAATACAACACTAATTGCATGAACATACATCAAAAGAATATCGCTCAACAATTTCAAGACAAATATAACCTTAGCAAGAGCTGCTGAACTTTCAGGTAGGACAACTGAATCTCCCTTAGTTGCTTCATCAATCTTTGATTTACCTTTCATACTTGTACCAGGTTCATCTACCTCCATAGCTGCTTGGTAGCTTGTACAATCTTCCTGGATGTTTGAACAAGGGAATTGCAAGATTATTTCAAGAAGCTGGTCTATTACTTGAGCAAGATTTACAGGAATCTTTTTATGACCTTTTGAACCTTTTCCTGGCCCATCCTGAACCTTCGTTTCAGAAATACGAATAGGCTCATTGGAAGACAATGCACCCTCAGTAGCACCAGTGACTTTAGACCTCTCCTTTTCCTTCTCTTTTTCCTTTGACAAAACAACAACAGTCCTCCCAGCAGATGACTCCAACTGACAAACTGCTGTAGCAGCCTTTGTGAATATTACAGGATCTCTAGAGATGACAGGTGCCATCGATGTCAAAAATATGCGAGTAGGAATACGTCCAGCATGACGACCTCCACTCAATGTTTGCCGAATTTCTAATTCCATGGCAGTTTGCAGAGTTTGAGGGTCTTCAAGCAAATGCCTGACAATTGCAGAAGCCAGAGTATCATAACCAGCAAAGAAACAACTTCTTGGCAAATCAAACAGAGCAGCCATGCCTCCATTTTCAAGAAATTGCAAGGCTAATGCATGCGTTTTGGTCAACCGAGCACATAGTTGTAACACCGCCTGCATAATTACCGCCGGAACCTGTTGTTTTAGCATATCACATGCAATCTCAAGTACAGAATGACACTCATTCATGGAAAGGTGACCGGTTGATTTTCCAAATATTTTCTCAAAAGCAAAGACAGACTCCTCCTCGCAAGCACCTGATTTTAACTTTCCCTCATTCTCAGGAACTGAAGCTTCCACAGAAGCATGCTCTTCAGATGAATCAGGTAGTGGATCAGTTGAAGCTATCCCTGCATTTGCAGAGGAAAATTTGGGCCTGGATTGTAACAAGTTATCCAATATAAGCAGCAAAGCACTAGTGCTTTTAGTGCTCAAAACATCCTTCCCGAGCTGATTACTTCTTGAATTCTTCAAGATATCAATAGCAACTGAGACGATACCATTTTGAGCAGCAATTTCTCTAGCATCTGCATCTTCAGAGAGAAGCAATGCCAAAATATGTGATATAGACGACACGGCACTAGCATCCTTTGACAAATCAGAAGAACAAAGTTTCAGCTGCTGAATTAGATAAGATGCAACTTTAAGACGATCTTCACCCTTGTTTCGATTGCAAAGGGTTGCAAGCAAATCAGTCAAGGGAAAAGCCAAAGAATCTCCACTCTGAAACAACTTCATTGCAGCTCCAAGTATATCATCAACAGGAGGGACCTTCATTTGTCCCTCTTCAGCCTGAACATCAACTGACTTATCATTATTATCAGACTTAGATGTTTCTGCTGAACTCCCTAATGACAATGCAAGAGCCTGTGCCAGTTCATCCTCCTCGTGCACAGGATCTTCAGCATGAGTGCACAACCAATCCATTGCCATCTCCACGCTATTACTCTCCACTCTTCTCAGAGCTTCTTCTGCTCTTGCCCTTGAAAACCCCATCTCAACAATGGTAGATATAGTAGCTTCATCAGGTGGTGGAGCTACACGCTGATTAGAACTCCCTGTAACACCACTGCGATTCCGTTTTAGGTCCCCAACTCCAGAATATATGTGTGTAACAAGTGAAAGAACAGAAGTAATAAAAGAAGCACTACAATGAGGAAACATGGGGTGGTTCCACACCGGAAGTATCACATCAAGAACCTGAGATTGGAGCATGCGGACAAACACTTCTGGATCTCTTGGAACAGGAAACAACCCGATTGACAGACCAACAGCAACTGGCTGAACAAGCAGCTGAGCCTGGGATGGAGAGGTTGGAGAGAGAAGTAGGGAAGAATTCACAAAGTACTCTAGCAGACGACAATAACACTGCAATGTATCAAGCAACCAAGAGTTATGATCCAATTTGCTTCCTTCACCTACCTTACCTGGGTCTACACCAGATATTGGAATTGAGTGCGGTAGTGACCATAACAATTGACTGGTGGCTTCAAAAGTTGTCATGAGTTCCTTGAAGGAACCATTGACATAGAAATTATTCACCATTGCTGTGTGACATATACGACGCCTGCTGTCAAATGTGAGAGCTGCCATATCATGTACAACTTTTCCAAGATAACGACATTTAACTGACAATGACATTTCAAGTCCTGTCGGACTAGAATACCCAGAGAAACTAAGGGCCTCCAGAAATATTTTGGCAAGAACAGTTCCAACGTTCTTTGCAACAGAACTCACCACTCCTGAGTCAGCTCTACGTCGATTTGGTGAACTGATACCCTTTATGAGTGCAGTGTAGAATGAACGCATGGTAGCAGAGAGCTTAGAGAGGATATCAGATGCAAGAACATCAGGGCTTTTCTTTTTGTGTTCCAGTGAGGAAGATGGCTCCTGCACATTTGCTGAAACGTCTGAATCCATGTTAAAAGAATCTAAATGCCTGTCAGTCCTCCCACCTCTTATACGTGTCAAACTATGTCGATTACGACGACTTAATCCCTCGCCAGAGCGAATGACCGACAAAAAATCACGCTCTCCAGCCCACTGAGATTGAGAACCACTCCGGATACTAACAGGATTCATATATCTGACCACTGGAATGCCAGCATCTTCATCACTTTCTCTCCCAGCTGCAGTGGACGAAGCTGCTTCCGCATTTTCAGTTTCTACTTCAACATTTTGTTTCTGTTCTGCCTTTGTATCGCATGATAAAGAGATTTGCCAGAGCACTTCCCTATACACCCTACCGATATCTTTCAGCACATCAGCATCACCAGCTCCCAGCTCTGAGACAAGTGTTGTAGTCCCTTTTAACAAGGAATTGGAAAGGGATAAAAGGCCTTCCAAACTAGAAAGACATCTCGTGACTTTGGTCTGTTTTGCAGATTCCAGAGAAGCAATAGGAGTTCCCTCGATTGAGTCTATCACTTCAATTGTTGTATTCAAATGCTCCTTCAGAAATGCACACACAGCCTTTGCTAGAGAGGCAGAATGCTGTGCTGAAAAGTTTTTAAAAGCAGTGGAAACACTCTGACCAACTGAAACTGAAACAGGCAACAATGGCAACGTAAACATCTGCAGAACAGCTTCAACTCCTTTCTTATCAAAGAATAGGCGACATGCATCAGAATTCTGAAGAATGGTCTCAAGAAGACGACAAGCATTACTAACACAATCTGGAAGATATGACTCCAAACTGACAACAGTAGCATCAGATGACAGATCAATTAGATCAGTACTTCCTGTCTTCTGTGATTCCCTCTCATCAGGTGAAGACAAGCTCCTAACATCTGAATCTGTACCCATTGGAACAGGAGCTGGGCAGGGTAAAGAATCAACTGAGGGTGAAGAATCATCTGCAGATCCAAGTTTTAAGATTGTATTCAATATCTCAATCAGTATATCAACCCCAGGCTCACGCAATGTGGCAGCATGGCGCATAAGTTCATCCAGTCCGCTGGACAAGGCCCCTGGAGCATCCCCAGCTAGAGCACGTAAATATGCCTTTGAAGTAAATATTTTAACAAAACAACTCAAAGCATTGCGATCTTTAACTGCCTGAAGACCATTGTTGTTTAGGCATAAGGCATCAAGGCACTGAGGTATACATGTTATGGCATCTGCAGAGCAAACTACACCATCCATTATAGCATCCATGAAGGCAGATGGTAGGCCAGCAGCATCTAAAACAGAAAAACAGGTAGGATCCTTATGAATCAGATCACTCATAACAGTGGCAGCAAGTGAGAACACCCCACCACCAAAATCTTTTGCTTTTCGAAAAATAATGCATAAGCATTGGGGTAACAGGCTTTCCTCGGAACCATAGATACGATCAGTACTCCCAGGAGCATAGGTTCCAAGATTAATAGCACGAAGCAGAGCTTTCATTAGCAGACGTCTATGATGAGCGAGCAAAGACTCTGAGTAAAGGGGTTGAATGTCATCTAGAACAGCTGAAGTACCCACTATAACCTCAGTGCTCGTCCTGCTACTATCAGAATTTCCACATGATTGCTGTAAACCATTTTCTATCACAGATACCTCTACCTTTAGGCGATTAATAGTTTCATCTAAGCCCCCCAAGTCTCTAAACAACGCTACAGCTGGATTACTATAATCCATGAAAGCCTCAAGAACATGTACAGCAGTACCAACTAAATGCAGGTGTTGAGGATCTGTATCCTTAAGAAGGGGCAGAAGAGTTGGTATAAATCCAGCTTCACGCATTGCAGAACAACCAGATGACGAGGAGACTAAGATAGTGACAAGTGACAAGAGAGCCTCAGCAAAAACAACAGACCACTTTGAAGAGCCATTGGAGACAGAGTCAATTGCCTTTTGCATGAGGCTGGAAAGGATTCCACGCTGTCCGCCAGAGGTCACAGCAGCAAGAACAGTAGGCTGGCGGGTCCTATCTTGAGAAAGAGCAACTAAAGAACGCAGACTCAATGTTCGGATTTTCTCCGGAATCAAATCCTCATAACTTAATAATGAGACCAACTCGTTGGTGAATTCAGGTTCAGTGTTGAAAAAGGACGTCAAATCATCAGCATCACTGCTTGCTTGAATGAGAACCACAAAAGCATACAATCGAATGCATGTATATTGCTGCCGTGATGCCAGAGACCCAAAGGCCCTCGCAAACCGCAGTCTGGTGAATAAAGAAAATCTTAAGTTTAAAGGAACTCCATATTCTTTAACTAACATGTTCAAAAGCTCAAGATCACTTTCTTTGCGGCTAATAACATCAGGTACATGAATAATTTGAAGCCCTCCTGTAGCTTCATACTCTGTAGATGATTCAGCCACTCTATAGAATTCAAAATGAAGGGTACGCCCTAACTCATATGCAACAGTATCACATCCATTTTCCAACGTACATGCAGTTAGCCCAAGTCCTTCTTCCTTGCAACCCCATCCTTGTGCAAAAGAAAGCAACCTAGAACTTAGAGAAGCATCTCTAATTGAATACTTTCCTACTGTCTTTTTTAAAAAAGTTGCTAGAGTCTGCAGGCTAGCTTCAACAACATCAGCATCAGCAGAAGCCATCAAAGATGATAGATGCTGCTATGTTAACAGAAAAGTTGATCAATAAGTCGCAATTAAGATAAGTTGATAACCAATGTAAAGATATGTAAAAACTGCAGGAGTAACAATTACCTCATAACAACTAAGAAAATGTTTATTAGTGCAATTCTCCAAAATGATCCTCATAACCCGGAGTATCTGAAGAACAGCTTCTCTAGGGAATGGAGGATCACACTCCAAAAAATCATCCTCAAAGCATAAATCTTTCCTAGGTTTTATGTGCTTCTCAAAATATGAGTCAAAATGATTAAAAAGATCCACCCAGTGGTGGAAATCCCCCTGAAGCATCAAAGCAGCAAAGATCAGTGAAAGACAGAAAACAGCATGATAAAGCGTGATTTAAAGACTTCAAAAACACACCTTATCAAAGTCCCATACAAAACCTTTCAGGGGCTCCTGAATATTCTCAAGGGGAGTAGATGTAACACTGTTAATGAACAATCTGATCTTCGGAGGCTGCATTTGGCATAGTACACAGAAAGCAAAAGTTACCATCACAAATAAATAAAATATTCAGCATATAAAAGAGATTCAAATAAAATAAAGGATTCAACAGCTATAGAAATGAAACTACCATTACTAACACTACCAAAACATGATGCATGCATTACCGACATATTGATTTTAACGGAACATGGTAGACAGGCTGAGAGAGCCTAACTGCCTACTACAGAAAAAGTGTGTAACAATCATATGGACCAAGATAAAATCTAGAATACGAGCCAGAAAATAGACAACAATCTGAACTTTATACCATAGAGACAGGGGGAAAGCTGCATCCCACTATCCATACAGGATTTCACACTAGCCACGGTTTTGATTCTTTATTATGGACTCTGATCTGCTCATCACAGATCAAAGCCCCTCAAGATCGTATAAATAGGAATCTAGCTTAAAGTGCCCATCAAATATTAATGTCCTTTGCTGGTACATCTTGATAGGTATATAACAGGTTAACTAGCAAGCCATTCTGTAAGCTATAACAATAACACTATTGACCTTCCTAACACACATACACCTACAACAACTTTTTTCTAACCTATAGGTCCTAAATAGAAAGGGAAAAAAAGTGTTTTGTTCAACGGCAAAGAAACACTAACTGCTGATAAGGAGACCCACTATATTCTAAAAGACGTAATGATAAGTTGCTTGTTTAAGCAACTACGTCGCAAAATACAAAGTAGATTAAGCTGTGGCAGGGTATAGGAACGTCAAAATGAACACCAACTCAATTCACGAGTTAACACATGCAGAGGAAGATTTTGTTAAAAAGATCTTCATTAATAAAAAAAACAATTTCAAATTAGTCCTGAAGTACACTATAATGATCATATCACCATTCCTTCACAGCCATTAACATGATAGTATTCAATTGTGGAGGGTGATTGATTAAGTGTGCCATCGCTACCATGTCTCCCAAACCACAAGGTGGATACACAATAAAATTCCGCTTCAAATCATTTAAAAACAAAAAGAGAATATCTAACATCGGAGAAGTAGATAATCAAGGGAAAAAAACAATAGCATAGCACGTATACACAATAAGATTGTGACTAATGAGTATTGCTTGAAAATCAAAAGCTCCACATACAGAAGGGGAAAAAAATAAGCATAAATAAAAAAATAAAAAAAATTGTGTATACGTCCTTTCCTTTTACAGTTGTCCAAATACTTCTCAATTCATATCCAATTTATCAAGATAATTTGATACAGATAACACAGATGTGATACCAAAATCAATGGAATGCATCAACACGAAAAATATTAGACATGTCATCATAGAATCAACATGTAAACCAAAATCATAATTATCCTGTCAATCCAATAAATCATTGCATAACATTATTTTTATTTTTATTTACTTTAATGCATTTAATCCGTAGTGCTACATCCTAAGTCAATAAGATTTATAATGCCACAAATGCTTCTTTTTTTTTTTTGATAGGGCCCTCCTCCTTCGATACTACATTTTACAACTTCCTAAGCTGTACAGTTCTTGCATCTATGATTCCAAAACTTCATAACAAAAAGCAACAAGCCAAAGAACATGCAATAAAGGTACAACTTTCATGGTGCCAAGGCAATGACCATACCATCACTGATCAAGAACCGAAAAAATAAGCTCAACACAAAAATTTCTACCCTCCTAATTTAATCACCAACTATCTATAATGATTTGTGCTGTCCAATTCGAATGTCTGGAAAGGCGATAATTAGAGCACAACAGAATCAAACTTTTCGCATACTTAAAACAATCAAATAAAATCATTTCCCAAAAAAAGGAAATCATAAACAATCAAATACAATCCTTTCCCAATCCCATTGAAGATGTCAACAATGCAACTTGAATTTTAACTGCTTGAAATAATTTTCTTGAAAAAAATAAAAATTAAACATATTCATTGAAACAAGAAACCCTAGAGCACGATAAATTAAAGAAACGTCATACTAAATTCAACCAAAAGTTAAAAATCAAAGATAGTATGAACTAACCACTTCAGAAGCCCTCCTTCTTTTAAGCTTCATATTGAATTGAACTTCACGCTAACCATTTACCAGCAAAAATTGCAAAAAATTAATCAAAGTTATCCAGAAACTAAAACCCTAACAAAAATTGAATTGAAATTCAATAAAAATCTCAATTCAAGTGTTGTGGATTATGTATGCAAATTGAAAAAATCAGCAGAAAAAGAAAAGGAAAAGATTATAAGAATTAGAGAAGTTACTCAGAAATCATCAAAATCAGATAAAATTGGATTAAAATTGATAGTATTTGCGATCAAAAGGTCTAGGGTTTTCGGGTGAGGTTTTCGGGAAAGAGATGAGATCGCAAAAAATATTGAGAGTTTAGAGAGAGAGAGAAAGATGAGAATTCCTTAGTAAGGTTGTGCTAATAATATGTGTATATATACGTGTGACATATACAGAGTTTGGGTTATGAAACATAGGAATTTGAGTTTATCAGATTTTGCAAAAAGATTTATCTTAGGAATTGGAATTGGAAATTATTTCGGTCCGTTCGGGATCATTGTTAAGCTACTATGGTGGTGTTTGCAATACTTCAAAATATCATATTAGTAAAAATTGTAACAAAATTTTATTAAGAACATATATATTGTGACGAATTTTATGATGTATAATATAATAATATTTATTTGATTTATAATAGCAAAAAAATTAAGTCAAACATGGTATGTGAATAGTGCAAATGTCAAGTTGATGCATTAAAAAAAAACAGAGGGAGTTAGTATACTAAAAGATTTAGGAATTGGAATAGGAGTTATTGCTAATACCTCTATGAACATCCACAAATATATACCTTTTGAAATTTTGTGCCTTATTTTTCTATTTAGTGAGAAATACCTTATAAACTAATGTCACACACAAGAATTTAAAATTACCTTGATTTTAAATTTTTAAAAAATGAAATTAACTACCTCTTTTTTTTTTTTATCTGTCATGTTTAATTGTTTATGGGAATAGAGAGAAAACATTTTATTGTACCGTTTTATAATATTTCATCAAAAAATAATGTATGTTTTGTGGATACTCAATGTGAAATGAAAAAAAAGCTTCAAGAAAATAAAAGAAAAACACATTTGAGTGCTCTTCTTGGTCTACAAGAAATTTCCAGCCGTCAATCCCACTAGCTTTCGTATGAGACATGAAGTCCAGGTTCCTCATTAAAGAAAATTAATTTGCTTTTTAAAGATTTCAACTTTTCTTATTGTAAATTCTTAATCTAAAAGGAAAATAAAAATATTAAAAAAAAATTAAAAAAAAATAAAAAAAAAAAAACCCTCCTGCTTTCCTTGTGATGAAAAGTGTACTATGAGCAGCACTAGAAAGCTCATCAGCAAAGTTATTCCTTTCTTAGAGCTATATAGTATGGAGTATGAATTTTGTTTCACTGTATACAGGTTAAGGGCGACTTTTAATTACTGTTAAGATAGCTTTGGATGACCAATTTACTACTTTTTCGGTTCTTTTTACTTGACCTGTTTCTTTTATACGCTTATCAATGCACAATTTTAACCATCAACAGCTCTAATTAAGTAAAAAATTTAAAAGTTATATATTGTGATAATACTTATTTAGACAATTTTAACAAGATCCCACATGAACATATTTTTCCTTACATATAATTCACAAAAGACGGTCAAAGGTGGAGTGATGAATAGTATAAAAGTCAAAGCGGGACAAGTAAAAAAGAATGAACGAAGTATTACTTGACTTTTAAAGTTGACTAGATAAGTATTAGTCTTTTATATAGTAATAATGATAATGATATAGATCATTGGTTACTGTATGTCTTATACAAAACACCCGTTATATTCTTCTATACTTTAAAACTTTATGCTGCATATAAAATTGTAGGCATAAAATTGTAGGCTAATGCATTATACTTGTATATGCTTAATATATGGACATTTGACACCAATCAAATAATATAACAAAAAAAGTCAACCTAGAAGTTTCCTCCGACAAATAATTGTATAATGGAGTCAATTTTTGGTTATAATATACAAGGAAGTACTTTGTAGTTGCCAGATGATGAATTCTACCATATTATACGGTCCTAGGAACTTTAACAACATAGTATAGTATGAAATGTATTCATCACTAAACTTAAGGATTAGCTTAATGATAGCGCCAAATATTTTATTAAGAACCGGCTTTGTCTCTAATCATTCAGTCTATTTCCGCATGGTTGGGTAAAATCTTGCTTCCTGTCAAGCCACTTTCAACAAGGTTTTTGACGTTAAGGACAGCTAAAGCTTCTAACTGAGTGGCTGAAACACTCAAGATAGCACAGATCCTTGCTTGGCAATTACTTAGCTTGTTGCTGCTGATCTGATTATACATACTATCCTTTCTCAGCTGGAACCAAGACTGAAATTACTAGGTTTCCAAGAAGTATTAACTTCTGTATTGACTTCTGTATTGAAGCCAAAGTACTAGCACTTGAATCCATGAATTGTAGGCATGTAGCAAAGGCGAATTCCTCTATAATAAAGAGTGAATACCAAAACACTGACGCTGGGCTGCATTGCGACAAAAAAAGCTCAGTTGTCAACAAACAGTAAGCAACTCTATTATGTACAATGAATCAACATTTAACCTTAAAACAACACGAGCTGCATAATATGCTAATTTTATACTACGTTCTTTTAAAAAAGAGAACTAAATACAGAAGGTTAATTATAACATGAATAAGTTGGTAACCTTACTATTTTGGGCAGTCAATGGGAAGTTGGGAAGTCAGAAGTCAACATACCAACTGGCATAAGATACAGCAAAACCAGTGCACACCTGCCATCAACAAAAAAATAAATTGACTTGCCTTACGATCAGATTAGATCGAATACAGTTGATTGCTTTATCTATATTGTGGCTATAATGTTATAAGCATTCTTCCAAGCAGCTATTTCACTTCAATCAATTCTGGACATTTCAAAAAAAATAAATGGACTAATGTCATGTCTCACTAAACTGTCACATTTCTGCTAAGTAGCAGGTCAATCAATTCCTTTTTTTTTTTCCCAGGTAAAGGGTCTAACAGAAATGGAGAGGTAATGAAATCGGATCCCCTTTGGAACTGTATGGGTAAGATCTATACATGGTACATCAATACTCCATCCTAACCAACTTGGTCCTAACTCCAAAGCATGAACCTCATTATACACTTCAACTTTTCAAAGTGAAATTTACTAGCAGGTTTTCATAACAGACTATATAGCATTCATAGTCTTACAAGGACTTGATAATGTACCAATCCCATATGAATATAGGAGCAAACAGCACTAATTCATAAGTCATGACACAAGTATTTTTGAAAGACATTTTTGCCTTGAATAATATGAGAAAGTAGAACTCAATCGTGAATAAACTGCCTAAACCAAAATGGATCCAAGATTAATGAGAGGAAAAGCATGGTGGCTAAAAATTAATCATGTACCTTTGACATTCCAGTAACAAATTGTTGCAGCCTCGCCATGTCTTCCTTGCTGAAAGCCTGAAACTGCTTGCAACCTCACAGAACCACTGATTGACATTGGAAGCAACAGTGTAGCCAGTATACTCTGTGTTGACCTTCAAATCATCCACTGGAATGCATATGAACGAATCAATATCCAAGAGCGGAAGCAATATTACAAATGGAGTAACAGTGATCAAGCTCACTCACAGTCAATTTCTGGAAGTCCACCTATAAGGAGTTCAGGCTCTTTATCATTGAAAATAGAAATCAACTCCCGAGACACAAAATCATTAGAACCTTCAAGGAATGAAGTGATTTGGGGATGGATAGCATTCGTCAAAATATGGTCAGCAACAAGATCAACATACTTGTGCTTTGTTTCCTCTGTAACACTTTTACATTTCTCCCCTCAGATTGAAGCTCATAATCAGCGACCTTTAACAGCCAACAGAAAAAGACTGATCAAACGAAAGAATTAGTTCGAGCAGATCCAATTATATTTGGATTTATTAAGCGGACAAGTATTAGGGTATAGGTTATCATTTACCAATACAGCAAAAGCAGAAATTCTTCAATTCCAAAGTTCAATTATACTGGGAGCATAATAGAGAGAGCTCAAGTCTGTTATAAGTTTCTCCCCATCTGCATCCATGCTAAAAGTAAGGTCTAGAACTATCATTAACATCATTCTGCAAAGCCAATCAGAGATGATGTGAGAAACACAAAACCCAATCATACAAAATGACCATAATGATGTCTGCGTAAAAGCAAGGCAGAACATATTATAAATTACTAAACTCCAGCAACCACTTCAAATTTTTATTGCAATCTGGAATCAATAGCCTCAGGAATCAAATAAAGTACAGGGTGTTCATGAAAAATTACCATGCTTCCAACATAGATGATGTAAGATAGATTTTCAGTCTGGGAGACAGAATTAGGATTTGGCTGGAAGGTTATATTATTCCCAACTGCAGTAAAAAGTAGCACTTCCTTATCAAAGATAGCCCTTGACAAAATGACAACTGGTACCACTCTCTTGTGAGACCACCAGCATCAATTCACTCTTCACCTTGATGCTGCACATTCAATCGCCCCTTCAGATCCTGATTTAACCTCATCCACAACTGATTATATGAGTCTTCAAGAACATACACCCAGCGACCACTTATTCTGAGTAGCCCAGCAAGGTAGTTGTTCTACCTAAATGTAGACAGTTTTTATATGTAAGTATACTAATTTCGCTCAGCACAAAACCTATCATCACATATCCAAAAGCTAACTCACTTAAAGACCTATGAAATAATGATGTTCCAATGGGAATGCATACTGCATCAATCATAAACTTGTAAGACACAGAAAATTATTTTTCAAAGAAAACCTGTTTCAGATCCACATGCATGCAAGAGGCCAAGAGCCAGAGTAGAGCATATTGGAAGAATGTCATCTAATAGAAGGTATCTGTCAAGTCTTCAAGCCATCATATAGCCATGAGAAGGAACAGGCAAATTGTAGCAGTGCTGTCTCCACCTGAACCGTACAAAGCAGAAGATTAAGTACCTAAATTGTAGCTCCATTATACTCTTAAGTTAACAAGCCAATTGACATATACACACATGATTAATGCACCGAAAGAAAACCAATATGGAAAGCAAACCTGATCAGCTTGAACTCTTGAAGAGAACCAATATGAACTTGGACAAATATCTGTGATCAGGCATCCTGTTACTTAATTTGCCCAAGCCTGATTGTTAATAAACCTAGCCACTATTTGCCTTTTTTCGCAGCATTTTCAGGGTGTCCAGAGCAGATATCAAAAGCTGCTGCATGTCATCTGAGCTTCCAATTTGAGATATGAGTCCCCTTTCTAGCATATCCATCAAAAGATTTTCGCCCTTTTCAAGATCCTTACTAGCGAGAACGGCACTGATGAGAATCTCAAAAGTAGTAATGTTAGCCCAAAGACCCTTTTGTTTCAACTCTTTATACAATTCAAAAGCCCCATCAGTATCACCATTAGCATGAAGACCTGAAATAAGCACATTGTACAAAATCACATCAGGTTTTAGTTTATATTGTTCCATAATTTCCCGAAATTTTAGAGCCTCTGTGACCCTGGCCTCTTTGCAAAGCCCATGCATCAAAGTTGTAAAAGTGAGAGCAGATGGAACCAAATTGTTCCGTAGTATGCTATCAAAAATCAATTTTGCATCGTCAATCTTTCCACATTTCACAAGTCCCCTAACCATAGCACTATCAGCTACATCAGAGGAGCTCACGCCAAGGGCCTCCATCTCATCTCTGAGCCTGAATGCACCTGCTATATCTCTTGCTCTAAGCAAACCTTTCATCAATGTTGTATATTGTCTGCGTGTAGGAACATAACTCTTTCCCAGCATTTCATGAAAAACCATATGCACTTCCTGGAAAGCTGACTTTTTAGTGAGTCCAATGATGACATTATCATAGGTAGTTCTATCAGTTTGCACTCCTATTTTCAGCATCACATCAGTCAGTTCGAATACCTTCTCCATCTCACTACTTTCACAAAATTTCCTGATAAGCATGTTAAATGTCAACTGATCAGGTATACTTCCCTCCAATATCATCTTCTTCAAACATTTCACAGCAAGCTCCACTGCTTGTGTCTCACAGAGTCCTAGAATGAGGGAATGCTGTGTTAAATTATCAGGAAGAAATCCCTTGCTTTTTAGAGAATTGTACAAAATGAAGCATTTTGATAGTTCCTGCATCTTTGAATACCCATGTAAAAGGATGTTATAAGAAGCCAAATTTGGAAAAGAGTTTCCACTCATCCTCTGCAGAACTTCATGTGCCTTAACCATTTGTCCCTTCCTAGAATATCCATCTATAATAGCATTTGCAGCAACTACATCAGGGTAGACCTCTTCCCTCACCATATTTTCATATAAATAGGAAGCAGCGTCTAGATGGCCAGCCTTAAATGAAGCATCAATCAGTATTGTATATACCAGTTGGCAAGGATATAAAATTCCTCTACTAGTCAAATTTCCAAGAAAGAGAAGTGCAGCAACAACTTTCCCCTTTTTACACAAACCACTCAGAAGAGTAACATATGTGTGATTCTCAGGAAGAAGATCATTTCGGATCATTTCATTGCAGAGGTCTACTGCTTCTGCCAATCTGCCTGATTCACACATGGCAGCGATCAATGTATTGTAGGCAAAAGCATCGGGCATACCAGAAATATTACGCAGCAACTGGAAAAATCTTTTCCCTATCTTGAAGTTTCCACCCCTACAAATTCCTTTCAGAAGACTTCCATACGTGGAAGGGCTTGGATCATGACCAAGATTAATCATCTCATCAAAGCAAGAAAATGCTTTGGACACTTTGCCTAAATTTGAATAACCATCAATCATACAATCAAAGGTTACAGAATTAGGTCTGGCACTTGGTTTAGTCATATGTTGCACGAAATCCTCAGCCTCTTGAAACATTTTACTGTTGCAAAGAGAGGAAACCAACAAATTGCAAGTTTGAAGATCAGCTTCGTGTCCATCAAAGTTCATGGCTGCATAATGTTTCAAGGCCTCATTAACTCTTCCTTGTTTGCAAGCATTATAAATCATTGTTGCATATATGACCCTGTTAGGTCGGATTCCTGCTTTGTACATCTTACATAATATTTCCTTCGCATTATGCATCTTTCCTAGCCTACAGAATCCATTGATTAGCACAGAATATGTGATCACATCAGCACAAGCCCCGTCCTTTGAAATTGCGGCTAGCAAATCTACAGCTTCAGTGAGCATCCCATTTTTACAAAACCCATCCATCATCATTGTGTACATGGTGCAGCTAACCGTGATACCTTTTGATTTCATGCTCTCTAATACACTTCTTGCAAGTTCAGATTTGGCATGCTTGCATAGCCCATTCAACAAAGTCCCATAGCTGACTTCGTTAGGTGCAAGCCCCACAGCTTCCATTTTACAAAGAACTTTGAAAGCTTCCTGAAAACTGCCATGACTGCAATGCCCATCAAGCAATGTATTATAGGTGATATGGTTCGGGTTAAGATTGAGCCTCGCCATATCCTCAAAAACTTTATCAGCAACTTCAAGCTTCCCTTCCTTGACAAACCCATTAACAAGAGTATTATAAGTCACCTCATTGGGTAGTATCTTCTTCTTCCTCATCCTTTTCAACAGTAGATACCCCTTCGCACTCCTATTATTTCTACATAAACTATCAATAAGCATATTATACGTATATGTGTCTGCTTCAATACCTTTACAAGTCATCTGATCCATAAGGTCACAAACAGCTTTATACCTTCCATTCTTACAATACCAACCAAGCATAGTGTTATACGTAACCACATTTGGGACATAACCAGATTCTTCCATCCTCCTGAGGAGATACTCAGCTTTCTTAAGCTGTCCCTCTGCACATAAAATGTTCAAGAGCACGTTAAAGGTACTAACATCCGGGCAAATCCTTCTGGCAAGCATTTTTTTAAAGAAGGCCCAAGCCACCTGATGCTGCTGTATTGCAGCTAAGATCACATTGCAAGTATGAACTGATGGATTAAATCCCCGAGAAGCCATCAAATGAAATGTCTCCAGAGCATCATCTACGTGTCCCAATTTCAAATAAATTCTCATTAAGAGGTCAAAGACTGAAGGATTTGAACGGCAAAGTCGATATGTTCCCATAAGAGCTCCAAAAATGGAACTTACATCAACGTCCAAACAAGATACACGCTTTAAGAGTGACTTTGCGTAGTCATACATCCTAGCTCTAACTATTATGTGAATTGTAATACAATACATATGAAGCATGTGATTCAACTCCAAACCCGGCCTTTTAAGGACCCAATCGAGAAATTTTAAAGCTAATTTTCCATGAACTGGTCTAAGTGAAGCTAATCTATATTCCATGTGGTTCAGTGACTCCCATCGATCAAGCGTGAGAATTGCATAAATGCTATCTTCCAAACCCCCTGTAATCATCAAGTCATAATAACATCACTACTGTATAAAGCAGGCACATCAAACATTTCATTCAGAATATAATCAGACCATCAACTCCGGTCAAACAACAATTGAACACCTCATAAGCCATATGCCATGATTTTATGAAGTAGTATAATCAACCTTTTCTGGAAGTTTGAAATATATTCTTTTTTTTGCATATTCTTAACTCCCATTAACTAAAAACAACAGCGCAAAATGGGTATTTTTTATTTTTGGAAAATGCAACACCATGAATTTTTCAGGCCCTATGAAATTATACAAATTACAGGCAACCCAATATTGTACCATAAAAGGAATACAACAAATAATAATCAAAAGTTACAAACAGTAGAAAGATGATATTTTGCATACTCTTAGCACATAACAAATTCAACACCATGACGAGAATTCAAGAAATTTCAGTAAGTCGCATCAAATTACAAATAGGATAAAAACAATTTCCACATGAAATAATAACATACTTGTCATATTTTCAAGCAATTTGAAGAAAGAAAAATTACCTGGAAATTTGGAGTTGGTGCATGTTGTGGTGGAAGTAACAGCAGTTTGAGAGCTTGAATTGTTTCCCAGAAAATGGGAAGAATTTAAGCTCGAGAAAGCTCGAAAGGTTGAGAAAATTCTGGGAATTAAAGAGGGTTTCTTAATTGTTAATGAAACTGAATATGAAAACATTTTTTAATTTATAAGTAAAATTCTAACCATCTGATTTCTGGGCAGTTTGCAGAGGTTGAAGACCAACAATAGCTTAAAGTCAAGTGATGAAATGGAAATGGGGTTTTGGTCTAGAAGGTACAACAAAATGTTTATTTATTTATTTTTTTTATTCTTTTTAAAAAAAATTAATTCTTTCCCTCTTTTTTTCCCAATTGATACCAAACTCTAGTACTCTAGTACAAGTTAAACTCAAAATTATAAATTATAAATTCTAATTTGAGTAAATAATTGTGTCAAGTTTGGAAATTATTCTGATCAAACCCCGTCAAGATCGATGTAGGGTTTAAAGTAAGCTTCATGTTTAGGTTTGGTTCTAATCAATTTCAATTTGTTGTGTCGTATTGTTTACTATTTCGGATATGAGTTGGGTTTTATTCACGTCAAATTCTAGTCGGATTCGATTTTAAGTTTAGGCATATATCAGTTAGGTAAGGGGTGGGATTATTGAAGTAAGTTCAAGCTTGGTTGGTAATTTATCGGGTCTAATCAACATTAGGTTGAGTTATTCTCACGCTCAGGTCAAGTTAAATGTCATGATTGTTTCATACCAAAGTAGATCAAAATATTGTTTCTAACCCTAGACCGTTTCCAACACCCGAAACAGTTGGAACCGGGATTAAAACCGTTTTTACCGAACCATTAACAAACTGCAACCCGTTTGCACCGAACCGTTTACTACCCGAATTGTTTACAAGTCGAACTGAATTTAAACCGCTTAGGAATAAACCGAAACTGAATCGAACCAATAATTATTTCAACCAAACCAAAACCGACCAGTAAGGCACTTGAACCGATTTCAAACCAATCCGTTTTCAAACCGAACCGAAACCAAACCGTCAAACCGTTTTGACAATACTACAAATTGCCAATGTTACACACTTAGTAATACTTTACCAAAGTTTTGTAAACATGCACATAAGTGACATAACTATTACGGAGTACAATATTCCAATCACAAAGTATTGGGTGCGGCAAGCCACCCCAATGTTTCGTCAGTTGAGAAGGTATCATCGTCATCTTTTTGCGATGAAGAACAAGTTTCCACCCGATGACAAGTTGGTGGTGGTTACGGTGAAGGAGAGGAGCGAGGTCATCCATGGCAGAAGAGACAGAAAGTTTAATTGCTTGAGATTCTCGAATTTTTCGAAAAATGCCCAAAAAATCGAATTGAGGCTTTCTTATGTGATGTATAATTGTTGAAATTGATTGTCCCATATGATTGTATGTTGAATTGTGAGCATTTTGATAACATATGCATGTATTTTGGTTGAGAAATGAGCAAGTTATATTATACCCATGACCTTTAGTGCGAGATCTTCCATGGAGGTACCGCCATTGTTATACATATCATCAAACAACTTATACATATCTTCAAACAAGTTATACATATCCTCCATCAAATAATTTATATCCTCCAATAATTTATGCATATCCTCTACTGGCTGGATGATATCATGGTTGGATGATATCCTCTATTGGCTATATTGATATCATTTATGATTGTGTCTTTGATATCCTTTATTGGCTGGATGATATCCTCCATTGGCTATATGATATCATGACTGGATGATATCATATAGCCAATAGAGGATATCAACCAGCTAATAGAGGATATCATCCAAGCAATAGAAATATCATCCAGCCAATAAAGAATATCATATAGCTAATAAAGGATATCATCCAATTTGTAGAGGATTTCATCCAGCCAATAGAGGATATCATCTCGCCAATTGAGGATTTTTCGTCAGTCCGAATTGACGAAACATTTCGTCAGTCTGGACTAACGCAATACCTTATTAGATACTCCCAAAATCATGGTCCCCACCTTCAATTGAAACAAATAAATATTCCAACTAGTTGCATAAAAATAATTTTAATAAAAAAAAATAAAAAATGGTAGTACTGTGTACAAGTAAAAGACTACAAAGAAAAAGAATGTTAATTCTCCTTTCAATCAACAAATAATTATTTCCAAGTATTGTAGTGTTTTATGTTTCGTACTTGTTAATACACTAATTACTTAGGGAGTGTTCGGCGAAATATAGTTGTGAAGCAAGCTCTTAGCTGTGAAGCTAGCTATTAACTGTGTAGAAATAATCTGTTAACTAAGAAGATAGATGATTTAAGTATGACTGTTCGATAAAGTAGTTGTTGAATAGCTATTACATACAAAAATCAATATTTTCCCTAAAACTATAGATTTATTTCTTAATAGTTACCTTTATTTTCAAAAATTATTATTTCTCACTTTTGATAAAAGTTACCTCCACCACCAAAAGCTATCCCAACTCCACTCCATTACCAAACACTCATATTTTTTGTTAAGTAGTGGTTTGACACAAAAAGCTACTCAAAAGCTACATACCAGAGGACGTATTCGACAAAATGTAGCTATAGATATAACTGTTACTCGTAGCTATGGTAGTAGCTTGTATTACACTAGTTGTTAGCCGTGAAAATAAATAAACGGCGTTAAAAAAACAGAAAGCAAACGGCGTTGTAAGAGAGAGAGAATGAGCTCTGAAAAGTCCCCACGTTCACATGCCTATTTCTGGCTTTTCATACAAAAATTCTCTCTCCTCCCCATTTTCTCTCTCTACTTCTTTCATCTTCTTTCTCCCCTTTTCTTTTACCCCCTTTTTTTTTGTTTGTTCTTCATTTCATCCGAATCTCTCTCTTCTTTCTCTCTCTTCCCCCCCTGTTTCTTCCTTTCCTCTCTGTATTCATGACGGTAAGTCAAAATTCAATTATTTATTTTATTATTATTATTCTTATTATTGAAATTTATCATCTTTTTGTTGATTGTTGTTGTTTGTAACCCTAGATTCATCGCAATTCAGCTTGATTTTTTGTGTTTTTCATGTTTTGTTTGATTTGATCTGGTTTTGTTATTGGGTTTAATTCTTCAGTTTTTCTGGGTTTTCTTGATTGATTTGATTTCTTGTTTGACCCTTCTTTTTTACAATTCATCTTCTTTAATTTTCCAATTGATTGATTTTCTTTTTTTAATTGATATGTGTATTAAGCAGAATTATCATTTTTAGCTTCCTGATTCAGTCTAGATGATTTTTGATTTTTATCATTTAAAAAATTTTAACCCTAGAAATCTCTTTAGAATAGGAGTTGATTGTTTTGAATTGGGATTTTTTTTTTTTGAATTTTTGGTTTTTTTTCCTTCTCATTTTATGGAAATTTGATGGGTTGGTTTGGTTTTACACAATTTGAACAATTGTATTTTTTAGGAATTTTGTTTTCTCTTAGCTTTCTATTTGAACTATTGTATTTTTTTTGGGTATTTTGTTTTCTATTAGCTTTCAATTGTGGTTTTATTGGAAATATCATTGTCTAGAAGTGATTAGAAGATGTTGACTTAAACTTTTTGCGAAAGTTGTAAGGCACTGATATATTTTAGCTTAACTTGGCATTTTCAAGAATCCTTGTTTGAAAGCTAAGTCATTGCCAACCATGGATTTGTTTTGTTTTACTCGTGTTTTCGACATGTCATAAACATAAATATTTTTTCATGGCATGAGTTCGAAGGAGTGTAAGATTGACCTAGTTATCCAAAAGTATTTCAGCTGCCTGTAGCTGATTGATAACTTCATTGAGTGGATTTTAGGCCATTTACCATCCTACCTTGAGTGGTTATATAGATATTTCTGAATTTTGATGATCAAACACTTAAAGTGTGAGTCCTTGAGATTAAATTAAAGATAGGACTTCAATTTTTGTTTTTTTTGGATAACTTTTTACTACTGCTTATTTAGAGTGTACTGGTGATGGATATTTAGGGGTGGTGGATGATTTCATAGCCCATGATATACGAATGTGTGAGCATCTTGGCTTATTTTGGCACCCTTTGGGTCCATTTGATGAACGAACAATGCTAGCTTGTGTCTTTTCTTATGCCGCATTGCAGGGTTGGCTTCTGGTTGATAAAGGGGTAGTATGTAGTAGAGATTTGAGTATGCAGCTAGTCTGTGGAAGTGGAATTGTCAGCTGGCAGCTACCTTGCTGCTGTCATCCTAGCTGAGCTTAGCCTTAATACAACTTCTGCTTGCTTTTGCTTGGGCTGGCTTTATCATATGCTAAGTCGGAGTCTATGTGCAATTGCAGGCAATATCAGAAATGTTCTTAGACCCGGCAAAATGGATCTTGCTTGTTGAGCACTGGTTTGATCTAGTTTAGCACTTGCAGTTCATATAAAAGCATGAGCTGAGGTGAGGTGCTGAGGGTGTGATAGGCTCTCGGACATAATCCTTGAGGCCTTAGAGGCATGCCGTTTTGTTCTTATTAAAATTACTGTTTGTAGGTTCCCTTGTCCTGAATCTTTATTGTTCCCATTTTCTACAAGCCATAGAATATGACGTGCTACTATGAAGCATCTAGTGATTTTATAGCTTCTTGTTAATATGTGTGGTTCTGGGTTGAATGTGCTTTTTTTGCCTTTATTTGGTTTTTTTAAAATATACATATACCAATGATGGTTGTCCCGCATATAGTATATATTCACTGTTCAACTGTTCAATAAGCTTTGCTGAGCATCTGGATTAATCTTGCTTCTTCTCTTAATTTTGGCTTTTCACCCACTCATGAGCTCACCTACTTTCTTTATCCTTAATCTCCACGCCCTTACCCATTTTACTATAAGCTATAAACATGTGATGGCTTGCTTCACTTTGTCTTCCTTTAATAGCTACCCCCGGATATCAAGATGTCTGTCAACTGAGTGCGCCTCATGCCTTTGAAACACCAAGTAGGAAAAAATCTAAGTGGAAAAAGTTGCATATTCTGTGTTTATCCTGTTTACTGTTTTTTCAAATTTGGTGATGATTTGACTGAATTTGTACTTATCTGTTAAATTAATCTGGAACAACTTTTTCTAATTTTCTTGGCTTAAGAATTGCACAATTGGAGGTTTGATTATGCTGTGACCAGCTTTCTTAATTTTGCTAGAGATTCAAGTCTCAACCTCTTTGAATTTTGGGAATATTGTCTTGTAGGCTTGCACACTGACAAGAAAAAGCCAATCGAAGCTATTTCAAGCGACGTAGGGTCAGAAATTTGTTACCTTGTGTTGCTGTTATGTCTTTTAGGGCCATAGAGTTTTGAATTTATTTTCCAACTTCTTTCATTTCTTTCGTGCATTATAAAATTTTATTCTTGTTTTTGCCTTGTTTTAAAATATTTTTTTCCAGTGATCTTTTACTGTGTAAAATTTCTGTCAATGTGTGCACAGACCTATATTACTGATTTAGTGAGCTCCCTAATTTGATTGTGCTGACTTGGTATGGTGGTCTGTTTACGAGTAGCTGTGCTTGTACTTCCTTAGCAAAGTGTATCTACAATGTTGGTGAAAACAGAAATTTTATTTCTATGATTATAATTAGAACATCTATATCCAGCTGCTGTTTTTATTGCTATAGCAAAATTTTCTCGTATTGTGATTTAGATCTGGGGATGAGATGTGGGATATCATATGCAAAGTTGAATTATGATTTTTAGTTGATGTCAATGTTGCATAGTAAAGTTTGAATAAGATGTATGCAAATGCTTTTGACTTTTGTTTGGGGAGTGAGGGAGGTTGGTAGGGGTTGTCCAGCAGGACTTGGAAATGAACTCTGGTGGTCAACATCCTGATCAGAGGATTATTTATGTTTTTCCCTCATTGGATTTTCACTTTTCTCCGGTTCCTCATTGGAAGAATGCATCACACAAATTCTTGACCCTATCTTTGGCAATTGTCAGGACAAGGGAAGGCCACTGCCCAAGTTTGGTGAATGGGATGTCAATGACCCAGCTTCAGCGGAGGGATTCACTGTGATTTTTAATAAAGCCAGGGATGAAAAGAAGACAGGTGGGAAACCTGAGTCCCCTGCGAAGAACCAGCCCACATCTAGGCCTGGAATGGAGCCCACCAAATCTCAGCCTGTAAGTTTTTTTATTTCTCTTTCAGATTCGACCAGTCGCATCTGCATCATTTTGGCAGTCTTTAATTGCTTGTTTGAGAGAGCACATTACATACATGTTCCTTCTCATTTTCTAGTCAGTAGCTAACTTGGTTGTTGGCCTTGTGGCCAATTCATTTGGAGGTTTTTTGAGACACAGAAAATGCTACATGCCTGTTCCTTTACTAATCTGTCATATCCTTTGTTTTCTGCTTTTTGGGTCTCATCTTTTGTTTTTTCATGGTTGAAATGGTGAATGACTGATAAAAGTATGTGTACAAGATTTATAGTAACTTGTGCATTCTATTGCAACCCATCTGTTTATTTGACTCCCAGTAGTGCCTTGCCATTCCCAAGTAAAATATTATGAATATTTGCTGATTAATCATATTCTCCCTCTGTTTCAATGGAGAAAGTAGGGTTGGTGGGTATGGGTAGATGATTAAATAAGCAAACACAGAGATTTTAATTAGCTTTGGGATATCGTTGAGTTTTAACTAGCTTTGAGGTTGTATATTAGGTATTTAGGTAAAACTTTTTCATGATCATAGGAAAATAACTTTTAGAGGATATTGATATCTTTCTTTTCTATGACATTTCCATTTTGAAAGCTGAAGTCTACGACTGCCATTTGCCATAGAGACTAGAGAGCATATGCTATCATGTACAAATGGCATCGTTTCAATACTTCTAAGAATTATGTCAACTGTTTAACAATACTTTATTGACAAGAAATTATTGAGGTGGCCTCGATTCAGATGATTAAACTTGGACTTAGAAACTAATTTGATTTCATGTCCAACTTATTTCTTGATTTTCTTGGACTCCGCAGAAAAAATGGCTATGCTGTGTACAAGCCCCAGATGTTCATTCTTAAGGAGAGTCTCTTCTCGATAGACTTGATATGGAAAGGGATATTTGGCTGAGATCCCACTCCAACACATTTCTCCCAAAAGAACAAAAAATGTAAGAGTTGTGATAGGGTGCTTCAAAACCTGGAACAACACAATTTTTTTCTTTTCTCTTGTGCTGTTGGAATGAGTTGGTGTGGGAAGGAAACATGGAAAGAAGACTCTTATATTGTATTTATATGTACTGAGTTGTGTGGGTCATTATTAAGAAAACCAAAAGTTTTCCTTTCTTACTCTCCATTTCTTGTGCTTTTGAGTTGTAAAGCTTTTTCATTTGTGATATAACTTTTGGTTTTTGTATCAGTTAAGTTATAATGGAGTGGTTGTGGTTTACTTAATGATTTTTGCTTCATGTTTGCCTTGGCATGTTAGTTGGTCACTATTAACATTGAAGTAAAGCACTACCTCTGTATTGAATTATCTGCATAGTTGCACAGTTTCCAAGAAAAAATTTCATAGAAGATTAGCAAAAAGAAGGGTAGGTGATTAAGGGTAAGAGAGAGGAAGTGTGATCATTAAATTAAGTCACTCACGCCCTAACATCCTGAATGCCTGTCCCACTAGGCACCAAAATCGCCTTACCCCATCACTACCCTAGCTATGGTGACACTCACCTCTTACCCACCCCACCATAACCGCTCAAAACCTACGCCAGCCTCATCTCATCCCCTTTAACCACCGCCTTCAATCTTAGTCACCATGTAAACACCCTCCCAACCACCTATAACCAGATCAACCCTCCCCGAAACCTTACCCATACCTCGATCGAAACTTCATCCCCATTGTTTAGATGTCGTACCTAGCCCAAAACCTCATTCCTACCCTCTTGAAACTATTACTCGTATACCTATCCCGAATCCATCTCCATCTCCACCAACAAAAACAACCGACAACTCCAAAAAATCCACCACCATAAACCCCTTCCCTATTCACACACATGCACACACAAAACACCAAGAAGCTTAAAATATGAACGAAAAGGATAAAATAACAAATTATTACTTTCTCGTCATTAAATAAGAATACTGATCAAGAGACATAACCTTCCCCTTCCATACAAGATCCACATCAACACCATGTCTTACAAGGTGATCTACACCAAGCATACTCTCATAGAAATCATGGAAAGCTTTATACAAACCCTTGAGCCTTGACCCCTTCCTTGGCAATTGTCACTTTGTCAGGACAAGGGAAGACCACTGCCTTAGTTTGGTGAATGGGACGTGAGTCCATTTTTAATAAAGCCATGGATGAAAAGAAGACAGGTGGGAAACCTGAGTCCATTTTTAAAAATATCTGTTAATTTTTTTTGAACCAATAAACAAGCAACACGTGATAATTACATAGTATTTTTTTTACAAAAACTGTAACCCTTTCTCTAGGCTATCGGTAATCGAGATTGAAGAAAAACACAATTAAAAGTTAAAATTATTGTAGAATAATCAAAAGTTGAGATTATTTCAAGTAAATTGGACAAAGTGAGATTACTAAAATGTATTTTTTCTTATATTTAGGGGTGTTAATGAGCTTAGCCGGCTCGCAAACTACTCGAGCTTGGCTCGGAATTTTTACAAACCGAGACACAACCATGTTCGGCTCGAAAGCTCGCGAACAAGCTCGAAATAATTTTTTTTAATTTATTTTAACATCATAACCTTAACTATTGGTAGAATATTTTTAATAAGTCGAAAAATTAATAAACTTAGTTATAATATATTGTATCTTAAAAATAGACATTATATTGTTATGATTTTCGAACCTAAATCGAGTTTTATTGTAAATTAAACTTGATAATTTAAGCTCGAAAAAGCTCAATTTCGGCTCGGCTTGTTAACACCCTTACTTATATTTATTTATCAGCTTTATCAACTTGTATTTCTCTATTCTACCTTGATACTTGGGCCGCAAGTTAAAAACAAAGGAGTGAGTTAACCTTCGATCCCTCTCTTTGTTATTCCATAATAAATTAATAACTTACCTATTCGGCTATTCCCCTCCCATTTGCCGTTAATAAAAGAAAGAAAAAAACCTAAATAATCAATTATTGTTTGTGTTAATTTTGAGTTACCCTAATTTATTAGACTTTTGATTTCATGTGATTTCTAGTGTATCAGCTCTAATATCGTTGTTGGTTAGAATTTCAACTGGTCTGATTTTGCTAATTGATTTTTGTGTTAATTCCAATAACAAGGTTATGGATGAAGAGAAGCGGAAGAAATTTCCTGAGAAGTTGAAGTTGGACAAGGAGGAAATAAGGAGGTACATGTTTCCTTGTGCTCCTACAGAACCCTGGCTAGAAGAAAATTTTATAAAAGCACTGGATGGCAGCAGAATAAATTCAGAATCCGAACTTTTTCATGTTCTTAGTGTTTCAAATCAGTTGACAAACTCAGTTCTTAAAGAATGTTTTTATGGTTCTAAGTGTGACATCGAGATTGGCAAGCCTCTTGATGTTAAGTCCCTGTTGTTTCCTTCTAGAAAGGGTTTTCTTGTTCGTAGAGGTCTTGTAGTAGATGCTAAGAATCTTAAACTTAGTGGTAAGTACGTCATGCTTTGTTGTTTCATGGTGCCTCTTAATTGGAATTCCATTGCCTGGAAAGTAGCAGTTGCTTGTCATGATTTCTACTCTAAAATGAAGAATCGATTTGAGATGGTGATTGTTGCTATTATGAGAGATGGCTGGACCCATGACAAGAAAGCCTTCAGCCAATTTATGTCTGCTTTTACTTCGTCTTGCCTTGCAATTCCATTTCATGCTAAGTCTCATCGTCGTCGCGTATGCAAGTATCTTGGAGGCATGTTCATGGCCAACATGACTCTCGTAAGCCTCGCTGGTAATGTTCTCTTGCACAATGAGGTTTTTCAATCTATGGATATTGAATTTGTTCCCTGGTATCATCTAGCTAACTCCCACGCATTTCCTTTCATTACTGATGCGGATGCTGGCCTGCATCTCACTACTCCATCGTCTCTTGAGGACCTTTTGTATTGCAGAACCTCTGATTTTGTCTTCAGGAAGTGAAGCATTTTGGAAGGAGAAACGGCCTATTTCTCAACTCAAATCAAAGCTTGTGTGGTTGTACCTCTACACTTCGGGCAATTTGCTTCCTTGGCTTCGTAAAATTGAGGAAGCGTGTAGGCAAAGTGACAAGGAGTTGGATATTGTGGTTGTATATCTTCCTGATTGGGATAGGCAAGATCCACGGTGGTATCCTGAATTTTTCAGCACTGTGCTAGCCAAGCAGAATATCTCTTGGTGGGTTGCGCCCTATAACAATACCGCATCCATTATACTCAAGCATTTGTTCGAGGGAGAGAAGGTGATCATTGTCGGTCCTAATGGCTCCTATTTAGATACCTATGGAGCTGAACTTATGCAGCTTTATGGTATTACTGGATATCCCTTCACTGTGAAGCACGTTGCCCAAAAAACTCTGGCAGAGCTAAGCAAAGTCACCCTAGAATCGTTCTTGGACTTACTCAACATGAGTTTAGAGCATCATCATATAGGGAAGAATATTCTTTTTTACTTTGATTATCCATTGAGTAACAATTCTGTAGTTTATGATGCGTATACACGTTTCACTTCTGATGTGGATGCTGTTATTCTTCCCTGTTCCATAGCTGATGCTACAGTAGTTACTGAACCCGAAGGAGATGATTCTAAAAAAGCCAGAGGTAAACCATCATGGCATAACCCCTGCATTGCCATTAACACTGTGGTTGAGAAATTCTTCACAAGGTTCTTTAATCGTCGATTTCCTACCATTGTTGCGTTTGGAAAAGATGGCAGGATCTGTTCACTACTTGCTCATCGCCTTCCATATTCTCATGGGGATAAATCTTTTCCAATCAAAGGTGATCTGCTTGAAGAGGTCTCATCTATATTGACTGACTACTTGGATAGATATTATGATGATGAGTTGAGGTATTATCCTGATATGCTATATCTCGAGGAGTTGCAGGAGTCGAGGCACAGTTGGGTGTGATAGACAATGGGTCTTCTGTGTTTCATAACTAGGAGTTTCATTTTGGTCCATAAGTCTTGATTTTTTTTTTTTTTTTCCCAATCTTGTGTTTTGTTAACTATGTAGTGTTTAGTGGATGTTAGCTGTGTAGTTGGTTAAAGCCTTATGGGTGATTGCCATCGACTCATCTACTATATCATTTGCCCTTCGCGCCTTTCTTCACACCTATTAACTTATTATTATTTAAAATTTTTAATTGCGATGACTTGTGGTTATATGAAGACTTTTATAGCTTTTTAATCTTTTATTTATTAGTTTCAGCTGCAGAATTGAATCTTTTTTTATTTTTTAATTTCCTAGATTCTTCAATGATGTAGATTTGTTCTTTTCTTATGGATTTCATCTGTGATTCATAGAAATTAAATATATTCGTAAGATTCAAAAAATACTGATAAATTTGTGATGATGTTGAAGTTTATGGTTACCCTTTTGAATATGGGCTTATTGGAAATTTTGATAGGGTTTTTTGGATTCCGAGAAAAAGGCATGGTTTTTATATTTAGAAACTTCTATTCCAATAATTGAATGTTTTATACTTTATGACATTTAGAATCCAAAAATTAAATAATCTGAACAGAGAAATTGTTGAATTTGATTGGTTACAGCCTTACAGGCATTCTTCAAAGAGAAAGAGCTCCTGACATTAGAAATTAGAAAATATATGGATGGCTAGTTGATACTTGTGTATTGCAACTTTTTCTCTGAAATTTAGAGAGTTTTCTCAGTCACTACGCAATATAAAATTCCTTGTTAGTTGGCGATGATATTTAGTTGTTGTGTTCATTTGAACAAGCAGAATTTTAATCTGCATATTACAATCAATTATTATATCAAGACTGGCTAATATATATTCCAAAACCACAAATCTATACTCTGCATCTCTAAACCTAGCACCCCATTTTTATGTGGTTTTTTATTTCTTTATCTGATTTTGGCGCTTATGGCAACACTATGGACATTGAGAAGCTCTATGAGTATGGCGAGCGTCTTAATGATGCCAAAGACAAGTCTCAGGTTTGCTTGCCATTTTCTCTCTTTTCATTATTTAGCGCACACTATATATATATATACATGAATTACTTTGATAAACAGAATATATATAGAACTGGTAGACAGTATCTATATATTCTGATACGTGTAATCTAGTTAATGGTGACTCTATTCAATTCATTGGATGTTGAGGGTTATATAGGAAATAAATAAAAGGGTGTACACCAGAAGCGCTGCTAAAGGGAGGAGAAAATATGGGATTGCTTGATGCTAAGAGGTTAAAGGCACATGCAAGATTAGTGCGAGTGTAGAAAGCAGCT